CCGAGATGACAGCAAGTCGACGAGTGCGTATGTGTATCAGCTGTTTGGTGGTCCAGTCAGTTGGAAGGCACAGAAACAGTCTGTCGTGGCGACGTCAACCACAGAAGCGGAGTATATTGGACTCTCAAATGCTTCGCGAGAAGCCTTATACCTCATCCAACTACTCCACGACTTCCGTGTAGACCCAGATCTCTACGACCCTCCCCTTCTCTATGGTGACAACCAGGCTAGCCTTGCCCTATCGAAGAATCCCAAATTCCACGACAAGGCGAAACACATTCGCGTGCATTATCACCTCGTCCGCAGTCTCGTCGAATCCAATCAGATCAGACTCGAATATAAGTCGACTTCGGAAATGCTCGCCGACAGCCTCACGAAAGCGCTGCCTCGTCCAGCAGTTAGTCGTCACAGAGAGGAGATGGGTCTCCGTCAGACTGCCCTGCGTGGTCTGGCGAGTGGGAGTGTTGAGAGTGCGCCTGACCACCAGGGCACACCGGACGTCACGACGTCCTGACATATATGAATGCAAGACAGTAACAGTACCTTACTCATTTTCTCTTCCCGTTTTCAACCGTATTCTAACTTTATTCTAACTCTATATAAGACTACGAACCAGCGCCAACGCACCTCAGTCTCTTTAACCGTGACTGAGGTGTGTATCATATTTTTCCTCATTCTTATTCCATTATACTCACTATATACATTAGCCTCGTACTCTAGGTTCGTAGTACTACGCTGAATGCTAGTCTCTTTAACCGTGACTGAGCCTCGTACTCTAGTTCTCGTCTCTCAACACAAAGCGCAAGATAAAGCAAGCAGACTACACACAGAAAGCGAAGGCAACATCAAATCGGCAGCCGAACGCATCGAAGAATCAGCGGACACCTTGTTTTCACACGTCGAGACGTGCCAAGATGCCTTGAAAACTCTAACTCCATCCATTGACGCTATGCAAGAAAAAATTAACCAAATCTCTCAACAGATAGAACCGTCACTCAACCACCAATCTACCACTCCCCAACCAACCTACAGTTCCATAACCGCATCGCATCTTCCACCGGCAATCGACCAAGCAATCGGGAGAGCAGCCATCCGGGCTCGTCAAGTACTGCTAGACCCGACCCCAGGCGGATCGTTCTTCCCTCCCAACACCTCAAACTACGATATAGCGAAGAAATTAAATGGAGCCCTCGCGAAGGCCAGAACCGAGACAACCCCACCCGGCAACATCAAGGCGGTTATGGCACTAAGGAATGGAGGAGTAGTGATCGAGCTTGAATCAGAATCATTGGCAACATGGATTAACAGCCCAACAGGCAGAGCGGCCCTCGAAAGCAATCTAGACATAGCAGTATCGTTCCACCAACGCACCTACGCAATAGTCCTTGAATACTTACCTGTCCATTTACAGATAGAACAAGACGACTTCCTCAAGAACCTAGAGCAAGAAAACCGCCTCCCGCCATCATCGTTGGCCACCATTAGATGGATCAAACCCCCTGCGAAACGCGCTGCGGAACAACGAAAAGCCTTCGCCATTGTACAAGTCACGGACATTCACACAGCAAATAACATTCTCCATGATGGCCTCTGCGTGGTCAACGAACGAATCAACATACGGAAGGACAAACGAGAGCCGATGCGTTGCGCGAAATGTCAAAAATTCAGCCACATTGCCAAGAACTGTACGGCCCCGCACGACACCTGCGGTACATGCGGTGAACAGCACCGAACCTCCCAGTGTAACTCCTACCGTACGACTCGTTGCACCAATTGTCGAAGCCAGCAACACACGAGCTGGAGCAGGTCATGCCCAGAATTCACCAAGCGCTGCAATGAAATAGATGATAAGTACCCTGAAAACCGCTTACCCTACTTCCCCACAGAACACAACTGGACCCAGGTCACACGTCCCCCAAGATCCCCCAAGTCCAATACACCACCGCCCTCACCTCCGCCATCACAATCCCAGGTTTCAGGCCCCTCGCAACTCCGGCAAACCATGATCAATTTCCAACGGCCACGATCCCCGCAACAGCCACAGGATCCAGCCATACACGACGCCATCGCCCCCTCCCCTCGCTGGGGAGACAGCACCCCAGACAGCAACCCTCCCTCCCCGACCCAATATGCCTGAACAACTGGAGGAGCCGAACGCAAGTCTTCGAATCTGGCAGCAAAACTTGAACACATCCATGGTCGCGCAAGCCTCTCTGCTCAACAACCCATCCGCCAATGAATGGGACATAATGGTAATCCAGGAACCTCACATTAACTTTCTCCGTAATACTTGCGCTAACCATAGATGGCATGTTCTATACCCTACTCAACACTATACTCACCCCCAACAGCGCACACGCGCTATCACACTCATTAACACGTCCCTTAACACTAACTCTTGGAAACAACTAACCTTCCCATCATCTGACGTAGTAATCGTTCAGCTCCTTGGACCTTACGGACACTGCACCATTCTCAACATCTACAACGATGGTCGCTCTCAACACACGCTCACGGCCCTTAACGACTATCTTGAAAACAACATCACAACTGTCCGCCCGTCCGCACGCGATCACATGTTATGGATGGGTGACTTTAATCGTCACCACCCCATGTGGGAAGCCATAGAGAACCGCCACCTCTTCAATTATACCGCGGCAGAACCCCTTATCGATCTAATAGCCAACTTCGACATGTTCCAGCTCCTTCCCTGCGGAATCCCTACTCTTCAATCAACCTCCACCGGCAATTGGACGAGGCCTGATAACATATTCGGCACAGAACACCTCGTCAACGCAATCACGTCATGCGACACCGATCCCAGCCAGCGCGGTCCACGCACGGATCATGTCCCCATTTGCCTAGTACTCGAACTTGGAGTCCAGAAAGACGAGGAAGTACCACGCCGCAACTGGAGGGATACAGATTGGGAGGCTTTTGTAGAGCACCTAAACGGATCCCTTGCGTCCTCTCCCCCTCGTCCTCTGACTTCTGACGTGGAATTCCAACAGGCTGCCAGACGCATAACGCTCGCCATCAACAATGCCATGGAAGCCGTCGTCCCACTCTCAAAACCCAGCCCATACTCAAAACGTTGGTGGACTAAAGATCTCACCAAGCTCCGCAGTCAGGTCAATGAGGCAAGCCGGCGTTCCTACCAACTACGAGGCCTCCCCAACCACCGCTGCCATGAAGACCTCAAGAACATCAAACGACGCTATGCCGAAGAGATCGAGACCACCAAGAAAGAACATTGGACAGAGTGGCTAGAGAGCCTCGAAGGAAACGATCTATGGACCGCGAACGCATACGTCTCTTCGGAACCCAAGGATGGAGGGAAGACGAGGATCCCAACCCTCAAGATCAAACGACCCGATGGCACATTCGAAATCGCCAACACGAACCAAGAGAAGAGCACCGCCATAGCTAAGTCCTTTTTCCCGCCTCCCCCTGCTAACGACTTTATCCCTCCAGACGTCCTATACCCCGATGCCGTGGAACGCCACACCCCATTCACCTCAGCCGAAATCTCCCGCGCCATCCTCAAACTCAATGGTTTCAAGGCCCCAGGCCCAGATGGTATCTGCAACGTGGTATACAAGAAGTGCGCTGGCGTCCTAGTCCCACATCTCGTACATCTATTCAACGCCTCGATTACCTTCCGCACCTATTACGAACCCTGGAAGCACTTCACCACAGTCGTTTTGCGTAAGCCGGGGAAGCCCGATTACTCACTCCCAAAGGCGTACCGCCCTATCGCTTTACTTAACACCATGGGGAAGTTACTAACAGCGGTCGTCGCTGAACGGATCACCTATCTTCTAGAAAAGTATCAACTGCTTCCGCACACCCATTTCGGGGGTAGACCGGGGAGGTCTACTACTGACTCCCTGCATCTACTGGAAGAGACGGTCAAGAACGCATGGAGGACTAACAAAGTAGCATCGGCCTTATTCTTAGACATAGAAGGCGCGTTTCCCAACGCCGTTACTTCCCGCCTGGTACACAACATGCGCAAGCGCCGTCTCCCAAAGCCGCTAGTGGACTTCACAGAACGTGTACTATCTAGCCGACAAACTCAACTCAAATTCGACGGATACGTGTCAGACTGGATCCCCATCAATAATGGCATCGGCCAGGGGGATCCACTATCTATGATCCTCTACATAATCTACAGCTCGGACTTAGTTGACGTCGCCAAGGCAAGGAGAGGTAACGAAGCGCTTAAAGAACTAACGTTAGCATTTGTCGACGACACGGCATTCATCGCCATTGGTAAAGACTTTGCCTCCACTCACCGCATATTAGCAGATATGTTGGAGCGCCCTAACGGGGGATACGAGTGGTCCAGAGCGCACAACTCCAAATTCGAAACTAACAAATTTGCATTAATAGATTTCTCGATGAATCGGCAGAAGGACAGACCCGACATGCACATCCAGGGGGCGACTATTCGACCATCTACAACGCATCGTTTCCTCGGCGTTATTGTAGATCAGGAGTTGAGATGGAGCGCGCAAGTAGATAATGCAGTGGCGAAGGGAACGGCATATGTCTGCCAGCTGCGTAGACTATCTTCCTCTACCAAAGGTCTCCCATTACGGCTGATGCGCAGGTTATACCAGGCAGTAGCCATCCCGAAGATGCTATATGCAGCAGATTTATGGTTCACCCCCTCGTTCCGCAACCACTCAGACACGCTTCAGCGCGGGTCCATCGGAGTAGCAAGACGTCTCACCTCAGTACAACGCTTGGCAGCGACTGCAATCACTGGAGCAATGAGAACCACGGCTACTGATCTATTGGAGGCACATGCCAACCTCCTACCCATTCCCCTCCTCCTTCAGAATATCTGCTACAGGGCCACAGTCCGCATCGTTACACGCCCAGCCACCCACCCCTTATACAGCCCTATCCGTCGTGCGGCAAACCGCTATGTCAGCTCCCATCGCTCCTCATTCCACCGCCTCACGCGTCAATTCGCGATCGTGCCACACGATATCGAGACCCTCGATCCAGTCCGCCGATCCCCATCCAGCTCCAACTCGTTCAAAACCCGAATAGCCGCGTCCAAGGAAGAAGCGCTCGAAGAGGTCACTCACCTTTCAGACGACATCCAGGTATACTGCGATGGATCAGGGCATCAAGGCAACATCGGGGCGGCGGCAATCCTCTTTCGAGCAGGACGCCGCCTGCGCACCCTGAGATACTACCTAGGTTCAGAAGATGAGCACACCGTTTTTGAGGCGGAGGCAGTAGGCCTCACATTAGCAGCGGAACTATTGGCGACTGAAGATGACTTGACCTTCCCCATCTCCATACTAGTCGACAATCAAGCCACCATACAATCCGGTGAACACTTCTACTCTAGACCTGGATCATACTTAATAGACCGTTTTTGCCACAGAATGGAAGACATCGCTAGAGAGTACCGCGAGTTCAACGTCATGGTTCGTTGGGTGCCAGGGCATTCAGAAGTACATGGAAATGAGCAAGTAGACGCACAGGCGAAGAGAGCGGCCGAAGGAAGACACAACAACAGCCCAGTGGGGTCCCTTCCCAATTACCTGCGGCTAGGAACTCTTCCACTGAGCGTGTCAGCGCTCAAGGCCGCACACAGCAAACTCACGCAAGCTCGCTGGGAGAGAATCTGGCGTAGATCACCCCGCTACACACACATGAACCGCATAGACCCCAAGCTTCTCCAACGTTCATTTGTCAAACTCTCCGCGCAATTCCCCAAACGCCTCACGAGCTTATATATGGCCCTACGCTCACAACATGCCCCGCTCAATCATCATCTACACCGTATCGGAAAGTCCCTCTCCCCGCACTGTCCGCACTGTCCAGGCATCAAAGAGACAGTCCCCCATTTCCTTATCGACTGCACGCGTTACCGCCCTGAACGACACAATCTGATATGCGCATTGGGGCGCAAGGCCACCTCCCTCCCTTTCCTCCTCACCAGTCCAGAAGCCACTCCGCATCTCGTACGCTATGTCAACTCGACAGGGAGACTCAAACAGACATACGGTGAAGTACCATTGCCCAGCACTCCATCAGATTAATATAGCAGTCTTCGTCCAGATCAGTACCAGCGCATCGTGAAACCTCCGTAATCAAGTCGCCCTTACTCTCTCACCCCCCACCACTCGTTTACATGGAACCTCAATCCGAAGGACAATCCCAATGGAATAGGCACAGACAGCTCATGTTCATCAGCATCCGCGCCACGTCACATCACATCCATTTATACTCCTCCCTATACGTTCCTGTACAAGCTGCAATTTGCAGCCGAGTACGCGTCAAGCTTTGCATTATCAGATACATTACACCACGAACGTACTTACAAAGTCGTCTCATCAGAAGAAGGGACTCGTCTAAAACGGCCGGCAGGAACAGCGGACTGACGGAGGTACGCCTCACGTCAGGGCATTCGAGTACTTCGAGATGCGAACGAGGCACCGGGGGCCTCTAGACTAGAATGTAATGTCCTACATAGAGTTAGACTCTGCAAAGGACAGAAATTGGATCAAAAAAAAAAAAAAAAAAAACCCACAGGTGACTGCCAGAGGGTGGTGAATGGCGATCAGACAAGGTTATTTGAACCCAAGCTCTTGCCTCTCGACTTCTGGTTGAATTCGGACCTGATCGGAGCGCCCGTCTGGTTGTGTAGGGTACATCCCCACGTGCAGCATCTGCCTGCAACCAGTTCTCAACTTCCTACTAATCGTTCAGGTCCTTATTTCATTGCATCTCCTGGCTTTCCATAGGACCAGCAAACCTCTAGGCTCTTCCTAGCTTATCACCGCCGAACATACTCACTGGGCAGCCTCACACTAAATCATCGTTTCACGACTTGAGCCATTTCACACATTACCTCGCCTTCCAAAGATCCTAAACTTCGTATGTCTCCCCTCGAGATAAGCGTCGCCCGTATGATTTCTAACCACTATCGAACCCAACTAGTGCCACTTCCCCGAGTCCGGGTCGCAGTTTATCAATTCGTATCAATGAGTCACTGGGGTCAATGTTGGTGTCTCGTTCTATTATCCCATCTTCCGCTCTCTGACCTCATTATCAGTTCCTGGTGATCCCCGATCGTCATCTGAAGGGACTTGGGAGAGACTGAACCAAGTCGCTGTCAAGGGTGCTGAGTACAACTCTCGTGAACGTCAACCCCATTCGAAGTGTTTGGAAGGGACCCGGGTGGATCTTCTCAACTATATCCACGGAATATTAGACAACCCAGAGAAGAGTCGACTCATCTGGCTACATGGCACGGCAGGTGTCGGGAAGTCTGCTGTTGCGTTCACTGTGGCTGAAAAGATGAGGGGTCTGAAAGTGGCGGAAGGGACCAAGGAAAAGCGACTTGCAGGAACGTTCTTTTTCTCACGTAAGCACACGAAGCGCTGCACGACTGGTTATTTTTTTGCGACGCTGGCCTACCAGCTTGCCAGCAATTTCCCCAGTGTCCGGGAGGAGGTGAACAGCGCTATCAGAGAAAATCCTGCCCTTCTAGACCCCGACAAGGCTGTTGTCGACCAGATGGAAGAACTCTTTCTCCGACCTCTCCGCAGGCTTCGATTCAGACTATGCGAGGGTCCGCCTTTGGTGTTTGTTGTCGACGCCCTTGATGAATGCATATCCAAAACCGAGCTCACTGATCTCATCTCCCTACTTGGTCATGCTCTTCGTGAACCTGATTTGCCTGTGACCCACATTCTGCTCACAAGTCGATCGGAAGACCATATCCGTAAAGCCACCCAGAAAGAAGAGATGCGCTCACTAGTGTGCGAGATACCAGTGAAGACTTCTGGGGAGGGTGTTGCTACCACCATCTCATTAGACGGTGCAGATGTTGACAACGACATTTATACTTTCTTGCAACATTCCTTCAGAGACCTAGAAGGTCGCCATCCCAGATTCCCACGGCCTTCGAGGGATGAACTTGCGCGGCTGGCAAATCGAGCGGGGAGACGTTTTATCGTGGCATCTACGATGATGAACTTTATTGGTGATCCAGACAGTGATCCCCGCGACCAACTCCGGCTCATGCTGAAGTTAACGAACAAACTGTCCCCGGGAACGGAGGTGTACAAGTTATACGACTGCATCCTCACCACGTGCGCAGACCCCGGTCGTGCATACCTACACTTGTCCATCGTCGCTGCCCTTGCAGACCCTCTCCCGATCTCACAAATCTCGGAACTTCTTGGGCCAAGTCAAGGCAGAGATGCCGAAGCAGTACTTCTGCAGCTACGGTCTGTCATGGACATTCCTACCGACCACAGTCTCCCCGTGAATATCTATCACCCCTCCGTTCGCGATTATGTTTCAGACCCCTCAAACTGCAGCGTCCTTCCTCAAGTACAACATGCACCTCACTCCATACTCGCTTATTCCACATTACGCTTGATGACCGAAGAGATCCCAGAAAGCACGGCTCTCTTGGATGCACTCTCAGATTTGAAGAGATACAATCAAGCAATGCAACCTCATGACCCTCAGATCTTATCACACACATTGGCATTCATGGTTCAGTCACCGCAGCCACTGCAAGTTCTTATGAGTCTGTTATGGCTTAGGGGATATCGCAATTCAGATTTACAATATTGGCTAGAGACCCTTGATGGGTGTTCCTGGCTGCAGACCCAGGGCGGGAGAAAGTGGCTGCGGGCCCGGATGGGGCAAGAATGGCTGCAGACCCCGGGCGTGCGAGAGTGGTTGCAGACCGAGGGCGGCCAAGAGTGGCTGAAAACCCCGGGGAGTTGGGAGTGGCTTAAAACTCAGGGGGGGCAAGAATGGTTGCAGGCCCCGGGCGTCGTGCGAGAGTGGTTGCAGACCGAGGGCGGCCAAGAGTGGCTGAAAACACCGGGGATTTGGGAGTGGCTTAAAACTCAGAGGGGGCGAGATTGGCTGGAGACCCAAGACGGACGAGATTGGCTGGAGACCCAAGGCGGACGAGACTGGCTCCATACACGGTGCGGGGGAGGCGACGGGTCATATTGGCTGCAAACACAGGGCGGGGCGAGAGTGGCTCCAGACCTTTGGTGGGCGAGAGTGGCTCCAGATCTGGTATGGGGGGGGACGAGAGTGGCTCTGGACAATTGGTGGGCAAGACTGGCTGGAATCCATTGGCGGGAAAGACTGGCTGGGGACCCCCTCCGGGAAATCCTGGCTGGAGTTCCGCAACAGGCAAGAACAGTTGCATATCTTGGTTGCGGAAAGCCAGCTGCAGACCCCGGGCGAGCGAGCCTGGCTGCAGACCCGGGGGTGGGCGAATCTGGCTGCAGACCCGGGACGGGCAAGCATGGTTGCAGACTCGGAATGGGAAAGCATGGCTACAGACCCAGGACGGGTGGGACTGGCTGCAGACCCGAGACGGGCACGCGTGGTTACAGACTCAGGGCAGGCGAGCCTGGAGATGGCAAGACTGGTTGGAGACCTGGAGTGGGAAAGACTGGCTAGAGACTCGGGTCGGGCAAGACTGGCTAGAAACTCCGTATGGGCAAGACTGGCTAGAAACTCCGTATGGGCAAGCCTGGCTGCAGACCCAGCCATCCTCCCCGCCACGCTCACCGCCCTACTCACCGCCACACTCCCAGCCATCCTCTCCGCCATCCTTCTCACTATCTTTCAGCGCTGGAGATCAGCTGGAGATCCTGTGGCAGGACCGGCTCCAGATCCTGAATGCGCAACAATGGCTCGAGATCCCTGTTGGGAGAGATTGGCTACGGACACATGGCGGGCGAGAATGGTTGCAGACCCCAGCTGGGGAAGACTGGCTGCAGACCAAGGGCGGACAAGATTGGTTGCAGACCCAGGGTGGGCGAGAGTGGTTACAGACCCCGGCTGGGGAAGAGTGGTTCACCGAGACTCCGGATGGGGAATACTGGCTGCAGAGCCAGGGTGGGCAAGAGTGGCTGCGGACTCAGGGCGGGCGAGACTGGTTGCAGACTCCATCTGGGGAATACTGGCTCATGGAGACCGCGGCTGGGGAATATTGGCTGCAGACCCAGGGCGGGCATGACTGGCTACAGACCCAGGGTGGGAGAGACTGGCTGCAGACTCAGAACGGGAGAGACTGGCTGCAGACTCAAAGCGGGAGAGACTGGTTGCAGACACAGAACGGGCGAGACTGGCTGCAGACGCCATGCGGTCGAGCATGGCGGTTGACCACTGTCTGGGTCACGATGGAAGAATTCTCAAGCTCATGGGAAGCAATTAACAAGTGCACCATTGTCCCAGAACTGCTTTTACATCCAGCTTTTCAAGCAGTCCAGCACTTCAAGACCTTGTCTGATTTTCTGATGCTCCCGGTATTTTTGGCGTTAAGGGACCAGGACCAATCCACCTCTACATTACCAAATGGTCGTCTTCCACCAGACATGGGGGTCGTCCATGCCGTGAAGGCCTTTTCGAGTTTCGCAACCAAAGCCCACGAAAAAAGTCAATCAGCCTCTGATGCTCTCAAGTATGCGTGTCAAAACTGGGTTGTCCATCTTTCGCGAGTTCAACATCCATGGGACGATAGGCTCACTTGTACATTTAAGTTTTTTTGGGACCACCATCTCCTCTCCTGGCTCGAAAGGCAGTGGTGTTTACAGGATCTGCGGTCTTGTCTCACAATTTTATCCGAATGGGAGAAACTTGCAAACGTATGTATGTTTCTAATTATTTTCGCCACTTAAAACCTGATCTGCGCATACGCATACAGGAACATGTCCTCCAAGCTCTAGGCTCGTGATCTCAGTTACGAATCTGAAGCTGTGGACTTTATGCAATATATCATGCTGTCTTAGTATTCCCCCTAGCCAGACTAGAAAAACATAAGACAATCGGCTCTTCTGGTTTCAATAACGTTAACATTGTCTTGTTATCGCACGTTGAAATCTTTGGTTCCTTCACGCTGCTCGAGCCTGTGACGACATTCACCGAAACGCAGTTTTTCTTTGTCTCTCCGATTCCAGCTAGTCCATTGTCTCCAGGTCATCGGGTGGCCCGCATGAACGTGTTAGCTTGTTTTTATCATCCTGTCCAACTCGAAAGAAGCATATGCATGCTAGGACGAGTCCGCATGTAGTACTTAGCAGTAAGGCTTAATTCTTTCATCAACTGTGCGCGACCTCCAAATTTCAAACACCACAATGACATTGAAGCAACTTGCTACAATTTGGCTAATTGAATCATGGTGTTCACGGTGCACAGTGTGCACCAAACTCGGCGTAAAGCTTAAACTTGGAGAGACCGGTATGCTTATGTAATGGGATAATCCCTACCCTTTGCCAATGAGCATACGAGCACCACGGAAAGGCGAAAACTATGAGCTCAGCGTGGATCTCAACAGCGAGTACCGCGATAAACGAAAAGATGCAATCAAGCGGGTCATAGCATCCATGACCGTCGGTAAAGGTGCTATACTTCATTGTTCGATCTTCCCTCCGCGCTTAACACATCCCTAGATGTCAGCGGCCTGTTCCCCGATGTCCTCAAGAATATGCAGACAGAGGACCTCGAACAGAAGAAGCTCGTATATCTCTATCTCATGAACTATGCAAAGACACAGCCAGAACTCGTCATCTTGGCCGTTAACACCTTCGTCAAGGACTCCGAAGATCCTAACCCTCTCGTACGCGCACTGGCGATTCGAACCATGGGATGTCTGCGTGCAGAGAAGATTATAGACTATCTGTGTGACCCTCTTCAACGGGCGTTGCGAGATGACAACCCGTATGTCCGAAAGACGGCTGCGCTCTGCGTTGCAAAGCTGTATGACCTGAAACCCGAGCTTGTCATCGAGAATGGTTTCTTGGATCAGCTCCACGACATGATCTCAGATAGCAATCCTATGGTAAGCCCACGCCCTTTCTTTCTCACCGAGCAGGCTTGATATCTGCGTTCAGGTCGTGGCCAATACAGTTGCTGCGCTCACAGACATACACATCGCGGCAACCTCCAACCAACCAGCTGACTCTACTTCCGACCCCGCTCTATTCTCCATCACATCTGCCATATTGAACAAACTGCTCATCGCTCTCAATGAGTGTTCAGAATGGGGTCGAGTCGCAATTTTGAATGCTCTGGCACGGTATGACGCACAAGACGACAAAGAGAGTGAGCACATCTGCGAGCGCGTCGTTCCTCAATTCCAGCACGTGAACGGCAGCGTTGTTCTTGCCGCAATGAAGGTACGCGTTGTTGCCCATTCGGTCCCTGTTCATGACTTGACCTTCATATCTCAAGGTCATCATGATCCACATACGCAATGTTCGACGAGATGAGCTCGTTAAGCAGCTTATCCGCAAGATGGCACCACCACTAGTCACCCTGCTATCGTCCCCGCCCGAGGTACAATGGGTCGCACTGCGGAATATCAACCTTCTCCTTCAAAAACGCTCCGACCTCCTTTCGAACGAGATGAGGGTATTCTTCTGCAAATACAATGACCCATTGTATGTCAAGATCGAGAAGCTTGATATCATGGTCCGATTGGCCAGTGATAGCAACGTGGACGCTTTGCTGAGCGAGCTCAAAGAGTGATCCATACCGATTTCTGTAGTATGCGTTGTTGACCATTCCGGGCAGATACTCGTCAGAGGTCGACGTCGATTTTGTTCGGAAGAGCATCAAAGCCATCGGTCAGACAGCGATTTCGATTGAGAGCGCAGCGGAACGTTGCGTGAACGTACTGTTAGAGCTCATCAACACACGCGTCAGCTATGTGGTCCAAGAAGGCGTGGTCGTCATGAAGGTGCGTAGTGACACCTAGCTTCTTAGAACCTTCTTAATGATATGCATTTTAGGACATCTTCAGAAAGTACCCCTCTACATACGAAGGTGTAATCCCTACACTATGCGCCAATTTGGAAGAGCTGGACGAACCAGAAGCGAAAGCGTCCCTGATTTGGATAATTGGCGAGTACGCCGACAAGATCGACAACGCGGATGAACTGTTGGGTATATTCGTGGACTCTTTCACCGAGGAGTCGTACCAGGTATTTTGTTTCAACCTTAACTTGTGCTTGTCCCACAAGTCCTGACCCTCCGTAACAGGTTCAGCTTCAAACGTTAACTGCAGTGGTTAAGCTGTTCTTGAAGAAGCCTGACTCCTCCCAAGGTGTCGTCCAGCGTGTGCTGAATACAGCAACGAAGGATTGCGATTCACCAGATGTACGGGACCGTGCTTACATATACTGGAGACTCTTGTCAACAGACCCTGGTGCAGCGAAGGTATGAGCACCCTCTGAGCCTTGGTCGATGGTGCTAATCAACCTAACCTAGGCTGTTGTCCTTGCCCATCGGCCGCCGATATCTATCCCGAGAACAACGGTTTCACCTGCGTTGCTCGAAGAGCTTCTCGGCGAGATATCGTCATTAGCGAGTGTTTACCACAAACCCGCCCAAACCTTTATTGGCCATGGCCGGGTTGGTGCTGACTCAGTGCAACGCAAAGGATCAGAGTGAGTCCCCAACTAGTTTTATCTGTATCTACTGAGCTGACGACACCCATCGTGTAATTATAGAATCTCGGATGCTCAGAAAGCCTTCCAGACGGTTGTTGCTGGCCAACAAGCAGAGAATCTTCTCGACTTTGGTGACGACTCCGCGCAGGACGGGCAGCCTTCTGGACTCGCTGCCACACAGATCCTTCCTTCGACACCCGCTGCAGCAAATTTCCTTTCAGGCACTTCCGCAAATCCACTAGACGACCTCGTGTCGATCTTCGGCGGTATGGAAACTTTGGGTGGTGCAGGATCACCGTCAGCGGCGCTATCGCCGACAATGACATCCCTGTCCTCGCCTTTCGAGGGATTTGGAGGGTCGCCAGTGCTACCCTCCCAGCCGGCCCAGAATGCGCAGCCCCAGGAGGACTTGTTAGGGTTATTCTAACGTACTTGGCATCACCATGCACATGTACATATTTGCTCGGTGCCGTTAGCAGGCTTACACGTATGGTACACATGCATGTATGATCGATATTTTCTGTTTGAGGAATGCATGGGCTATTCATATAATTATCGCGAGGCGTCCGTAGCAGACAAACAAGCACGGAGCCTATGGACCGGCTGATTCCGAGTTGGAAGTTTCTCACGCCATCTTCACTTTACGATTGTGATCCTTGTGATCCTGACCCACTGCGTGCGTATGGTCCGCATATTGATCACCTTACATCGGCGGACGTATACACACAAAGGTGTATATGGTCCGTATCAGTTCCGAGACCAATCGATCATCAGAATCCAGATGGGTAATGTCAAGCTTCAATGAACGATTCTGTCCCTGTCCTGTCAAAACGGCGATGTGCCGATCTAGGCTCATAGTGTATGTCAGCTGTAAAGGTCCACTGCCAAGTGCCTCGTGTCGCCTTCTGCCGTGACAATATCTCTTCATTTCGCACGTGGTGGATGATCGTGGACAAATGAACAGCGACCGCTACGGAGATGGAGTACGTGTTGCATACGGTCCTGAAGCGCTGACTGCCCAACAGCTTGTCCCATGTGTCGTAGCGTAATAATCGGGCGGATCATGACTCCAGGTCGTGAGCGCTTGATGAACTGAGTCGCCCATTCTATCGTTCGTCAACTTCTCTTGCATCGAGTTCTTCCGACCGCGCAGGTCATCGAGTCCCTTCCGCATCTTTTTTTCCACTTTCTCGATTACTTTTTGTCCCCAATACATTCCAGCTTACCCTTTCTGCTTCTGGATGAGTGTGTTGTCTTCACGACCCTGCCTGTGACATTTCTCGGAGTGGCAATGTCGATCGCCAAGCTTAGCTGCTGCATGCCTTTGGCATAGAAAGCTATGTTTATGGACGTGTGGCATCAGATGCCGCAGGCAGGTGCGTGTTTATTGGAATTTCTCTCAGATTTGATATAGGTTGCTCTGTATCCTCCTAGCGCATTTTTTGCGCGCTGGCTTGAGGAACCAAACGAGCCTGCCCGCGCAGCTTTGCGAAGATGATCTATCTCATCTCTCACAGTCTAGATTGGCATAAAAGGCCTGCCTGTATGGTTATCTGTCCTCCCTTACAGGCCCAGACTCAAACGCCAAACGCGAAAGACTTCTTGCTCGGTCGCGATGCTGAGGTTCCTCCAAATCTTGGGCTCCTTCGTGCTACTGCAGGCAGTTGCGTCGCAGCAGATATGGGATATAGTAAGCCGACGCATCCTTGCATTGTTGTGTAATGGTTGATTCACATTCGTGTTCACAGTGGCAAACAACATGGAATAGGAACATGCTGTTCACTTATTTCCAACCCACGCCGGACCCTATTAACTTCGTTACTCCTGGCGCCATTGGGAGCGCGGACATCGTCATCGATGATTCCTCAGTATATCAAACCGTGTATGGTTTCGGAGCATCACTGAGTAAGCTTGTAATCGTGTCTCTGGACCAAGTGTTTAACGAAATTGTTCCAGCCGATTCTTCGGCTGAGTTGTTGAGCAACTTGAAGGCATGCCATGTATTTCACTTGCTGTGTGTGGTCCGCTGATGGTATTAAATAGGCACAGAACCCTGGAAGTTATTGGCAGCTCATGGATTATTTATTTAATGGTGCGTTGCTTGGCTCCAGATCGGCGACGTACTGACCCCATCGTCATCAGCCACGGATGCTGCTAACTCAGCCGGGTTCTCCTATATCCGTGTCCCACTCGGAGCCTCAGATTTTTCTGCAAATAGTGGGTGATCTCATCTGCTCCACAGTTGATGAAAGAACTGACATACGTGGTCATAGCCTACAGCTATGACGATATCAGTGGAGACACTTCACTGAATGACTTTAACATTAATGCCGCGCCCTCTGACGTTTTCTCGGTTCTTCAAGACATTCTATCTATCAATCATATGGCCAGATTCCATATCGTGCCTTGGTCACCGGTATGCAGATTATTTGGTGTACCCATGATGCCATCAATCACTCAATATTTTCAACTAGCCCGGTTGGATGAAGAGCGGGGGGACCATGCTCGGAGGCTCGTTAAATACTCAATATATTAACACTAGTGAGCTATTTGAGCGCATGACCTACAGGCCCGCGTGGCTGACGATTATTGTAGTGGCAAACTACCTCTTGAAGAGCGTGCAGGCATTCTCAAACAAGGGGATTCCCATTTATGCAATCAGTATCCAGGTACGTCGAATCACGACTGACTGGTTCACCAGTATGACCGTCGCACCAGAATGAGCCGGAATACAGCGACTCCACATATCCGAGTTGCAACATGCCGGTGGCAACTGAGGCACAGATTGGGTTGGCTCTGCGCACGCTGTTGAACAATGATGGTTTTTCGGGTGTAAAGATTATTGGTTACGACCACAACTGGGCGGACGCTGCCAACTATCCTGTCCAACTAGTGTGCAATTCCCCTGAGTTTATTTCTGCGCGATGCTGAGACGCTGGCAGATGCAACAAGCGGAAAGTGCCTTTGACGGGGTGTCTTTCCATTGTTATCAGGGTTCCGTCAGTGACCAGGCATCATTCACTTCTCAGTATCCAAACAAGGTATTTTATTTTGGGCTTTTGGTCCATTCTTCCCTCAGTGAGTCATCATTCAGGAAGTGTACTTCACGGAGTGCTCAGGGGCCCTTGGCTCTGACTGGTGGAGTGATATCAAGGTATTTATCTCCGAATCAATTTGCTTCAGACGATATGAATTAATCCCGTTACCAGTGGTACATGGACAATCTGTACGTAGCCAGTTCGTGAACTTGATCATCCTCTGACCTTGTATGGCACTTTCAAGTTTCATCGGCAGCATCTCATACGGTTCCTCCTCTGGATTGATGTGGAATCTCGCGCTCGACGGAAGTGGTCAGCCATTACTTCCAGGCACCGACAGCTGTGGTGGTGGATGTCGTGGTGTAGTCCAAATCAATAATGATGGAACTTGGAGCGTAAACCAAGAATTTTACTCTATGGCTCAAGCTTCTAAAGCAATTCTTCCTCGCGATGTCGGCGGTCCATGGGGCCAGCGAATTGGCGTGAGCGTTGGCGGTTCGCTTGACTGGGCTCTTGTGGTCGGCGCCTACAAGACGGGCAGGGTTTCGTCGAGTGACTGGAACAGATACAGCATCGTGGTACTGAACTGGTAGGGATTCTTGGATTCCAACTGCATGAAAAGATGCTAATCCTTCGTCAGGGATGACAGTGCGTCCACCACTTGGAATCCTCAGCCTGTCGAGGCCACTATCGAGTTCAGGGGCATGCAGGTGGGTGAACCTTCTAAAAGTTTGTGGACGAGTTCCCTGATCATCATGATAGGCTACGTACACATTTCCCGTCGGTGTTACCACGCTTTGGTGGTACGCTCCCAACTAGCTGTATCTTGATATCTATGTATTTTTTTCACGTCCCGGGTTTGTTATATGTGTATTATTTTGTTTGTTGATTTATTTGTATCAATAAAACTAATTATGCCAGCTTTCCAATCGAATTGTTGCTGTGCAGACTCACATGCAGCCCTGGCATCCTAATTGCATCATCCTGCCGGGGTTAAGCTGCTCTATGATATTGGGTTCTAATAATTGCTTGTTTCTCCTACAGATGGTTTATGCACTGTGCAGCATCGTCCGTCTTTTCACGATCAGAGAGATGTACATCAGTCCCACCTGCGACTGTTGTACGCCTTGCCATTGTACGATTCAGGACTTACCCCAGCATCAAATTCGCTGGTCGAAGTGATAAAATTACGACATTCTACGAGTCCTGGAGGGATCGTGGTCATTCATTCCGAAACTGGTTCTTCATTCTCTTTCTGACGCATTCTAGGCATAAATCTTATCGTGCAGCCTCAGGACAATTCTGCAACACGCGCCTGAGCTCAGTGTCTAGAATCCTGGTCTCAAACTCAATTGCGTACAAACTAACATTGGGCATTGCACCCGATGTGATTTAATGGCTTTGCAGATCCAGAGTGAGCTAGAAGGCCCGCAGAATAAGGGAGGCATTTAAGAGCGCAACAACCAGTGTGAGTTGGTAAGACCGCATGCGTATAAAATAGCTTTACCTTTCCGCGACAAGTTGACCGGCGCATACATTAGAAGGACCATTGGTTCAAAGATCGAATAGTTAAAGGTCCATGCTTACCACAGACCAAACCCGCAGACAAAGAATTTTAGATTATCGCTCAGGCTACCTTGGTCGTCGATCCAGCGCCGCGTGGAACTGTCATAGGAAATCAATTTACTTACCTATGTTCTTTCCGATGACCGCATCGAGCTCAGTCTGAACTTTCACTTTGCTCCTCGGGGAAACGTGCAGCTGCCATGAACATCGTGCATATTGCAGCAGAAGGCTTTCACCTGATTTCAGCCCCATATCTTCAGAGAACGACAAAAAAAAACCTCGTATCAGATCGTGGTATAAACAAAAGGAGTTTGAAATATAGCAGAGTGAGCAACACGGGCAGAGCACATCAACGAGAAGCAGAAAATCTGATAAATAAGCGCGAGACACGATGAGGAAATCGTAGATTAATGATGACCATCGATATACTCGGGAGACGTACAACATATGAAAAGCCAGAGGCGAGTCCAGTGTCCAGCCTGTCTGAGCATTACATCAGGGCGCGAGTGCGTCGAGGTTGTAGCTGCGCTGGTATCACCAATATCAGGTGTGGTAGACGAATTGGAAACAGGTGGCTGCGGTTGCGAAGATGGCTGTGTCTGAGTCGCACCACTGGATTGTGTGGCGTTGGGTTTGGGAGGCCGTGAGCTGCCCAGAATAGTGCGTAATGGTTTCGTTTTCCGTTTCGCTCCCGCTGAAGCATTCCTCTGCATGATGTCAGGTCGACTGGAACATCTGGGAAGGAGAAAAAAACATACACGTTGTCCCGGTGCATGCGGGACCTCAAGAACTGCTGGGCTGCTCCCGTGGAATTCGATGCTATCTCGTCCGCGCCGTTTCAAAAGGTGTCGAGCCCAGTCGACAGAGGACGGCGAGGTATCATGTGCATCGGAGTTGCTGCGGTGGAATAAGCGGCCAAGAAATGTGCTTCCTTGAGGTGCTGAGGAGTGGAGGTGGCTTCGTGGAGAGAACTGAGCACACCAAGTCAGGAAAAAACATTGAATTGATAATTAGTACTAAGAACGTACACGAGAATGATCAGGTGGGACATCAAAAAAACCTTGTGGTACCCGATTGGCAGGCTGACGTCGCTGGACCGGATGTCGTGTAGCATTAACCTATAGTGTACATGTTTGAACGCAATGAGATCTTTTAAGAAAGAGTCACATACACGGAGTGCCGGCTTGTTGGCCTGGCAGAGCGCGTTCAGTTGTGAGAATGAAATAAAATGAGGTATGTCGACTTACCTTTGGATCCAACAGAAGTTCGTCGAGACCAGCTTCTTTCACAATGGTAGCAACATCCCATGTGTACGCATTGTTATCATCACAGCCAGTTGCTAGTAGCTTTCCATCCGCGGAAAATGAGACGCAGGTAACTGTATGTGCATGTTGGAGTGGAGAATTAATAGGCTGGCTGTTGTCGAGGTTCCACAATCGCGCTGTCTCATCGGCCGATGCGCTTGCGAGGATGCGGCCATTCGGGGATATTGCAATGCCATTAACAACGCCGGTGTGCTCATCCAGAACTGCGATCTGCTCCCATGATTTTGTATTCCATGTCCGAATCGAGGAATCCCATGACCCGGAGATGAGCGTTTCACCGTCTGGGGTCCAAGCCAGGCACCGCACCCAATCTCTGTGTCCTTTGAGAGTTGCGACAAGCCCGCCAGTTTTAGCATCCCAGATTTTGATTGAGGACTCGAGGTTATCGGTACGATCACCTCCATGTCCACCAGTCGCAATCATGGTGGTGTCTGGCGAATAGATGGCTGCGAACACTTTTGCATGCCCTGTCTTGATTGGCCCGGGTGCCAGGATCGTTTCTCCGCTCTTCACATCCCACTGCCTCGCAGTCCCATCAACAGATCCGCTCAATACTCGCTGACCGTCCCGACTCCAACAGACAGAAGACACTACCTCTGTGTGTCCCGTCCATTTCGCGATGACCTTGCCTTCGTCGATGTCCCACAACCTCACTCCACCGTTCGTACTCCCGCTAATCACTTTCTTCCCATCTGGGGACAGCGCTATACTGTACACTCCACTGTCTCTGTCCCGCCAGTCTTCTCCTATCTGTTTCCCCCTCTCCAAGTTCCATACCCGCAGCGAGCCATTTTTTGACAAAGTAATGATCCGCTGTCCGTCAGGCAGGTGTACGACGCCCTGGACCCAATCGGCGTGTCCTTCCAATTTCTGGCGAGGCGTTATTGCTGATATACCTTTCGTTTTAGTGGTGGGTGAAGACATGCTCCAAAATTCCTACTACCGGATGCAGCACCGTCTCAGCTTTCATACAACATATTCCGAATTCATCACTTACCGAGGACAACAGCGACGGGTGGATAGTAGGGGAAAATGGGCGTTCAGATCAAGTCAGAATGGAATCCACTGCTTCCTGGTACGTTTCACATGCTGTATCATCGTGTTCACAGCTTACGTACAGAATAGGCTGTGCAGCACAAGCGCCCAAGCCTCATTTGTCAGTGTCCAACCGGGTTGCATCTTACAGAGCCTCGGTCCATGATTAGCTAGTTCTCGACAACTAGATAAGACCTGGGGCTGTTCGCTGCGAAGCACTCTCGTGCATTCTCGATGTCTGTTGTTGATGAATGGTATCATTCCAGAGAGTTGCGTTGCCTATATGCTAGCGCCCGTTATCTAATTGGCTCTGGAACATTCCCTCGTACTGGCTCACTGTGTTTTTTGCTTACTGGTCAGACTTTTATATTGGCATTCGGACCCCTCTGAGTCGTCTTCTGCTTACAGCAACAGTTTACGCAAAAGGCCAAGGAACATTCGCTGCCACACGCTTCGTTCTTCTCTTCCACTTGAGTCGTATGCTGCCTGGCGATTGGGATGAGTCACCCGAACTTACTATTCTGAATTGATAGGTTCTGTTTCACGCATCGAGGAGTGGGTATGAATCATGGTGATACTTAACCACCCCACAGATGACGAAATAAACACGTACCGTATCCTGAAGTTCCTGTTCAGAGGTGTTCCATTTTATGCCGGAGATCATACATCAGCAAAACCCAAATGGGGTATGTGGCACTGCATATTGCCGTACAGTGACTCAGGGTTCGCAGGAAGGTCCCCCCATGTGCAGCCGAGCCGTAGTGTGTGCTTCGGATGTGTCATGCTGTGCAGTCGGGTACAGCTGGCACAGCGCTGCACAATCCTGCACAACACTGTAGCGCTGTATGACGCTGTATAGCACAAACCTGCTATGCAGTGTCATACAGTGGTGTATGGTGTTCCATAGCACTCTTATTACACTACCAGTACTGCTAGTATAGTTTTTGTTCTTGCATGCTAGCAGCGCATTAATACGAAGCCAATGATAATTCAATTCAAAATAAAATGATAGGACTAGTAAGTAGTAGTATGTAAAACTACGCGAGATCAACATCCCACTCTGAGCTGTCGTCACCTTCGTGATCACCAAGGCCGGCGCCATGTACATTCCTAACTCGATGGTCAATATACTGCTACTGCCATGAAAAATCATGCCGAAACTTACATGCCTTCCAATGCCCAAGCTTTGAGCATTTGACGAAGTTTCGGCCCGTGATACGCGTCTTTGTTCGTGCAGTTGAACAGCGTAGAAATGCGATCGTATGCATTCTCCGAATCCTCGATAGGCGTCTGCTTGGTGCGATTCACCTGGCCATATTTACTGTAGATGCAGATGACATTGCGAATCTAGGATAAACTCAGAATCAGTGAATGCACTTCAAGTTTAAGCATACTACAGGCGCACTCACAATAGTCCCAACGAGGAAGAGCGCTGCGGGCGGGATGGTCTTCTGAAACTCGGCGAAATGCTTTAGCGATTTGGATCCATTGTCATAAAATGACTTATGGCAAACGATGCGAACTGCGTCGTTTGCAAAGTTAGATGCACGACCCTACTAGATGTTTAGAATCGAATATCAAGGACGACGAACAACGTACCTCAGAATCAGGCTCGCCACGCAAATATATTGCTTTCTTCAGCAAAGCGGTTGCCTTGAGTTTGACGCTATCAGTTGTATTCCCGTTGATGCCGAGGGCGAGTTCATATACCATCGGAACGACAGTAAGTACAATCTGTTTGATCTTGCTGCGGAATGTCGCGGCATCGTTAAAGACCTAGATCCGTGTGACTTAGTTAATGGAAATATATCTTGGTAAAAATCGGAGCACTCACCACGGTAGCCATCCCCGTTTTGAACTCAGGGTAGTAGCCTTTGTATGTGTGTCAGTGGGCGGTAACACTGTAATTAGAGAAAAGAAAATACCTTTCTCGAGTTTGCGTTTCTGTTCTTGCCACTGTACGATCGCTTCCGCGATCACTTCACCACAGACTCCGGTACCACCGATGGATTCCTCTTTGTCGGGGAATGGGACTGAAGTAGCAATATAGAGCCTGAAATTAGCCTTCGCGCGGTCAAGGAGTTTTTGCCAGAGTGATGGGTAGAACCCAACATTAGTTGCATCACGATTGGTAGCAGCACCCTTCGCGTTCTTGGTGCGGTGGCGCCTCCCACTATCGATATCGACCTCATTGAGATCCTCCAAGTTGTCCTGCTGGTCAGAGTCACGGTCATCGCTTGACTGGGAGTTTCTTGTGCGAGCACGCTTGGTCTTCGGGTGGTGGTTCCGTGCACTGCTCAAATACGTAGGGGACGGAGAACGTGGTCGACGATTTTTCGTGTGGTGAGCCTGGAGGATATCATAATCGATATTTGGCTGAAAAACAGTGTCAATACATGGCGATAGTATGGGTGAGTACTTACGACTACGGGAGCGTTCAAAAGACTCGGAACTTGTTTGTTAGTACTCTGTAGACCGGATCGCTTTGGCGCCGTCCTGCTAGTGGTGTGGTTATTCCGATCATGACGGTCCATGCCAGCCACTCCCGCGCCATCCTCATCCTCATCCTGTGAACACACGCTATGATCAGGTGCTTGCGTAGGGTGTCTTGCTTGCGTGCTGCCACGATAGGTTTGATCACCGTGATGTGGGGGGTGCATGACGGTGTCACTCCCGTAAAAATCCTCCTCGTGCTCCATAATCTCATCCAAATCATCGTCTTGCACAAAATCTCCACCCTCAAGCTCGTTATCAACGCCATCATCTTCTGCAAAATCTCTGCCCTCCTCAATGTCATCTTCATTCTCTTCAATGTCATCTTCATCCTCTTCAATGTCCGCCTCTTCATGACCTTCTCAGTTTCAACGATGGACATATTTTGACTGACGAAGGAACCGAAAGCAGGAGGGAGTGCGAGCAACGGTAATGGTGGGGTGTCATGGTCGCTGATGGCTCCCGCTGAACAGCAGTGTTGAGAATAGGAATAGATGAGCCCGAGCGTTGGTTGACGACAGAATGAGAAAACACTACGAGAAACAATACGAGCACCAGCAGGATGCTGGACAGCTGGAATTCTACTTTCATCAGCCTGATGGTCATGAGGAGCGCCATAAGAGGGCGCGTGAGAGACACTTCGAGAAGCACCGCGAGAAGCACCACACCGAGAAGCACCACGACGAGAAGCACCACGACGAGAAGCACCACGAGAAATACCACGAGAGACGCTGCGAGAAGCACCTTGAGAGGTACCATGATCATTGACATAGGGCCGGGCAGGAGATATCGTTAAATCAGGCTGAGGATCTGTTTGGTGGGACTGGAGTGGTTTTGGAACCAACATATGTTGAGGGAACTGGATGACCCTGCAAACCAAACCTTCCCGTATCCGCGACGTGGTAGAGCAGGTGTGGGACCTGCAGCACTAGGGTTTGACTCGGATGCCTCCTGCTAAATACCAAACATTAGTACCGCCGTGATGATGCAGTTTCAGGATGAACATCAACCAAGCAGGTACTTACTATTGCACTTAAGTTTCTCCGAGTCTCAAGCTGCCGAGGAGCTTTTCCTCCCTCTTCTTCTTTGCCACCGGAGCCATCGCATTTTCAGGTTCATCAAACGGGACAACGACGTTCTGAACCTTTGATTTTCCAGGTGCTCTGGCCGGAGTCTGAAGAGCATTTCCTATCTTCTCTAGCTGAGAATTCCTTCCTCCAGCACCAGCACCAGGTCGGTTGGAACGACGACGGGGAGGTTGGACCGACGTCACTGGTTCATTGTCGATGTCTGATTCAACGACTTGAAGCGACGGGACTCCGACTTGTTGCCCCCTCTGTCGGCCCATGGTAAGCACACGACTAGTAGGCGAGTGATGGAGAAGATGAACCTTCAAAATCAGGTTAAATAATAGTTACAGCATCCATGGGTAGGTACCAGCATGGTGCTTAATTACTAAGTGGTAGTACTACCGAATCCGAATCGTACCGACACGTTCACGAGTTACGTACTAGTACTACAGTAGCAAAGTCCAGCACTAGTACCTCCGTCCCGACTCCCTGCTCAATCTCAATGACAACTAATTGCCCTAACTGTTTGAAAGAGTTTCAGAGCGCTTGGGCTGTTTCACGACACCTGAGCCAGCCCCTTACATCCTGTCTACGATGGGTTGATCAGCTTGAGGATGCAGCGCAAATCTTGCAAGACTCACAGTTCGCGGACCAGCACGCAACTCTCGGCCCATCTGAGTCGTCATCCAACCCTCGTCATTCCAGAACACCAAGCCCTTTTCAAGTTCAAGTTGATAGTGAGGAAATGGTGCATGTTCAGGATTTGAATGACTCGGGCTATTTCTACGGTGACGAGGGAGGCGTGGTGGGCTTGGAGAGTGACCTGCCAGGGTCGGTTGAAGAGCCTTTGGGCAGCCAAGCTTCGGAGAAGCCTTACGTCGAGCGCTTCAGGAACGCTGCGAAAGTGTATCGGCGCGGCCAGACCTTTTGGGACAGGTTTAATATGGATCCCTATTCAGCATATCGCAAGGACAACCTTTACTATCCATTCGCGTCCCGTCAGGACTGGGAGCTCGGCAGCTTTCTCCTGTGCTCGTCATTAAGTATGGCCGCCATAGATGAGTTCCTGGAGCTCGACATTAGTACGGCTTGAGTCAGCTGGCATGTTACCGTCACAAGTGCTTGATTTCTTCGCAGATTAAGCATTGTCTCTCTCCTTTTGTACAGCCAAGGAGTGTGTGGTCGTGCTGAGCTGCTTACCTCCTGTTCCGACAGTGGCAGTAGTACCGCATAGTCTCTCAACCACTCACCCAACAAAAACAGCTGCTATATTTGTACTGGCGCGATCCATTGGATTGTATCGAACTCGCTTTTTAGCCACCCGTTGTTTGTCTAAAGAAATAGATGTCACGCCGCAACGTGTATATCACACAGTGGGAACGCACATCACGAATTTACAATGAATGGCTGACAGGTGACGCAGCATGGTCGATGCAGGTAATACATACCTGACTCTCAATGGTCTCCAACTTGCTAACTCTCACATCTCATCGTAGTCACAACTTCCAGATGGTGCGACATTGTTAGGGCATCATACTGTCCTCTGATAAGACCAACATCACCAACATGACTGTGGACGTGTCGCTCAACCCGCTCCTGATCAGCCTTGCCCATATCAAGATGGCAACTCGAAACAAGGCATCCTCACATGCTTTCCTCCTAACAGCGCGCTTCCAATTGCTGAATTTCTGCATCCAGTGAATGACACGGATGCAGAGTGTTCTTGAAGCCCGCTTAGTCCACCAGTGTCTAGATATCGTGCTAGAGCCGCTCAAGCAAGCTGCACGCATCGGCCGGATGATGTCGGACCCACTTGGGAACCTCAGATACTGTTTCACTCCCTTAGCTTCGTACATTGTCGATACACCCGAGGCATGCATGCTCGCATGTGTCCGAGGAAAGACCTCACCGATCACTATGGCTATGTATGAAAACTTCGGAGACGCCTTCCAGCACTCCCCTCGAACAGCTAAAATGACTCTCGACCAGCTTTCGAGCATTAGTTGTGACCCCCTCGACGTCGAAGGTTACTTTAATGCATGCGCTCCATTCCGCCTGAGTGGCGTAGCCCAGCCATTCTGGCGTGATTGGTCACTTGCGGATCCGCATGTATTTTTCACTCCCGAACCCCTGCATCACTGGCACCGTGAGTTCTATGATCACGATGTTAAGTGGTGTCTTGCAGCTGTTGGCGAACAGGAACTAGACTTTCGCTTCTCCGTTTCGCAACCACTCACGACGTTCCGACACTTCAAGGTATGGCCATTTCCAAGCTTAAACAAGTCACTGGAAGAGCCCAACGTGATATGCAACGCTATATTGTTGCTCTCGTTGCCGACGCAGCCCCCCGTAGTGTTGTGATAGCTGTTTGCGCGCTGATGGACTTTCGCTACATATCGCAAGCGACACGATCGACGAAGTGCATTGTCAAAGATTCTCGGTGCCCTCGAGGAATTTCACGAACACAAGCAAGAAATCATTGCTTGCGGTGCACGTCGAGGTGCAAAGAGCAAACAGGTCCTCGACAACTGGCATATACCCAAATTGGAGTTGATGCAGAGTGTCGAGCCCAGCATACGTCAAGTCAGCTCTCTCCTTGCAGTGGTCTGCTGACACCACAGAGCACGCTCACATCACCCTAATCAAGGATCCCGCAGATTCCTCCAACAACATCAACTATGATGCTCAAATATGCCGGTTTCTTGATCGCCGAGAGAAATGTCGAAACTTCCAGATTGCAACATCAATAATCGCTCGTTCACAATCGCAGTCACAAGCTTCTACTTCTCGAATGACGGACGCCAGTTCGGAACATCATGATGAGTCGCACGACGAAGATCCACACGCCGACAAATCAAACTTGCAGACAGGTTTGGATGATCTCTGGGGGCCGAAGCGTGTAGTGACCGATTTCTTCAAGAAGGCAGAGCAACTCTCTTCAGATATTGAAGTAGCCAGACCTCTCCGCACATTCGTGGTCGGTGCAGCAGCAATCCACCTGAATTTCGATCCTTGATACGACGCATACCAGTCGATGTCGTCGCTGAAAAATTCTCTCTACCTGACTTGCGGGGAGCACTCGCTGACTATATTCAACGAGAGGGTATGGCTCAGAATGTCCACTCGCTGAGGGGACAACGCCGAGCATTGCCTGATGCACCTCTTCCTTTTAATGACCTTATGGTCTGGTTTAAAGTACGCGTGCAGCAGGCATCGTACCACAGCCCATCAATCACTCCTCCTGCTCTCACAGTCAACGCGCATCCTCCGAGCGCAACTTGGAAGTATGGGCGTTATGACGCTGCTATTTTCACTGTTGATGACACCGGACGTGAACAATGGCCTACTAGTGGGCTTAAAGGTATGTTTCTCAGATGTCCATTTGTATACTTGTGTCCGAGTTTGACATCCGAGCAACTTGCAGGCCATGATGTTGTTGAGGTGCACCTTATCATGCAACCGCTTCCTCCACAAGGAAAACCTGGTAGTGCCCCTTGGGCCACGCGTTTTCTTACTTATGTTCAGCGCCTAGATGTTATGCCTCAGCGTCATGGAAGCTTGCTGGAATGCACAACACAGATGCATGTTTTAAAACGTGCAATGCGATCAGCAGGGACTCCCTTCGGTGATATCCTCCCACTAGATCAACTTCGTTCTTTTGCTCAAATTATCCCCCGCTTTGGTCGTGTTGCTGATTCTCGTTTAACAGCACAAAATAGTGCTCACTTTGCTCAGACATTCTTCCTAAATAAGTACATCAACAAAGACTTCTACTATGCTATCTCAAACTAGTGTAGTCTTTTGCATTATGATTCAATGGTATGAAGATGATAGTTGATATTAATTATTGAAGCACTCTGCGCTCGATGTATGATACTATGCGTCACTGTAAGACACTGCACAATCCTAGACTGTACGAGGACCTGCTGTGTAGCGCTGTATAGCGCTACCTTACGACACGTGGCTCTCAGCTGACTAATAAACTCCAGTCATCAATGGAGATGATTGACAGGCCAACCCCCACTGGTTGTCAGCATCATACTACCTCTCTCAATGCCTGTCACCAGCAATCTCACTGGCATGGCTCTTCCAGCTCTTTATTCTAAGCTCTCACAGAGTTCAAAATCTTGGCTCTCAAGATCACCCTCAATGAATTTGATCCTCCCTCCTCAATGTGTACAACTCGAGAAAATCTCCTGTTCCTTGTATAATCATGTTCCAACGGAAACAGAACTTCAAGACAAGCAAATCCTTGAAGACCTCAAGACAGCAATAAAGACAACACTCGGGGTTCAATTTACAGACTTGGATAATCCCGATTCTTTAAGCTTAGGTTAGTATTTCTCAGATCAGCTTACTACACATTCAAATCTTCTTCCTGACCATTCATCAACACAAACTTGAAGACCATTGCGCCATTGTCCTTGAAGCACTCCAACATCCTCAACCTCATACAATTGTAGGCCGATCTACACGTTAAGTATCGTAGATTCATATTTACCGTTATCTGAGGTCATCGCCGATATCACGCCTGCAGAGTACGCGGTGGTGGTAGCATTTACGTCGGAAGAGCGAGATTTTGAAGTCAGAGCAAAGTAAACACTAGAGTAGTAGCTGAGTCGTACGCGTACACTGACCACGTCTTATTTCTTACTACAGATTCGTCTACTTCGCGGATACTCAAGATATATACATCATGCCCCCCCTTCCCGTCCATGAACAACCAGCTGCGCACCTTGCGAAGGCCGTGAACAAGTTCACGGAAGCCATCCCTTACGACAAGCTCCTGATCGACACCACTGTACACCTCAATCACCGCATCCAAAACAAGGATTCGACGAATATACCAGATCTACACCTTACCGTCACAGCACAACCCCCGGAGGATATAGAGTCAGATGAGATGGTGGTAGCGAAGCCGGTGTCCAAATGGGTTGGAGAATGCGGGCTTTCCTCAGATACCAACTGCATGGTGCGGAAGCTAAGCAACACATGCGACGGCCATCAAGACATTGATTACGCTTTCATCATATCCTTCAAAGAGCGAATTAAATGGCAACAACCGAACGAAGGGGATACCACTATTCAACAACTTCGCTCAGCTCCCGCGTTAGATTACGAAGACTTCATCCCATCCCGCATCAAGAAGAGCTTGAGGTTTGGACCGGTGGAGATCAAGTCTCACACCTGGATTGATATCAGCGAGGTCCGCTATAGCATATACAAACGTGGCACGGACGGTCACTTTGATTTCAACAACAAGGATGCTTCTACCTTCGCAGAGGGGGTACGTACTATGTGTTCACCTTATTAGTATCTACTAATTTTTGGCCTCAACTCACCCCCCACAGACCCTTTACCCCGTGTTGCAGATGGGTGATGTTGAACGCATGTTGGATAACGCCGCAGATAGCTTGAAGGATTACATTGTATCGTTGATGGAGGGTATGGGTCTTGAGGAGAGTGCAGTTCAGAGTGCGCGTGATTCCCATCCCGTATTCGAGCCCGTTTGGGGGGCAGCCCTCAACTCTATCTCCTCTGCGATCTACCTTACAGCATATTGCCGCTACTTGGACTGGCGCCACCACAAATACGACAAACGCAAGACAATGCACGTTGTTGTTCAACAACCCACAAGCTCCGAGTCTACCAGTACCGGACCAACCGATCCTTCGACCATTATGACAACTTCTTCCTCATCTGATCCCACAACTCGCCCCTCGTCCGCCACGACGCCGGCCTCTTCATCTACTGGGTTATTGCTCGACGTGCAGCCTGAGCGCTCAGCAAAGAAGTTGAAGGTTCAGCCGGAAGGTGAAGGGTCTACTAGGGGGAAACAGCAGAAGGAGGCAAAGGCGCAGGTGAATGGGAGTGGGAGTGGGAGTGGCAAGGGGAAGGGGAAGGGGAAGGGTCGTCAGTAGTGGGCTCTTGCCGTGCTGATCGTCAATGGTAAGTGTCCGTTGTTCGACTCAACTTCCTCTTAACACTGACGATTTACAATTGGTAGTACTTCAAATCTTTGCTTGTTCCGAGTCTATCGCACCAGCACTCCGAGTCTTTGAATTTGCTGGTCTACTACTACTAGTTTGTTGCATTTCTTTTGTACTTTCAGAGCCTACTACTACTATGGATGTTTCTCACTGTACTGTGCGCTAGTTAGCCTATGTAGGTACTATGAGATTTGCGTACAATTTGTCACATCACGTTTAACTACTCACTCTCGGCATGACCCGGGAAAATTGAACTACTAACAGCATAACTTCAATGGCCTCTGGTGCCCAACCTGCAACAGACACGTCTCTTACAGGGATTTCACCTGATCAAAAACGCTTGCATGAGCCCCAGACCCATCTAATAACACAAGCAATTCACGCCGGAACGCGTGCGCCAGTACCACCAAAACCAATAGGACCTTTTTCTGCAGTCTCCAGCTCAAGCACAGAAGGACCAGTCGTAAACAACACATCATCCATTCATCGCACTCCATCCAAGTCGTCCATCTCTGAGGCCCAACATATGTCTACTGTACTAGTACCTACTGCTATGCAAGGTGTTTTGCATTCTAACTTGAAGCACATTGGAACGCCTAGGGCCATTGGCGCTCTACGAAACCGATCCCCTGCATTATTGTGCCACTTGACCACGCCGAATGTTGCGCGTTCTACTCTCGGGTTGAACGCGAACAAAGTTCCATCACCTGTATTCTCGGTAAAAACAGAGTCAGACTCAAACTGCGAAGACAGCAACAATGTAAGTTCAACAGCATCCATACACGCTATCTAGTACTAAATGTCAATATTGCCCAGGAATCTACTCACACCATCGACACCCAGGCCCGGTCTAGCGAGGAACACAAGGCCCAGCTCATTTTGAACACGACCCATGCACAGCGAGATGTTTGCTTTTCGGAGAAGACACTCGCAGATTGCGTTGTCCAGCAGAATAGAGCACTTGGGCTCCTCTACCAGTTCGAGGCTACAGAAGCTGGGAGGAAGTTGGAGGACGCTCATATCGACATCGGTTATGTACGTCATTTGGTCCGCAAAATCGGCATCACATTGCTCGAAGACTCTACTAGTAGTAAGCCTAGAAAACGTCGTCGCAAATCTACTAGTCAGGTTGATGGTGATATGCTCAGCCCGGAAGTAGACTTGGCTCTGCCACTGCCCGGGCCACTGGCAGGTAATTGTATTCTGTTAAATTTGTTCGACCGCTCCTATTGACGTATTTTCTATGAAATAGATACAGGATCTGCGAGCGCGACCCAGAGCTGAGTCAAACACTCGAGATTCTTCTGAGGTAGCGCCCGATTCCTTGACCTGTTATTCAAACTATAGATACTCTTCTGGCACGACATATAGTATACTGGCAGTACTACTAGTAGTACTATTATACTACTATACTGTTTGACTTGATATCCCGGATCTACTGTATTAGCAGTCGCAGTACATTCTTTCAATGAATCAATGTTTGTTTCAAGTCGTTCTTTTAAGTCGTTCAAACTCAAGTCAACTCGAAGAGCTGGTAATACTAGTACTACTCGGGTCGTTCGCTGTAGCGCGCTATGTGGTGCTATGTCGCGCTGCAGAAGTCTACTTTATGTACAGTTATGTCATTGTGCACTGCACGTGGTCGCTACACATCACTACAGGTGCCTGCAACTGCTGTAAGGTGCTGTAAGATGCTGTAAGCTGCCACGGTAGCTGTGCTAAATTTAGTGTTTTGCTGATGTGGAGGGGAGAGGGAACCGTGCTGCCGCTAGTTACTAGGGAAGACTTTCCTTCGTGCGGGAAGGGTCGCCGTGACGACTTATGTGGAGTGTATGGTCAGTTACAGATTGAACTCATCCAAGTCACCTACTTACTATAGGACAGTTGTACCAGTGGTTCCTTCTGGTCCCTCGTGTATGCCTCATCATGCACCTGGACAGCGCCGTGGCATGGGTCATTATCGATTTATGTGTGGTTACGATGTACAAGTTTGGTGGCCGCAAGGTCGCGCAATTGAGCATCATGTATATCATGATCATGGGCGTCCATACGATTCGGAATTGCTGTCGGCGGGATCGAACGTTATTACTATATGGAGGTAATAGCCACCGAACCGCCTTATTATGGTATGAAATGGAAAGGCCGCATTTGTCATTTCCGACATATCGTCGACTTCGAGGCGCGCATCATATACGCCTGTACGCACAACCTTGAGCTTGAGTGCCCATTGCTCACTGTGGGCGTTCGCAGAGTTCACACTCTAGTGGTTACTACATACCAAGTATAGTATAAGCCTACTACTCTGAATGCTGAACAATTTTTCATCGCTTAGTCCTGCATTCGGAGGTCCAACAAGCTCGCGCAAAGTCCGTTGGACAGAACCATGTGCGCATCCCATTCTATTGTATGTCGTCTAATATATTGTGCCCTTATTATACTGAAAGCCATTTTGTTACTGAATCTTTTGTTTGCTTTGACCTAGAGCCGTTTTCATTGTACTGCGGTCTCAGATACTTATTCGTTCCGAGTACAAGAGCACCTAGTATATCTAGCTAACTACAGACTCAGACTGTCACCTCAAACATTTGCCTTCGCGCGCACGACTGAGATTGTCTTTTTTTAGTTCCAGACCCGCGCGATTGTATCAAATTTTCACCTTCATGGATGCTTCAGAGATGAAAGAGAAGATCGGCCGCTTTCGAATCCTCATCATAGGAAGAGCGAGTGCAGGAAAAACCTCCATCCTCCAGAGGTTTTGCAACACCTCCGACAGCCCAGAAATATTTAACAGTGCTGGAGAAAAGGTGCGCATCGTGATGCTAGTCCGCGGTTGATAGTGATATGTCCCATCGACCATCAGATCGATGACACTGTTTTGGGCGCATCCAGAGGGGTAACGTGTACTATCATCCGCTGGAAACATGAACTCACATGCCATCAGCGTGGTGGAAACGATATCAAGAACGAAACCGTGTTTCAAATCAACCCAGGATTTGTCTTTCACGATTCACGTGGTTTTGAAGCAGGCGGTGAATCCGAATTCAACAATGTGAAGGAATTTATCGAAGACCGTTCGAAGCAACCAGATATAAAGGATCGCATCCACACCATATGGTAATTGAACAAGTTAGTGACATGTACTGGCTTACTTCTTTGACATAGGTACTGTATCCCAATGGATGAGGAAAGCAGGTCTTTCACCCAAGCGGAAATCAAATTTTTCTCTCACTGCAACACTGGAAGCAGTAAGCTTTTGCATCCATATGTTGTCAATGATCGACTGATTCACAACCTGTGTCCTCAGTTCCAGTGGTTGTATTGTTTACAAAATTCGATGCCCTCTACGACGTCGAATTCGCACGACTGCAGAAACAAGGAAATTCGAGGACAGTCGCTAAGGAACTGACCCCGAAGAACGTCGAGGAGCAATTTTCAAATGGGTCACAATTGAAGTTTTTATATAACTCCAAGGACATCCAACGGCCTCCGAATTGTCACGTATGCCTCGCTGGTAAGCTGTGGATAGTCGAATTGCGATACGCCATGACGGTTTATGTCGATCCACTAGACATGGACAAGAAAGATGCAGACTGCGGGCCACTCATCGAGCGCACGGCTGGAACTCTGAAGAATGAAGTCCTTCAACAATTGTTCGTCTCAACTCAGCAGACCAACTTGGAGCTCTGCATGAAATATGCAGTAGAAAGGTAACTGCCCATAATATCATTTGCCTGCTGCGAGTGTTATTGACTATCGTCCAGGGAACTTGCAGGACTTGTTGCCTCTGAGGAAGAAATCTCATATGAGGATACAATAGCGAGATCGAGTTGCTGGTTTCCACTTATTCAGGTAAGATTATGGGGATGTTCGAAAGCTGCTCTCATCTACTATGTCGGGCGTTTACTTGCAGATGGTACGTCTGTTGCTCCTCCGTGCTCGGACCATACTGATCGAAGTCTAGCTTGACCGTGCTCATCGTGAAGAGATGCAGTCTAAAATACTCGCTGTGGTATGCCCAATTAGGCACAGATGTACACACAATTCTCACATCGCAAATGTGCCAGGTTTCTGGCTCATCGCCATTGGAGAAAAGTATTCAGCTCAGTTCTGGTGAATTATCAGGCCAAGTTTCAATGAACTTGCTCATAATTGATCGTTTAGCTGCTGCCATTATTTTCGAGCACTCTTTCTACATTTTCAGCAAGCAGCGCTATATTCAGGATCAGAAGTCTTATCCTTCTGTTCTTGACGCTCTCGAGCAGTATATGGCGTCTCCGCAAGCAGCTGCTGTCAGGGAAGCTGTGAGCACTGCCATTCAGGCTTATCAAGAAGCTGCGAGCACTTCCAGCCCATCTTCTTGGAGGGCGAAGCTACCGTTTGGAAGGTCCAAAAGGAAGGCGAAAACATATGACAGGAAGGAGGAGTTGATCAAAACAATTCTTGAAATCACTTTACAGCATCGCCTACGTATGTTCCAACCCTTGAGATTGTAGCAATCCCGCTGATATACCTGCCTCCAGCAAGACCTTGATACTAGGCAACTCAATGCAACATCAATAAGTTCCGGTTCGGAGTAGAGCTGAGATGTTGCGGCGGTGAATGCAGGTTTTTTGAATGGTCTGTCAAAGTGGTTTCAGGAGGTGCAATTGTACGAAATGATTGTATGATCACGCAATATGGCGTTTTTTCGGGTATGGTGTATAAGTCTTTAAAGCATCTCGGTCACCATGGCGAGACCTACTGGGCGTAATCATCCGATGTACTTGGCAAGTATCCGTGGTCCGATTGCAAGTGCATGAAGGTTGGGTATGTTCTGTGTACTAGTTTGTCTCAATTCTTAACAATCTCGTTTATTATCTCATAATGACTCTATCTTGTAGACACATGGAACGTCCTGACCATATCAGTGACTCCAGCTGATGGCAGATGAATAAGATCTCTGGAAAGAATTAGCTGTCAGCAGAAACTAGCCTTCTAATCCGACGGCCTTCAAGCATGGGACGCACCTTGAAAATCTTTCGTTTTTCGAGGAACGATTTACAGGTTACCAAGTCAAAGGTGGATGCGTTAATCCCTCGTACGTCAAGCGTTTGGCTACCGCCCTGTGCGTGCCACGGTCAGAGTCATCACCGTTCTTGTTTCCAAAAAAAAAAAATCCAGATAGGTTTATGGACCGCGTTGATCATAAGAGGTCCCAGGGCAAACTATGCTCATTGCTGTCGACAACGAACTTGAGCTTGTCCGTAAACATGTTCCCCCGCAGGTCAAGATCACGAGCATTTCTGGTGACTACGCCACACAAGCAGGTGCGCTCGAAGCTTTGCGACGCAACACCTGGGTGCATCTCGCTTGTCATGGAAAGTGGCAGAACCACGAGCAGCCTTACCATTCGTGTTTCATCATGAGAGATAAACCTGTCACGTTGCTTGATATCATGAAGAACGACACTCCGCAAGCTGAGTTCGCATTCTTATCGGCCAGTCATACTGCTGCCGGCGATAGGGAGATGCGAAGTCATCCACCTCGCAGCTGGCCTGCAATTTTCTGGGTTCAAGAGCATCATTGGTACTCTGTGGGAATTCAATGACGCTGTCGCAAAACATGTTGTCGAAGCTTTCTATGAAAACATGTTCCAGTAATTGGAGGAGGGTGACATGCCAGACTATACAAAGGCGGCCTGGGCGCTCAACAGGGCTACTAGTACGCACGCCGTGAAGTATAAAGTGCCGCTCGAGCAGAGGATTGGTTTCCTTCATATTGGTGTGTAATTCCTACCGAAACGTACTTTCATCTCGTATAAATCGACCAGTTGTTGATCTTGGGTTCTCTTATCCCGATGTACATGGACCTTGTTGTACCATCACCTTGATACCGTTGTTTTGCATTATCCTTCCTGCTGTGGTCTACTCTAGATTCAGATATTTGCCAAATTCATTGATTGCTCGAGTATTGAAATTGTCTTGGCGTATATTCTTCGTGCACTGCGGAAGGGAAAGTGCCGGCAAGGAGCACAGTCAAGGTTTGTTGGGGGCGAAGCAGTCTGGGCTTGACGTGGCGGTCGGTGATTAATCGATTGCTCGCATTGTGTACTTAGTCACATCTGTTTGTTGCCTTCAGTTTATCCCGAGACTTATGGAGTACACAAGGAATGATGATAAAATCAAGTGGGAATCAAATTCTTGAAGATGCATACATACGGTGCCTATCAGTTACGTACAGGATCTGTCAGCGTTCTGACGAAGCAATTGGTAGTCATACAAACGTGTCCGACTGATTGCACTGCACGATAGAATAGCATAAAAGCAACGGCCAATGCAGAAGGACCATCAAATTCGTGAACGAGCCCACAATGCCCTCTCCCAAAGTCTGGTTTAGTGAGCCTAGTCTTTCCTCTCCTACTAGACATTAACAATCGCACACAGTAACGGGGACGTCCTCAGGGTTCGGAAGACTCATGACAGAGCACGCCCTCAATCAAGGCGACATCGTAGTAGCAACCCTTCGCAAACCAGAGGTCCTGGCCGATCTCACAGCCCGATACCCAGCAGACAAACTCCTCGTGCTCAAAGTCGACGTCACCAAACAAGAAGATATCGACGAAGCATTCGCGCGCACGCGTGAGGCGTTTGGACGGCTGGACGTGGTTGACAATAACGCGGGTTATGGAATTGTCGGGGAGATTGAAGGCACACCTGTCGACAAAGCGCGCGAGCTTTTCGAAACGAATTTTTGGGGCGCGACGAACGTTAGTCGTGCTGCAGTGAAGTTCTTCAGGGAAGTGAATGAACCGGGTAAGGGGGGGATAATTCTTCAAGTTAGTTCGGCTGCTGGGTTTTATGTGCTTCCTGGATTGGGCTATTATGCTGCGGTGTGAGTCTTGATTTGATCTTGTTAAAGATGGTGCTGATTTAGTTGCAGTAAACATGGTATGAATCTTGAGCTTGATGTGTGGAAAGTTTGGTGATTGATGTGATGTACAGCGCTGGAGGGATTCACGGATGGCCTCGCCAAAGAGCTGCCAGCTTCCTGGAACATAAAGGTACGTCACCCTAACAAAGCAATACATCCGTACTCACGACAAAAAACAGATCTGCATAATTGAACCAGGTGCATTCCAAACGAACGCGTTGAGTGGGTCATTGCTGTTACCGCATCATCCAGCATACGACGATGAGTCCTTTCCGACTCGTGCGTTGCGTCAGAGTATAAAAGGCATGGTTCTCGATGGAGATGCGGAAAAGTTCACGCGGACTGTTTATGAGGTCGCGCAGGGAGAAAAAATACCCCTCCGGTTGCCTATGGGGTTGGATGCGCTTCAGATGCTGAACATTAAGATTGAGAATTTGAAGGCGACTGTGGATGAGACGAAGGGGTGGTCAGTGGATTTGAAGAAAGCCAGTGGATGAGCCGGGCTCATCGTACCCGTCTGAGTAGCTTCGTCGGAGGTGTAGGGAGTGGTGATTTTCATATGGACGAGGCAGGATGGACGGCGGGTATGTTTTAATCTGTGTCATTGAGGTCATGTACGATAGATGCTTTGGTTAGTACTTTGATTGCTGTACAAAGTGCAAGTTTTGCATAGCAAAGCTACGGTGTGGTCGATGTGACAGAAGGGAGGAGTCTGAGAAGTTGCGTTACCGTGACACACGCTCGGCGACGTCTTATTCAAAGTTGACACATTACACGGCAACGCCCGAGGTTGTCTTCTGATGCTGAAGAACCCAAGTGTTCGAACGTTCCACACCTGTACTATCTCATCTCATCCTGGACTACCAAAGATGGTCTCACACTCGTGTTCACGTATGAAATTGCCAATAGGCCGTGAGTTATTCTTTCATCTCTATCTCGAACACGAACCCCAAACTAGTATTGCTTTCAGAGTACAGAGAAAGCCTTCGTGCGTGCTCTACTTATGCAGAAGGCATGCGCTCTACGTATGCAGAAAGCATGTGCTCTGCAGAATGAATGCACTCAAGAAGACATTCGCTTCTGTTTTGAGTACGCATCTGTCGTACAGAATATCTGGATTGGAGCGGATTGGGATGTACAACCAGAACGACCCAACTTTCTCAGAACCCTGGGCTATGAGCTAGCGTCTGAGTGCGAACTTGCCATGAGCCTGTTGGCTCCGGTGCTACTTGCTGCGCCGTCTCTTGCCTTCGCCTGGACAAGTCTGGACCTTCTTGCAGCCTGCCTGGAAATTGCACGGAAGTCCCATGTGGACACAGATATCAACAACGAACATTCCCAGCCTCCCTGGAAAACCCAAACTCTGACGCTATCTGGCGAGACGATTTGCTACTTCCCATGGAAGCTCCTGACAGACACTTCCCACGGATCTGCATTCATTGTTTCGATCTCTCACCTCACCTCCAACGACACGGTCGTCAACCTCCCATGGGGGCCCCTCACAGACACTCCCCAAGGAACTGGTCTCCTTGATTATTATGCTCGCAACGCCCCCAAACTCCACGACCCTTATCTTTTCGCCTCTACTCTGAAAGACAATTATAAATACTACCGCCTACCTCCATGGATGAAGAAAACTCCATGGGCTTCTTTCAAGAGCCTTCAGACAATGTCTCTGGCCTATGCGCATACCAGACCCGACACCGATACATCCGCGTTGATCACAAGGGGATTGCCCTTGCGCGTGCAGGTACTGATGTTGTCTGCATCCCTGCTGAGAGGCCCTCGCGACTGCATTCCCTTGGAAATAGGGGGGCTCAATGAAACAGGTACTAGAAAGGAGTGTGTTGTGTCGGATGATATTCGTTTCAAGGTGTCCCTTCCTCGCTTATACTTTAGGTATGCTCGTGAAGATTGGTACAAGGTTTGGGCGTGCGGGTTTGGGCCGTTATAGATGACTAGGGATATGATGATTATGGTTGATATTGTGTGCACGTTACTGTACATCGCTTGGATGATTGCGAGACGTCGGTATGCATGCATAGGTTGACAGTTAGTTCACAAATAAATTCAGGGACAAAGTTCCTACTACATATATCGTCCAAATCGCCTATCCTTAAATACCACAACGAAATTCAAATAAAACATATACATAATCCCTGCCTAATATCCGGGGTTGATCACTTGGATGGTTTCTACTGCTACACATCTCCGCCAGTCAATACGTCTCCACCGGCCTGGAAAGCAATGGACGTCATGTGTGTTCCCTCGTCGGACTCGGCCACGATCTTAGCGTTATATTCACGAACACTGAGAATCAGACGTGGTCCCAACACACACATCTGGAACCCCACAGCAATAGTGAAAACGCCACCAAAAACAGCAGCTCCCAAAGCAGATGAGTACTGTAGGCATGATCAGGACTGGTCAATTGCAGGCGCCAGTCGCAGGTCAACGCACCATGAGAGTTGGAGACAATGAACCAAGAGCGAAGCATTCCACGACAACGAAGCTAGCGCATGCGAAACTTCAGCAAAACCAGATAGCAACATACAAATCACCGCGCTCACGCTAGAAAGTACCACGCATGACTTTGTATTAGCACCGTGAAACAGTCTCCAATGGTCGATCCTCTGTGCAATTGTCGCAGTTCACGGAAGTGTTTTATAACAATCCAGACTGCAAGAAAAAAGACAAGGATTTCCCATGTAGCGGTGGGTATCAACATGTCGTCATTCAGATCATTCGCGCTTGCGTCCAATTCGAAGATACACATATGGAAACCAGAGAGCACGGCCTCCCCTGGTATTTGACCATGAGTCCTGTGTGCTCAAGGTTGTCATGAATAATTAAAGCTTACCCCCTGAAAAACCCAGATTTCCAATTACCGTCATAACTCCGGTGGCGATTGTGGAAACCAGCAAGAGTATGGCGAGAACGATGAGTATCTTTCTGGATTGCCCATACATGGCGTGTATCCGAGTCATCAGGATGACTTGCATGATATTTCAGTCAAGTCAGTTTCAGTATGGTACAGCAAGTGAGCTCACCGCCCAGCATGGCATTGACGACAACAGGTATCCACATATGTACGAAATAAAGAACATTGCCTGAAAACTCAGCGTTAGATGTGCATTGATGAATTCGATACTTCAAATGAACTTACAGCTGTCGCGGTCATTATGCTGTACCAACACATCGAACTTTTGGACTCACCCCTGTGTAGTAGTGCACTTAGTGGTTGAATGGGAATGGGAACGTCACACGTCGGTGCTGAATACCCACTATGTCTGTCATCGGGACTGGGAGAGACGCTACATGTTGCCAGTCAGAAGAAATGAATAGAGTGTATTCGGGGATACGTACATAGTAAGTAGGCGCTGTTTACGAGATATAGTATCAGTACAATGCAGTGTCAATGTGTTAGCCTAACAAACATACAGAGAATACAATATTCCAATGTAGCGCACCTAGCATATGTTGGGGTCAGCACAAGATGTCAACTGCGCTCATAACATAACGTACACAAACATAAAGAATGGTCATGAAGGACCAGCGTTGCCTCTGCCCGAAGTCAACCACATTATCCTATTTGCATCTGATTAGGACTTTGCTCACCCAGATAAGTTCGAACTGTAAGAGCATTCTTAGTGAGATGTGAGATGGCTGCGCAGGTCATGACATTGACTTACCTCTTGTGTGAATGTTAATGCTTGAGTACCGTATACTTACATATCAACGATCCCCTCAGAAAGTATTTTCTCGCTCACCCCAATCGTATACCACCACAGCAAAGGATGCAACTGTGAAACGACGGTCAATGATAGTGAGAAGTCAACATCGACATGCCACTTGCTCTCTACGAACCTACAAAATAGCTAAAAAAGCGACCATAGCTGAGGAACGACCACCAAGCGGGATCATTTGAGACGATGTAGGTCATATCGGGATGGGGCGTATGGAGTTTGTGCAGACACATCACCATCCAGCATTTTAATAGTGATCAGGCTTGGCAGTGGCTGTTTCTCGAATCACAATTTTGATTGACCACAGGAAGTAGAAAGCGAACAGTAGTGTGAGAACCCATCGTTCGAAGAACTTTGACGCGGAAGATTTGAACACCAAAAGATCTATTCGTGATGAAACTTGCTATTTGGGGATTCTGCATCAGTTCCATCAGTAATCACGAAAAGTTTGCTATCAATTGACGTAGACCAACCACAGGACTTCATTATATCTGAGCCGTGTAGTGACAGAGAACGGACCATCGTGATGTGTCAGAGTGACATTTGCAACATCAGGATAGAGAGACAAACTAGTAGGAACACCTGAGTCAATGTCTACTTCGGCGGATCGGCGTGGCCATTGATGATCTTTCCTAGATATCATCTAATAATAATAATAATAATAATGCGGTGACGGCGGGCTCCGTATAGCACTCGCAAGACTAGTACTTATGAGGGAATCCTTATTTCAAGGCTATACGTAGCAGATATGCAGAGGCTCTGAACAGATTGATGGTGGACATTTGCGTAATTGCCGATGCTGATTTGGACCGTAGACCCACCATCGTGACTGGGTAAAGATGGTTGATGAGAAGTGTGTTCCGTGGGACGTTGATGCTAGAGTGGTTCGAATAACTCTGGGCCTCCGATGGCTGTATGCCCTACCACGGTTTGATTGCGACCGTATACGGATATAAGTTAAACCCCAACTCGTGACCAAGTTAAACTTCCCCACTACTACTAGTACTGCCGCCCCCATGTGATCACAAACGTTCGCAGCGTGCAGAGGCTATGATGGGCGCAGCAAGTAAGCGCCCATGTTGCGCAGCGTCTGCGTAGCCCGCAGCTCACGGCGTCCTCCGCATTTCTCTCACTATAACTTTGGTGTTTTTCAACGCGTCGATTAGCGCCGAGATGGTCTTGCTCGACAAATACCCGGACGACGCCGACAACGATGTTGACTTACCTCCCTCTTATGACACGATTGCCTCTTTGTCTACTGTCATAGATGAGAAACCTCGTCATTCGCCGCCTACAGCGTCTACCCGCCCTACAGCTTCTTCATCATCCTCAACGACCAGTTCATGGTTCTCCCTACTTCCCAACGCTCGCACCAAACAAACCCGCCAAACAGTCATCTCCCTCATCCGCGATCTCGTTGCTACCACCACCTCTGATTACTCTGCTGCTACGCCTATCCTAGCTTCATGCGCATCTGCCCTAACTCCATCTTCCTTCTCCACCCTCCTCCAACAACCCACCTTTGAGGGACACACACCCATCTACTGGGCCATTCTCAACCGTCACACTCACATCCTCCCTGACATGCTCCAATACGCAGGTCCACTTAACAATTCGTGCGTTGCAGATGTCCGTCTTGCATGTCTCGCGAGTGGCGATCAGGTTTTATTCGGAAAACTACGCAGGGGAGAGCTGCCTTTTATGACTACTCTTAGAGCAGGTGAATACGCTGTTTTACCTTCTGTGGTGTTGGGCTGACGCATAAGACACAGATGCCCTTGTTCTAGGCTGCACATCCGCGGATGACATCGACGTCCATGAGGTCGATGGTGAAGCAGCTTTCAGCGCATCTATCAAAATAAGGCTCTGGCAAAAACGAATGCGCGTGGCTGGTTTGGTCGGTGTGGAGTTTATTGCACGAGGTGAGTGCTCTCTCATTATTTTCATCCTCGTCGTACTCACCCATTCTGCAGGACGCATATGGTCACTCACATTCTTCTCTTCTCCCTCCCCTTCACCCTCATCCAGCTCACGTGGTGCAGGAAGTGGACCCTGGCAAGTCGCACTCGGCCTCATGGAGCACAGCCCGCCTACATTCGTAGATGGAAGACTCGTCATCGACGTGTTCCGTCCTCTATCGTCCTCAATACCAGACTTACTTTCCTCCGAGCCATCTTCACCAGTCCACTCAATATACCCATCTCTTGTTTCGACACCGGTACCTAACTCCCCTACTCATCCTGTAAAGTCGCCTCTCGTGATACCACTTCGATCTACGAATCGCCTGGCTCATCGCACATCGGATGAGTCTGTGTTTAGTGTGTTGGAACTTGGGCGGGGTAATGGTCCTAGGTGGGTTTTGTTTTTGGTGTATTGTGTTGTATGGGCTGACGATTTGTTCCATTGATATCTGTTCTCTCCCCTGCACCATTCGTTTGCCTGACGATATCACGAACACGCATATCCAGCTCACCGAAACCCTGCAGACCTCCGCAATCAGCTACGTGGTCCGAGGAAAGCACACACTATACGAATGCGCTGATTGGGGTGTTGAGCGATGATCTTGGGTGGGAGTGAGTGCTTGCTCTACCTATGTTGTTTCTACCTTTGTTCCGATTTACTCTGTTCCTCCAATCTGCTTTTTCGCTTCGTTTCTTCCCTTTTCTGTTTCGTTCAACCCACCCCTTCTCTACTTCATTTCCCTCCTTCCATGCGCCCTTCATCACCCACCCCGGACCAAGCGACGCTAACAAAACCCACAACAGTAACACACCCTACCTCGCGGCCGACGGCACACTTCACGCACGACTGGACGCAAGATTGGAGAAGGCGGAGGGAGGGAGTTGTATCATCTGTTAGCGGGGTCTTGAGGTGTCAAGACTGATAAAAGAGCACATCCTGTTTTTCCCCTTGCCCTATTATCTGCGACGTGAGGCCTGCGATCTGCGATACGTGCTCTATTATCTGCCATGCGTAGAGTCCCTCCCACTAGCCTGATTGTCGTGCGATGCGTAGAGCTCCTCCCTAACATGCATTGCCCACGCTTTCCTCATACACACTCCTCCCCCGATCACGAGTGCGTTCGGAGCAGAGTGGTTGTCTTTTTCTCTACTTCTTCAACGCATGAGGGAAAACAAGGGAGTTTCCGACGCTTGTCGCACAGGAAGGGCATCGTCGTTTTCGGAGTTGGGGGAAATGGTTTTTAATTCAATTTGATTCAAGTTGATACTATACACTGTACCCTATGATGTATGAACTGATGACCTATCTATCTATACAGTGCGTCGAGGAGATAGATAATCACTTTATGTTTAACTCGAACGCAGCTACTTTCAAGCTTCAATTGTTATCTCTGTCAGTGTAGAATTTCCCAGCTCCCTCTATGCAGCCTGACTGATTGGCCCTGCCTCCCATCGTCTTCGTTATCCATGTTCTGCTACCACTCTCGTGCGCTCGAAGCGGTAGAGGTATCAACACACACCATCTCAAGCGCCGGAGGGAGAACAAGAAAGTTTTTGGCTGATTGTGTTTGTTGAGTACGACGTCTTTTCGAATTCCCTGCGCTCCGCGCAGTCCTTTTCCTATAAGATCGTCGATGATGTTCGTTATCCGTGCTCGTTCATCCCCGACTCCGCATGTACTTTCGACTATCAGAGGAGACATTATAGTTGAAGGGACACTCAGAGTGGGGAGAAAGCTGACAAGGGTGTTTTGGTTCGAGTTGATGGACCAACGGCGCAGGGAGTGGTGATTCATGGTACGCTGTAAAATAGAAATAGCCACTTCCTACATCGTACCAGCAGGATGTATTATACAAGTCCACACAATCGTGATGTACGATTGCGGTACGAGTAGGATGGCCCGTGGATGTAAGTTTGTCGCGGGCGCTTCAAGCCAACGCGGAATTCACTTATGAATGGTAGGCACTTTGGTGAAAGGTTTGCTTTTTTTGATGAAAAATAGTACGTACGTCGCGATTCGTCTTTTCCCCTGCGTTTTGCGTAGAGTCCTTTGAGCTATAAACTGATATTCGGTGCCTGGGTGTCCTGTTTCTAGGCATTCCAGAGTGCGCCCGGGATGATTGAACTCTCAATCAAGACCATCGCACTCGAGAGAGATCCAGCAAGAGTTTGGAGTGCGGTTATGATATAATCGAGGATCTGTATGACTGCGATGGACGGTTTGCAATTGGTGAGTACTCGGTTGTTGGAGAAGATGAGGTAGCCACGGATGCCTGGTGAAGGAGAGCGGTTTCTGAGAAGTCATGTCACAATCTCTGGAACCGTTTCTCATCTTTCATCAGCCATTCTTAATCCCCTAGTGTCGTGTCAAGGGTGTGAAAAAGCCGAAGACAAGCGCTCAGAGGAGTTCGAACAGAAGACTTTCACGGCAACACCCGATTTTTGGCCGCAGTTGATCAAGCCATGACTTGAACATCCATCATCCATCATGCCGTGTTTTGAACTCCGCGTCACAGTCGCGTTAAACGCCCTCTCAAAATCGCTACGCCCGGTGCTAGTGTGTTCGAAGTTCCATCGCTTGGCGAGGTGCTGTTTGGTGCAGATTTTCTTTCTTCGCAGGGGAAGAAAAGATATCGTTTTTGCTCGCAAACTTTGCCTACATACATAATAGGCGCAGGACAGCTCGAAGTTCGGCTCTTACCTTGAAAGCCGCTATCAATATTGTTGACCTTGCTTGTCCGCAACTGTAACTTAACCGAGCTTCCACTGGAACAACTATAATATCATATCAGACGCCAGAGATAAGTATCTCCTCGTGCAATTATAAGGTCCATTCGTCCTTTGGATGTCCACCCACGTACTGCTCTAACCATGGTCCCTGCAGTTGATGATCGGCTTGCCATCCTCGCCATCTTACCTATTTCCTTTGTTGTCGTTACTGCCCTCGGGCGGTTCATAGAGAACAGACAGAACAAACCTCCCCTTCCCCCTGGACCAGTGCCACTCCCACTGCTAGGGAATGTCCTATCTATTAATACTAAAGAACCTTGGTTGACTTACACTCGATGGCATGCTGCTTATGGTACGTGGACAGACAGTTTGATCCATTTTGTGGTGCAAATCGTTCTGTCAGGGGATTTGGTATATGTGCGAATCCTGGACCAGGATGCGATCGTGATCAATTCTCAGCACATTGCAAAAACCTTACTGGACAAGCGTTCTCGCATTTACTCCGATCGGCCATACATAGCCACACTCGAGCCGTATGTTTTTTTATATTCTTCTATTCTATCAGTCTGAGGTGCAGGCAGGTTCGGCTGGTCCAGCAACTTTGGGTTCATGAGGTATAATGATGAATGGCGTCGTTGCCGACGAATCTTCCACCAAACTTTCCGTCCCGAGTCTGCAGTAAAGTTTCGCCCAATGCAAATGAGACGCGCTCGTGAAATGGTTGTCAATCTAATTGATGACCCTCAACATTATCATTCCCACTTCGCAACGTCAGCCAATGTGTTTGGTAAATATTGATTGATTATTAAACTGTCCACAGATTCTCGTCATCCGTTGCGATGTCAGTTGTATATGGCTACCAGACCAGTGCTCGTGATGATCCTCTAGTTCGACTCCTAGAAAGTGTATCGGACCTAGGCATTGCTGTGATGACCCAAGAGAGAGCAGTCTTGCTCAAAACCTTCCCCTTCTGTGAGTTCCGCACTTTTCGATGAGAAAGAGTTGACATTCTGTACTCTCACGCAGTACTAAAGCTACCTGACTGGTGTTGGGGATCCTCACTCAAACGCGATGCTCAAATTTCGACCAATGGCACGACAGAGTTGAGAGAGATGCCATTTCAATATACGCAGCAGCACATGGTAAGCATCTGTTACTAGCTGGGTCCCAGGCACCGATTTTATTTTTTCCAAGGCCGATAGCTCGCCACATGAGCAATTGTCTAAGTCGATGGTAGCAGAAAGTTTGCAACGGATGGAGAAGCAAGATGAGGCATCCAAACCAATCTTTGAGTCTGCCTTGAAGAAAGCTGCTGTTACTGCAATTATAGGTTTGTTGTCTTTTACACGAGGAATGTTATGCTCTTGACAAAAATGCTGCAGGTTCAACTGACACGGTCAGCGGATGTCCCGAACCATAATACCTGCTGCTCAACCCCTTCACAGACTACTTCGACGTTGATGGCTTTTGCTCTCGCCATGGTATCTTACCCAGACGCTCAAAGACGCGCACAAGCAGAGATCGACTCAGTAATTGGAAGAGATCGCTTACCTACGTTTGAAGATAGGGCATCACTACCCTACGTCGAATCAGTTCTGCGTGAGACTTTGCGATGGCACCCTATTGGACCTCTAGGTAATCTTCCTCGCTGAATGGTTCGCCTTTTTGACGATGATATTATAGGCGTGCCTCATGCTACTTCAAGCGACGATATATACGATGGTTACTTTATTCCAAAAGGTTTGCTGTTTTTTTATGGGAAAATCGTTTATAATACTGCACGTCAGGAGCCACCGTCATATACAATATATGGTCAGATAAACTCTCCCCAGTATTCGAGTTCCTAACCTTATACTGCAGGGCTATTACACGGGATGAAAAGCGGTACCCTGATTCAACTTGTTTTAAACCAGACAGGTTCATGGACGCCAACGGTGCGTTGACAGACGATAACCCTGCTGAATACATTTTTGGCTCAGGCCGACGTGCATGTGCAGGTGGGTTGGGATCCCATATAACATGTGACGAGTTGAGATATTAATATTCTTTGATCAGGCCGGTATGCTGCTGATGCCTCTTTGTGGTCTGCTATTGTGACCGCGTTGGCCACTGTTGAATTTTCTTCCCGCAAAGATGACCAGGGCAAAGCGATCGACTTCACCCCTCAATTCACGACTGGATTCACTCAGTAATCGCATTTCCTAATGTCATTCCACCCTCCCGTTACTGACAGTTCTATGATTTAGCTTCGTTGTAGCCTTCCCTTGCAGTATTTCAGCACGTTCCGGTACCCGTTCGGGAGCTATGGATGTTTTCTGACTCGGAGTGTAATATGCATATAGTGAAAGAATCTTCTATGTTCCTTTCTTATGCTCTTACCACCTGAGGCACGCTTCCAATCACTCAGGCTACATGTATGCTGTCCTTTGCCGCTCTTTTCGGGCCTTCGTTGTACTTGTATTTCAAACCAGACCATTTTCATTGATTGTTTTGGCTCATGACGTTTATGGTTGTGCGGTATTTCACCGCGATCTTATATTCAGGACCTGGGTATGTTGAATATTATCTGACTGGAACGACTGAGCGACATGGGTACCAAGTTATATGGGGAAGGGCGACTGACAATTCATTGTATGCAAAAGAATAATGTAAACATCTGGGGTCTCTATCCGACAGCCGCGTAGAGCAGCATATGCGAGTCTTTGGGAAATTACCCGGGACTTATGTATTAGGTATTTGACTTTCACCGGCATGCATTGCGGGCGCAACGAACATACGAAGATGGCATGTTCTCGTAGCTATTATGTTCACAAGAACACAAATTTGGAACCGCTTTATCTCGAACCGCGCACTGTAATCGTTGGAAGTTCAATTTCGAGACTTTGATGCCTAGCAAGTGGCTTTCTGGCGTTAAGTCTAGTAGTTGTACCATGAGTCAGTGTGGATGATCGGCTCGTAGTTTCACGTACATGGCCAGCACTGAATTTGCATAGGCTGTTTGGTTCATGCCATCTCAGACTTCAACGACGGTAACTCGGGAGAAAACATCACTCACAGTTTCTGAGAACCATGGCCACACCTCCGATGGCAGCAAACGAGTTTGCCCAGTACTGCGGGTTGTCACTTAGTTGAGAAGTTTTGCATAAATGGATGCTGCGTACCAAGATGCATATGCTGAAGGCCAGCAAACTGTCAGGTCACGAAATGAGATGTTTAGCAGTGCTCGCATCAAGGCGGTACAACACTTGCCATGTCAAAAAACCCATGCTGATGAAATTCTTTGTTATGCTCCGGATACGGGTGTCTGTGCTACATTGCACTTGTGAGTACTTCAGCGGTTAAGTTGTAGCACATTGACTTACCGCCGGACACCAGATCGTCCGGGACGTAGGTAAAAGTACACGGAAAGGCTGATCATGGAGTCACACACAACGCTCTGAAATGTTCCTGCGGTGGAGATTTTGAGCATCTGCCAAAAAGATATCAGGAGAGCCTTTAGAAGAAATGTTCAGACGTACTGCATTGCTCGCGAAAGCTCCGGACTTCCTGTATATGTTGCTCAACTAGGTTCTTCGATATTTACCAAGAAAAAAACTCACTGTGATGGAATAAGTACTGAGCGCAAAGAAACTCGTCAGTCACATAAATGAGTTAGGCTGTCACAACCAACTAACCCAAACCGAGCGCTATCATGAAAAAGCGTTAAATGACAGCCGAGATGTAGTGGACAATGGGACTCACCATAAGACGAAGCTGCGAGTAAAACCTATTGTTCACCAACGTGAGTTTATCGATCTCGACAATCCGATAAACACATACTATCGGTATTGTGACGTAGATGTTTTTGTCGCTGACTGCATGCACAACTGAATAAACCAGCAGCATATAAACAAAACATGATGACTTACTTATCCACACACGGTGACAATAAAAACTGCACCGCCAAGAGGTAAGCGTCACTCATAACAGCAATCATCGTGGTACCTTTGCACAATGAATGGTACGGTATACTGGAAAAAAAGGTAAATAGATCATCCCGAGCACGTTTTTGGAACTCACAGCCACGAAGAGAAGAACCATCGACTGCCGCAGGCGGAGTTCAAGTTGGGTACGGTCAAAGAGTAAAGATATCTTGCTCACCGCCGTGTCCCTGCAACCGCGTTAAAACTGGAATCCATCATGAGATGCATGTGAGACAGCTCACCACGCCTGACACTTTGGGGATTTACTTCGAAAACAGTTGGAGAAAAACGACCAGTACATGAAGCTGGTCAATAGCGTCGCGGCGGTATTCAAAGTCCTGGCTAATGATGAAATAACGTATACGATAAGCATGGTAGAAAACGAACAAGACAGTGACAACCTGAATATCCTCAGTCAAAAGATAGAACTCGAAGTTATACTGTTGGCATGCATCACTCACAAGATACTTGAGCAGCCGTTTGTCACGAGGGAAGGTTCGATGATAAGAGAACCCCTGGGCGACAGCAACACCTAGTTGCCTATTAGAAAGCCATTCAAGTCAGAGTCCGATAAATGTTTTTGGCAACTGCTAGGACAGACTGACACAAAAGAGATTGTCAACCCTGAAAGTTTGAACGTTGACATGTACTCAGTAAGCAGGTAATCAGCACAAACATTGATACTCTGCTCTTACCTATGAACTGAATTTTAAATGCAGACGTGTCCATCAATGCTGAGAGCTGGGAGGAAGGCGGCTCAGTGTCGCTACACCGGAGAGGTTACACAAAACCAGTTAAGGTACACTGCATCCACTTACTTATACCATGGGCAATATGTAGGGTACTAGTATTATTGGCCCTGACGTGCACGACGTCGACTCAATTGAAACTCAAAGTTCTCGAATGAAACGTTAAAAAAGAATTCGACACGAAATAAATATACAAGATCAAATATGTACACACAGGCAACTTGAATGTCGTACAGATGATGAAAGACCCCTGGCAGTGCCGTTACATGCTGAACCAACGGTGAGCCTGCGTTGCGCAAGGCCCTGGGTGAGGCCTTCCACTTCTAACGGTCAGCCCAGTTATCTGAACTCAGACACGGCATCTAAGCTCTTGTTACTTAAGTATACGTAGTCCGCCGCTACTGATTACAACATTTCCTTTTTCCATCAATCAGACGTTCAGTAAAGCTTCAGGGTTTGACGTATGAGTGGTGTTGAGTACTAAGCCGCAGCCCGCGGATCAATGATTTCCCTTCAGCCTATCGATTGCGATGCTGCCCCACATCAGTAAATTCACACATTACTCGGCGCTCGCTTGCTTAAAATTCTAAATATTATTCCCACCTTTAATTGACTTATGTACACTTATTCACTTGTGGCCCTGGATTTCACAAGTACGAAAAGTAAGCGCGTGACACAAAAGCGCCGGAAAGGCGGCAAGTTGAAGCACACAAGTAAAAGCGCGTGAAAAGGCATACAATTGAAAAAAGCTGAAAAGCTGAAAAAGCCTAGAGTGAACAAGTAAATTACAATATAGTAGTACTACTAGTATCATAGGGCACGCTGTTAGAGATGGGACTCGCTTTCCAAAAAGGGAAGACGGTGAAGCGCCCGTCTCGATACCAGCTACTACCGCTGATCAAACACCAACGACTCGTTGATATCAGCGATCAACACGATCTCGAGCGCAATGGGCCCCCAAGATCCAGTACGTACTCCAGCTCGTTATGATATTGACCCTGAAAATGTTTGTAGACGTTAGTAAGGTACACTGGGACCCGCAAAACAACACATACCGGTGTGTATCGCGGGCAAGGGCGGATGCAAGGGCGGATGCAAGGGCGGATGCAAGGGCGGAGGCAGCCAGTAGCTCAGGTGGCTCAGGTGGAGGCCCCACTGGGGTTGTGGAAGAGATTGAGGAGGTGGATGAGGCGTAGGAATCGAGGAGATGGAACGCCCCGCTCGAACGTAGCGTGACGCTGTTTCTGCAGACGATGGTGAGTAAAATAGCTCGTAACTGACGAGTCGCGAACTTACCGATTATTTGAAGGTGTTGTTGTGGTGATGCGGCATGCCAATGCGCTTGTTAACGTAGTCGACCTGTAAAAATTGTATCATCAGCGTACATGAATCCGTCACGAATGACATATGCTCACCAAATTCTTCGAACGCTCGCCGAATTCTTCGAACGCTCGCCAAATTCCTCGATCGCTCGCTTGTGAGTGATGGTAGGTGGGGAGGGGGGGTCCAATTGTGCTCACTAAATTCCTTAATCGTTCATTTGTGAGTGATGTTAGGTGGGGAGGGGGGGTCCAATTGCGCTCGCCAAATTCCTCGATCACTCGCTTGTGAGTGATGGTAGGACCGACACGAGGAATACGTGCAACAGCGCGACCAGTACCACAGGACTCAGCGGAAGTCTGGTGACCGGCCTTCTCATTGACAGCGCAAGCCTGACGGCTGATTGGTTCGCGGGATTCGAAGCTAGGGGTACTGAAGGTGTCCCGTTATTGAGGACCCATACCCCAGGACTCAGCGGAAGTCTGGTGACCGATTAGCAACGGACTGAGGATTGAATTGAGGACCCATACCCCAGGACTCAGTGGAAGTCTGGTGACCGGCCATCTCATTGACAGCGCAAGCCTGACGGCTGATTGGTTCGCGGGATTCGAAGCTAGGGGTACTGAAGGTGTCCCGTTATTGAGGACCCATACCCCAGGACTCAGCGGAAGTCTGGTGACCGATTAGCAACGGACTGAGGATTGAATTGAGGACCCATACCCCAGGACTCAGTGGAAGTCTGGTGACCGGCCATCTCATTGACAGCGCAAGCCTGACGGCTGATTGGTTCGCGGGATTCGAAGCTAGGGGTACTGAAGGTGTCCCGTTATTGAGGACCCATACCCCAGGACTCAGCGGAAGTCTGGTGACCGATTAGCAACGGACTGAGGATTGAATTGAGGACCCATACCCCAGGACTCAGTGGAAGTCTGGTGACCGGCCTTCTCATTGACAGTGCAAGCCTGACGGCTGATTGGTTCGCGGGATTCGAAGCTAGGGGTACTGAAGGTGTCCCGTTCGGAGCAGGGGACTCTTGAGCTTGTTGTGTACCACGAAGATCGCAAACTCAGTGTGTTGCGAGTCACGCTCGGACTCTGGAAGCAGTTGGAGTTCTGATTCGATTGTCCTCGAGGGGGGCTTGTCAAAGGCGGAGACACCGAGTGTCGATAAGTTGAACATTCTATCGGGGTTGATTTGACCATTAGCAACGGACTGAGGATTGAATTGAGGACCTACCTATGTCACGTGTGGCGGTCAGGACGCTATCTCGAAGGCATGGTGATCAGCGTATTTGTTGACATAAAATGAACGGAAAGAATCATAGGAATGATAGAACTTGAGGGAGTGAGGGATGTACTCAGAGCCGTAGACAGGTATCAGGTGTGCTGCACGGTAGACTGTCTCAATATGAATGACAGCGAGGTTCCGGGAGCCATCCTCATGAAGACTTGGACGGACCATCCACATGCCAGTGTCTTCATCGGCACAATCACCAATCTTGTCGAACCATTGGATGAGAACGCATGAGTATACTTCCCAGTCGTGTTTGAAAGAAAAGAAACATATCACTCTCGCGATTTCGAGTCCTCGCATTCCTTCAGCATTTGAATCAGTGTTGATGAACACACAATCATTGCGTGGGTACTCGTTCCTCCAGAGTGGGCATGCACGGACGTGTTCGCGTCGCATGCCGCCAATGCCACTTGGATCGCTGGGAGCATAGAATGTTGCAGCAGCCGAATTGAAGACCTGGAGCTTGCCTTCATGTCTAGGGCAGCTAGCGGCTGGGACATCTTCGAGGTCGCGAGGATCATTGGGGTAGAGCTGAGAGAACAGAAAGTGTCGAATGAGACGTCGCAGATCCGGAACAGCGACTTCAAGTGCCAATGCTGCTACTGTATGTGCCCGTTTTCGTTCTGTGTGACACAAGTGAGCTCACAGCTTGGACATTGCGTGATATTACTTACGAGGAGTTTTGGCGAGCGATACATAAGCGAGTACGGTTGGACCATCAACTATTTCACTGTCGTCGGTATCGTTTTCTGGTTGCGGTTCAATGGTATGGGCATCTGGTTGTGGCGCGGCGATAGCAGGTGCAGCTAGTCTATCTTCATCTGCCGCTGTATATTGCTGATAAGTATACAAGGAGACAATCAGATATAGAAAACTTACCAAGAACGGCCAAAACACTTGATAAAACAGTACCAGTCAGCATCCCTCGCGCATCGAAGTCCACTCGTGATGCTGCGAGCTTGTCAAGGCGTTGATTGGTCACAAGCATCTGACCAAGAGCATTGTGCTTGCTCGACCACCGCCAGGGCTCCTTTACCGCCTTGATATGTTTTGATTCCGTGATTGAAGAACATAGGCCATTTGGGGCACCGAAGAGTCGTATCATGTCTGTGTAATGAGTCATCGAGTGCTGGCGGGGGAGCGAGAAGGTAGGAACGACAACATCAAATATCTTGCGATAGCGATGAAAACGATGAAGCGCGTCTTGAATCTGATTCAAGGTATCTTCGGTTATGACATTGCGCCGCACAAGGTAGCAAAATTCTAACAATGCGCGGAACGCACGCACCATGTCTTCAGGTACGTGGCCTTCAATAGCCGGAAGAAAGACCTTCATGAGCGCTTTTGAATCATCGCCTGTCCACTGTTTGAAGTCACGGCCTTGAGGAAATCGTCGTAAACCTGAGAATGATGCTACAGCAGCAACTCTGACTTATTGTTAGAGAATGAGATTGAGCCAGCGAGCGAGGTGACATACCTGCGATCTATGTCGCTCATGATCTCGTCCGCCCTTCTGGTACCATGCACAGCCTTGAGGTACTTTGCTACCCAGTCGACGAGATGATCTTTGAAAGCGCCTTTTATTAGCTGGTGGAGGAGGTCGAACGATAGCAATTCATGGATGTCAGCTCGGGGGAAGTCATTCGTAAATGGCTATACAAAACAAATTAGTGTGGTATTGAAGAGCGGCCGGTTCTGCTCACAACGAGATCGCCAATGATACCATATTCATCCCACAATATATCCCCGTGTAGTTCATTGACCATGAAATCGGTATGCTCGCGACAGCGGTACGCACCACCACTATCAAGGTCTGTTCGAAGTGCGATACATCTACAAGTATTGTCAGTATGAATGGACACCAATTGCAAGTTCTCATACTCACTTTGGGCACCAACGTTTAACAATGCAGGATAACACCAGTTGTTCTTCGTAATCTGCAATGTAGGGTCCTAAGCTGTATATAATGCGTCGAAAATGACCGTCTCCACAGCGCACAACCTCATACTCAGTCATCGCAGGTTTCAGGCTGGAGAGAATTGTGGATAGTGAGCTGTGGAATAGCTGACGACGAAATATCCGAAACACGTCGTCTTTAGCATACTTCTTGTCAGCTGGGGCGCCATTCAGATGGGGCATAATAAAATGTAAATAATTAGCACACATACTTTTGGGTATAGCGAGGAAACCGATGATAACAAGAGCATCTCGGTGAGCGCGCCGCACATTGTTGCGTACGTTACCGATCGAGGCATAGAGTGGATAGTATTCGTTGTTACCAGTGCCAACGGAGACAGTAGTCTTGTCACTACCGAGAATGATTGGGACTAAAGTAGATCCACGGGTTTCTGGATCTTTTGATATGGCATCCTTTATAGAACATTAGCATGTCCCGAGAAATAATAGTGATAGATTAAATACGTACCGCCTGATGCCATGCCCAATCTCCAGACATAAAGTCTTTCCATCGGTGCATGTCGTCCGATGCATTATACTCACGAAATGGCACATAGTCAATTTCGTCCTTGTAGGTAGGGTTGGCCAATATGTTGTGCGCCATCTCACGGGGATCCCTATACCAGACCTCAAATTCATCATCCATCCACGGCGGGACAACCTCAGGGCGTTCTCCTGTGTATTGAACCGAGAAACATTGCCAGGGGACGTCGCCAAGTTGTGTCGCATCAATGACGTTGTGTAGATCTTTGTGATCGGTGAATGGAGGGGTGTCACGGTGTTTTGCGAGAGTCGCAGCCATTAAGTCGCATAGGAAATCCAAGTTGTTTGTAGACATGTGGCACTTTTTGAATGCGAACTCTGCCATCTCAAATTCTGTTCTATTGCGATATGGACTCCAATCAACAGGAGACTTTGGTGGCACGGGAGTTGGTGGGGTACCATACGGCAGAAATGCTCCCTCGGCCGTGCATGGTCGTCCTAAGGTAGTAAATCTGAGTCAAAAACAGAGTACTGACAGATTGAAGGGAACTTACCGTTTAGCATTGAATGGTGGGTACGATAGTAACGCTCACTTGCGTCAGTGAATTCTGCATCAGTATCCTCGTGAATTCGCTCAGGGAGTATGGGAGGCAATGACTGGGGCGGCTGTGCGAAATCCGGAGGGGGTGGTGAGAAACCCGGAGGGGGTGGTGAAAAGTCTCGATGGTGGGGTGGTGACTGAGATAGTAGGGGAGGATCCTGCGGGGGCGGTCCTGAAGCAGGTAAAGTTGGGTGGAGCGCCCGCATGTGTTGGGTGCGACCTGACTGATTTCGAAACCAGCGTGTGCAGGCTGGAGCTAGGCATGGAAGCCGAAGGAGATTGTGAGAACGGCGGGGAGGCATATGCGCTACAGGCGGGGCTGTTGGAATCAATGATTGAAGAGGATTCCGAAGGCCGACACATTCAACCGTAATCACCAGCACCAATGTGCCCAATGTGCCCAAAATTAGGTTTGATGTGCAAACTTAGGCCAGACTTGAGCATCTGAAACAGACCCTAGACCAAATTTAACTGGAAAAGTCCTAGTAAATATTGATGTTCAAGCCATAATGGAAAAGTCATGGTGAAAATTGACGTACTAGCGGGGTGGGAAACTTTCCTCTCGGCGAAATGTCTCGGCTAACATTGACGTTGCTGCGTCGAAATGGCATGGGCGAACTTTGACATCCAGGAAAAGTGTTGGAACAATTTGATGCGTGTACTGGAAAGGTTTTGGAAAAATTGATGCAGTCCCCAACGTCAATAGCAGCTGCAGAAGGGTCACACTAAACTAATAGGTAGTAGCACCGGGGCATGACTGTAGGTAGGGTCGATGTATTTATTCAGAGTCAGCTTAGACTACATTATCAAGAAATGTGACAAAACTCACCTTGTTGTCAACCACCATCGCCCTCGAATTTCTTCAGCCTTCCAACCCATCCATCAATACCATGTCTCAGCCTGCCAGCGCAGTTCCGAAACGCATGACAACTCGAGCTAAAAATGCTACTCAGCATCCAGGACATATTCTGACTGGGGGTGAAGGCCACGCAAAGAGACGTACCAAAGCTCAAAAGTCCGCTGACGACCAGCTTGAAAAAGAAGCAAAGGAGGCAAGTGAAACAGCTGTGCAAGAAAAGCATAAGCGCGTTGCCACATTTCAGAAACAGATGGAGACCGACCAAGCTGCAATGCGTGCTGATGCACCCAAGCCAAGTCATCCTCGTCCACGCCCAGTAAAGAAGGGCGTGAAAGCCTCAGACACCTCCAACATGACTACGGCGGGTGGTCAGGAAGGTGCAGGCATTGTCGCCGATAAGGATGTTGGTGCCGATAAGGCTGTTGGTGCCAAAGTCAAGGGCGGCAGGGCTAAAGGTAAAATGACAGCTGGTGCTGACATCGGGAATCCTGGGAGTGAACAGGAGTTGGAGGCGCAAGTGCCAGGGACACGCAAAACGAAGGGGAGGAAAGTAATCCCAGTGAAGACGCCAGTGAGAAATGCGATTGAAGCAGCAGGCCTTATCGATGAATCAACAGAGGCACGTGATCATGATAACCAAGTGTCTGATGTGTAAGGCGTTTATTTCTTACCTTAACCATGAGGCTCTATCTGACTGAAACAACTCTTTTTTTTTTCAATCTCATGGTCCGTGATATTGATGCTGATAGCTCTATACCGGCTCCTAAAAAATTCCAACTTGCTGGGCGTATCCCGGACTGGCAATCGAACATTCCCGCTGGCGGTTCAAAGCCGTCCTCCAAGGCCAGACATTCTGCAGCGTCTTCCATCCAGGAGTCCGCTATCTCTAGTTCTGCTCCCTCCTCTAAGCTCACCAGGGGAACCACTATCAGTAGCAGCAGTGCCCCGCTCACGTCAATCAGTAGCAATTTTGATGCTGGGGCTGACAAATTGACAGGTCTTGCTATTTCTACCCCGTTTGATGACGATGATTTAGACGAATCAATGGAGCGCTCTCAAGCTCTTTGTCGAATGTCAAAATTGAGGGCTACTCAGGTGACTTCATCTATATCTTATTTCTAATGGTTTAATTGTATTTGCAGGGCGTCAAGATTTCTCCCAATGTCCCTGGCGCTGCAGTGCCCACAAACTTAGCCCCCCACAATGCCCATCTGGCACCCAAGCAGCTCGCCGCGATCGAACCTGACGTCGTCTATGATGATACCTTCACGACCCCGAACAATGATTTTGAAATGGACGCCGAGGCACCTGCACAGGCTCCCCTACCTGCCCTGGTTTTTTATAAATCCGACTCGGATTCAGAATCTGATCTCGAACCACCCCCTTCTGCACAGGTTCCCAAAGGGTATTATGACGTTGACCCCCGGCCTCTCGCCCAAGCCCACACATCCCACCCTACCATTCCAGCAACACGTGTAAAGCGGAAATTCGCAGATGTCGAGGATGCAGATATCGAGGACGCGGATATCGAGGACGACCTGCTCGAGGACGACCTGATCGAGGACGACCTGATGGAGGACGACCTGATGGAGGACGACCTGATTGAGGACGACCTGATGATTGAGGACGACCTTATGATCGGCGAGGACGACCCTATGATTGAGGACGACTCCTCATCTGAAATTGAGATCGTTGATCACCACAAGAAGACTGTGGTCAAGACCGAACCCAAACCTGTGTCCTTGCGGGTAACATCTGGGGTAGTATGCTTTCATTGTGTTAATATGACATCTTACTGACTACGAAATCCGTAGACTGGTGTCGGTGTCAATCACAAAGCCCCCGTCGCAAAGAGGCCAAAGCCCTCCGGTAAAAACACTCAGAGCGTTTCCCGTATCGCAACCGCCGAAACACCTGATCCCGCGAACCCTGACGAGGTTATAGTGGAGATCCTCCCCCGCTCTCATTACAGGATCACAAACCTTCCTGGAGGTCATCGGGCAACAACTAGGTGGAGTAGCGTGTTTATACCTACTCTCATCCTCACCATCGGAGATCGGGACGAGGTCTGGTCTATTCCTGAGATGACCCTCCGCGATATTCTGCAGGACATTTGGAACGTGGTTTACGGGGATATTACACATACAGTCACTACAACCGGACCTGTCATTGCCATAGTAAGTACTTTTTGATGCTACTTGTATCTAATCATTTTTGCATTTTTCTTAGGCTCTCCAACGGCTGTCCGACTGGCGCCATAACATCGGTCATTCCGCTGTCTCGGTACTTGCGAGTTTTATGTTGTCGCAGGATGATGTCGAGACCGATCGAGACCGCGAAGACTTCGCAAATAGCTTACTCTTCAAGTTGGGATTCCTGTATGGTCACATTACAGAGGATGGAAAATTCCAAAAACCTTTTCAGTCCGATCTCATTCTCGAGGTCCTCGTGCAGCACGGTCATAGTACTTCGGGCGCTATCAACAGGCATAGGAGTCCAACAGATATAACACATGCGAGGGGCACTATTGGTCTTATCACTGCGGCGGCGTGTATTTCCACCCTCGCTTCATAGTACCGCTAACTTATTTGTCACGTTTTAGTTGGAACGTGCCCTCAAAATTATCGGGCATCACCCCACGCTCGGCGTCAACAGTAAAGGGAAGGCTGTTAAGGTTCCCCACACTCTCAACAAAGCCACGGGCAAGGATAGCGGTTCTCGGAGTGCCTTTTCGGTCACCAACTTCGGTTCAGCAACCAGGAACTATATGAAGTCTATCAACCGCCTCGAAGAGTCAATCGTCCAAGAACTCTGGGGACGCGCGAAGGCACTCGCTGCCACGAGGGGGCGTAATGCGCCGGTCGTTTTGGACGACGACTCCAATGACGAGCGTGCGCTCATCTTCTGGTGGGTATCGTTCTTTTTCTTTTTGAGCTTCTAGTCGCAACTAACGATTTTTGGTACTACTATTTGTAGATTACTCCTTCAATTTGTCAATGTTTTACTGCTGCTTCCGGCCCGGGGTCTCGTGTACTACCAGTAGTCATGCTATTCACTTTTTCGTACATTTAAATATCTCCTACCAGTACTTTCGTGTAGCTTTCCCTCCCTTTTCTCTCAATTAATCTAGTACTTTTGTTTGAAATGCAGTCATTTTTCGCTTACTAAGTGTGAAATAAGTCCCCAAAAATGTACAAACAAAGTAGAAAATAAGTGAATGTACTGCATTGGTGCAAAAAAAAGGTGCAAAATAAGTGCGCAAAAGTGAAACAATAAGGACTGAAAAGGTCCCGCCGAGAGGAGGCATCTACTTATTCCACTTATAATTGCCTTGTGGCAAGCTAATAATAAGTTGGTGTCACCATTCTTATGAGTCACTTGTCCGCTCCTTTTTGGGAAACTACCCGGCGGCAAGTTACGAAAAAGGGAAGCTAAGTAATGTGTGAATTTACTGATGTAGGCTCGCTTAGGCATTGTGGTTTTTCCTGATGAAACCACAACGACATCAAGGGCGAGGCTGGGTCGGACCTCACATGCTAGAATGAATTTTGTCACAAGATGAATACTAAGTTACTATGCCTCATGCCACTGGCTGTCTTCCGAACTTTGCCGCTTAACAGTGTCTCTTGATCAACTTCTCCTAGATCGACAAGATTTTCTGCAACAATTCCATGTAATCGACTTGTAAAGAAGGCTATGCCTTTAGCACTGGACGCCCGAGTCACCATCGCGACAATAGATGCTTTCCCTTGTTCTTTGTTTGTAATTTTCTTCATTTTCTTTTACTTCACGTGCACGTGATTGCGCAACAAACGCGAAGTTCCAAATTTGACCCATTTCTCACCGTCGCATATCATTAAATCTCGCTTCCTTCTTTATCCTCGACCAACGCTTTACCTGCTACCCTTTCATTCTCCATATCTACGATTTGACCTCATGTCGCCACCACCGACATTTGTGCAACTATTGCCACTCACATTTGTATATAATCTGCCTGTATTTTCGTAGACTGCATCGAATTAACCGCTAGCGTATACCCAACGTTCCTGTGCTCTGAAAGCCTCACCCACCGCAATCTAAACGTCTCGTTCTTGTAATTCCTCGTATCACTTCCCTCATCAATCACACAAGTCGATTCCCCGTCGAACTTACTAAGTTCTCGCTGCGTCTATAGACGTTAGCAGATTTACAGACCAACGGACAATTGTTGCCATTGGCTCCAGCGGTATCACCATGTACACATTACAGAAACTCGTTGGGTCGTTGCAGCTCCGGCTCGCGTATCTCCTTCCGAAGTGCCGACTGTTACTGTTCACCGCTGTTCATGCCAGCCCATCATTCTGCGACACAGCTGCTCGCATAGATCTTCAAATTATGCTTGGCCATGTGCCCTTTCTAGAATCACAAATCAGAATTTCTCATTTAATTCAGGCTCTCACGTACTGTCTGTCATTCTCGCCATTGATACAGTCATCTTCTCGGGCCCGGGAATGGCTTTGCAGTCACAGCCCAACCTTACACTGCTATCGCCTACCGTACGCCTTTTCCGACGAATGGCTTCTCCAAGATATTTTTGGAACAGGATCGTATTACTTTAACATGGGTATGTGTTCTTAGTTGTGGACCTAGCAATGGTTTGCTTAAATTGATTAAACCTGCAGGTGCGAGACTTTGACACGGTTGATATTCAGGTCGTCTCCCCTGGTCATGGAGTCAATAACAGTCGCAGTTCCAGGTCCAAAGACCAGCTGGCCAACCGCATCTCCAATCCCAGTATGGGCCGGGACCTCAATCACAGTTACAACCCCAGGCGCAGCCCTCGCGTCTCCTCGTCCACCCTTCAGTCAACTATCAATTCCCAAACCCGAACGTTGCACCTGGGCCGGTTCCCAATGTGGTGGATGTCGGCAGATGACAGTCTCTTCATTCGAGACTGTAACACAAATACAAACCCTTCCAGGGCGTGGCTCAAACACACCTCGCTGCCTCACTGGCTGATGAGGCATATTACTATTGACCCTCTGCAGGATCTTATGGTCACAGTTGCCTCGATTGGCACTGTGATCGAAGAAAATCACCACACGCCCGGTGTGGTGTCTCAGTCGTGATTTTATGAAAAAAACATCTCAAATCATCCTTACACTTTAATCGCCTACCGTACGCCTTTCCCGATGAATGGCTTTCGCAAGATATTTTTGGAACAGGATCGTCTTACTTTAACATGGGTATGTGCTCTTATTTGTTTACCTAGCATGCTTTAATTTTACCAAACTGCAGTGGGGAATTGGCGCAGTTGATATTCAAGTCATTTCCCCTGTACATACGGAGGTTGGATATTTATTTGTTGGGCTCGACTACATGGTTATTACCTCAACATTTAGATTCATAGTGTCCTATTTATAAGAGTGTTTAACTTCATCAATTCGACGAGCCAACATCCACTCACAGTCTCAGGTTTCGTATCGGTGAATACCAATAGCCTTTCCTCGTCCACTATGATTGCACGGGGGTAATCGAAAACGCGGTCGTTGACTACCTCCACGTAAGGGAGATATGTTGTCACGTCCTCGAATGTTATTGCCTCCTTCACTACCTTGCCGACGCCACGCGCCACGGCGGAGGGATTGAAGTCCATCATACTCAACCGGAACGGTGTATGAAATGAGATGGGAACTGCCCTTATAACGCGAGATCCTCCCCCTCCAAATATGTTGTCCGCCCCTGAGAAGCAGCGACAATTCTGTGGACCCCATGTTGACCATGGAACAACTCGACGATCTTCTGAGGTCGCATCAAACCACGTTTGAAGGATATCCATGAAAAATGTGCGAGCAGATATCACAAAAACTACATGGGGGATGCACGCCTTCACGGTTATGACTCGATCTGCAGGGTTTGTTGTCCACACCCAATGTTCGTCTGTTGCAGCGAATCGCGCGCAACTCAGGGCGCTATGGGAAACCGAACGAAACTGAAAGTAGCTATATGAATCAATGGGTAGCGAGAAACTTGCCTGGAGCTGCGGTGCCTTTGACAGGTCCTCGACATTGTATAGCTCTATATTCGGGTGCGGCTCGCGTAAGAGAATTAAAAGCTTCTCCGGAGTGAGAAAACGCATGTCAGACAGCTCGCGGTCTTCGCCGAACACGAACACGTTCTGTTGAATGCTAAAATCAGATCTTTGAATGGTAGACGGAACGAGACGCCAACATTAGCTGAACCACCTTGATGCCAATTCCAGACATACAGTGACCAGTACTTCTGATTTTCTACCTTGATCGTAATACTGCAGTAGAAAGCAATGCGGTCTCCGATGACAGCGGCTGCCCCCCGTGTTGATGGCCAACCCACATACCATCCGCCATTACGGACATTGCCAATGATATCATAAGTGGCTCTACCGGCCTCTAGACGGGATCCACGGGCCAAAGGATGTCCATCGCCCGTGGAGAGAGTGCGAAGGTGTATGCGGTACTTGATGCGGGGGGTATATATGTGGGGTACCACATTGGCGGAGACTATAAGGTCTTGCGTCTCATCCAAGCAACAAAACACGTCATAAAGTGGTTTTGGACCTTCCATGATCCAAGGGCAGGGAAGGGCAGCCGCTGTTTCGCCCATGTGCATCCTGAGATCGATATCTTTGGAAAAGACATATGCATGGGGGATGAACATGGAAACACTGAGTTGTTGATGGGTGATGGAAACCCAAAACTTATTACGACGGGCAGCGTGGAACGCGACATAGAGCCTTTGTGTCGTATTGAGCTCGAAGGAATCCCACGCTCTTGCGTTGCATCTGAGAATACGCAAACACTCCGCGACGGAGACAGTAGGTGGCCGCGGATGAACAGGTATCAACCCTTGGACACCAAGTTCAATAGTGTATTGCAGATCAACAGAGTTCTGGACTGTGCTGTATAAGGTCTGGCAAGTCTGTGACGGGAGGACAAGTGCATGAGTCGAAACAAGCTCATTGGATTGGATGGATGACTCACCGACGCGCAACATATGATTTCATTGTGTGTCAGAAAACTGAAGATATGGCAGCGTAGCTCTTCTGGAATATCACAAAGCATAGCCCTCCCAGACTGAGAGAGAAACACATTCGTAGCCCCATTGCTGGTCGTGGTCATTGATAAGTGGCGCATGGCATGAGGGCAAACACAAGAATGGCAGGATTGACTCGGCTGTCTGCTTTCTGCCTTTCCTGCCTACACAACCACTTCAACTCCCAGTACCATCTAGGACACACTTGACGAAAACAGCTCACCTGGGTGTCTACTATGGAAGACGGCCAGCGACAATCGTCGGACTTGATTTGAGCCTAATCACACATGAGGATCAGACTGAGATTACAGTCAGAGAATAAATGAAAACGTACGATTTGTCTACCAAGCACCTTGTATTGGTATGCCTTGTCGAAAAGGCCCAATAATGAAATGACAATGTGCTTTAAAATGTCGAACATGGTGGATTTCAACAGTGAGCTGACACTTATAAAGGGGATTATGAGTGTACAGGGGCAGGCCTAGGGGTATATTTGTCCGGCTTTACGTTCATGCGATTATTATGTGGGCAAGCGCCTCGCAAGCCACACAACACCCCCACGCCCATTCAACATCGAGACATCAACTGCGAAATGCATGATGAATTTGCTGTCGTGCATTTGGCAATCCTGCAGGAAACAATCAGTGGGGCATGGATGCTGGGGACGCATCAAGATGATTAGGACCCATATGCTGGGTTATTGTCGACCCTCTGCAGGCCTAGGATCTTTTGGTCCTTCGCCTGATGTCGTCACCGAACCAGATCCCCATGTATTTCAGGCGGAGTTTCGGTCGGCTTTATCCCAGGGTCCCGACTCCCCATCCTGAGTCACTCAGTGACTATGTCTGCCCTTCCCTGGAGTGCACACTTCGCAAACGTATTTTTGATGAACCTGGCCCGTTCAGACCCTATAATCTGGACAAATATACGATCACCACAGTGGCGATCGGATATTTGTCCACTACTAACCTTTTGGAGGAGAGGACGTGACTTGCTGTAGTCTTCCCTTGATCGATTGGAGGAATGGGATATGGAAAAAACAAAAACTGTAAGTCCGTCTATCCTCGATAACTCTGCTGCTTGACGTTAGCAGCATTCTTTACATCGACCATATGCCTGCAGTGAGGAAATTATGCACGTATTAGACGAATAGATTATCGTCATGCTTACCTCGGGTGGTCTGTGGACGACTATAATGACAGATTACGGTATGCTGTCGTCTGTCATTCTCGTCATTGACATGATCACCTTCTCGGGATTGCCTTGCGATCAGAGATTCCTGTGGAGACCCCAGCATATGCGGTTCTTCCCGCACAACCGAATCTATCGAATCAGTGTGTGCGATAGTATCCACAGTTTGTTCATCGGATTGCTTTAACATCGGTAGGTGTTCTTAGTTTCGAATACAGACACCTAATATCCTTGTTTTAGATGACCAGCCTCATGACCATGGATAGGATCATCTATCACACAGCCTTGCTAAATACATACATATCGTCTGTGCCATCCCTGCGCCCATCGCCTACACATCCCCATCTCGTTTCTTATCCTGTACACGCCCCGCCCCCTTTTCAAACCTCTCCGGCTCATTCCGCGCATTCGCAAGTTCCATAACGTTGAATTTCTGAAACCGATAATAATCTTCCACGATGCTCATACCAAAAGTGCTCTGCATATCCCAAAACCCAAGTCCCGAGTCAGCGTACCACACATACAACCAAACCCGAAACACACGGCACGGACCTTGAAAACCTCCACCAAAACGAACACGTCAGGATTATCGAGGTCAACGGTATACCCCGCCGGCATGCATTTAGCTACTTCTTGGATGATCTCCATTCGTGTTAACGTGTTGTGGTTGCGGATGCGTAATTCGATTTTGTACTGCAGACGATCAGGATATACATAAGCTTCTATGTGTCGTTGGAGACGTACCTTGCGAGCTCTTGGAGACTCTTCGTCTTCGCCTTTTTCATGAGCAGTGTACGCGGCGACTGTTCGACGGCATAAAGAGTGCAGTTCTGGGAGGTTTGCGACGCATGTGCCTGAGACTGGTGTTAGTCGATGTGTGCATCTGTCAGTCCAATGAGCAAGAACGAAAAACAAGAAAAATGAAAGGGTGATGGATGGGGGGGGGCTTACTTTGTTCTAGTGACGCCTGTCTTTTGGACGTTGTCTACGTGTTTCATCACCAGTTTTACAGGGTCCACAGGGGGTTTACATGACATGAAAATCACTGGGTTGATAATGGTCAGGGTGCATAACACTGATAGAAGGCATGCTCGTACCGCATTGTGTGTTTGTGAGGCAGTTGGCTGGTCCTCACGTCGTCAGCAAGAAGAAACGCACGGTAAAAGGTATGTTCACTCACCGAACCGCTTCTCCACTTTTGGCCGTTTCAGCGCAGCTACCTCTTTTGCAATCTGCGTCTCTAGATCGTCTTCATTCTCATCCGCGTCTGAGTTATTATCCCGATCGTTATTAGCAGCGCTAGAGGAATCAAGCCCTTCTGTGGGCCACATGTCAGCTGCTAGCTATCATCACCATCACCATCATAAGTTAGTTATGTGCAACTCAGTGTCGACAGAAACACCCTCACCGATTCAAATAGATCATACAGCTCGCCAACTGTTCCTTTTTCCTTCCCCTTTACACAAGTCGCCCATATCCCTGGTCCTTCGATCGAACGCTTTACCCAGGTGGGCGATACACCGTCCTGCCAAAAATCTGTTTGGATGGCTGGAGGGGTTTGTTTAGGTGTACTCACTGATCGGTATTTGCGTTTACGACTATTAGAAGGGCCGCTTTGTGTTTCAGCCATTGCAAGATCCAAAAGTCGTTTCAAGGCGCTTAGATTCGAAACGTGCCTAGTCTTGATCAGAAGGTGGAGTAGCGCGCCTAATCAGGACAAACAAAAAGTTGGCTTCGCTTCCACAACGCTTGCAGAACAAGCGAATTAAAGGTCTATATTATACATAATGAAGCGAGTCTGATATAATAAGCGTCCAACTCTGGACCCTTGCAAGACGGCGGATTTGGGCCGATAAATACTATGAGGCGGAGGCGTACTGTGGCAGTTTGTTTTTGAGCCTACGATTCCTCGTCGTCCTCTTCGTCACCATCTTTCGCTTCACCTCCTGTCCATTTCCGTTCCCATAGCGGGGGCGAAGCGTCAGGGTGACGCTTTAATAATGGATGATCAAGCGGGAGGTTACTTCTCGCGACCATTAAGCGCTGCTTGAAGACATCATGTTCCGATAGAAGCTCAGTGACGTAGTCGATAGCTAACAAACAATCCAAAATCAAATTAAACGTGGATCAAAAAGCGAAAAGTCAGCACTGACTCTTTGAAAGCACGACATGTTCGCTTTTCGGACCAGCCCTGCCGTCGACCTTCTCACCGTCGTCATTTGCAGGCTTCCGTCGTCTTCCGGCTTTCTTCCCATTCGCACCCGCTTCTTCTTCTTCCATTGCTTCTGCTAACATGGCTTCTCGTAGAGAAGGGACGATGTCGCATAGAGCCTCGTAACCTCTTCTTATATTGGCTCTGCGCTTCTGCTCCGATTGGATGTGATTTGCTTTTTTCTGGGAGGGGGATAGAAGGGTCGATGCTCGGCCTGCGTCACTAGCGAATTGTTGGGATGCGACAGACGACTGTCGCCGCCGTTTATTCGCGCCATTATGATCCGGTGGTGGGGATCGTTTAGTGGACGAGACAGGTGTAGGCGTGGTATGGTGCGTGGAGAAGGATGAAGATGAGGATGAAGGGTCGATAGGAGACTGGCTGGATGAAGAAGAGGATGCGTTCTCGAACGCGAAGGTTCTTGCTCTAGTTCTGGTGGAGACGGATGCGGGATCGACGGTTCGTTGGAGAGGGGGTATGGGTGCACGATTGCGGGAGGAGGGAGGCTGGGAATGGGATGTGGAGTGGTCATTGCTTTCTACGCGTCGTTCACGACGGGTAGAGTAGAGAAATGACAGGGGGTTTGACTGTGACTGGGGATGCCGGTTAACCGGTGGGTCGGAAGGGGACTCACGGGGTGAAGCAGAGTGAGGGAGTGGATACCGCCATTTATCGGTATCTAGGGACATGAGGTCTTTGGTTGCTTGAGCTAGTGCTTCTCTTCCGTGGGCTGGAGGCATATGCTCATGGGATACGTCTAGTTGCATGTTCCATGACGCTGAAAAGTCGGTAGTGTCAAGCGATGAAAGGAATTTCTGAAAGGCATGAGCCTCTGTGGGCGTTAAGAGCGACATAAGACTCTTGTTGTTTAGGAAGAGGTTGGAAGAGCACTTTTGTACTCTTTGAAGATTGGAATTCGTGTTTGATGATGAGAGTGGAAGTTAAGGATTGTCAAGGCTGAAATTGCTGTCGCGGCCAGTTCGGGATTCATGAGACAGGTGGCTGTGCTTCCCCACATGAGGTCTTGCCTTTATAAGTGTGTTCCTGTTCCGGTAAAAAAAATGAGATATGTTGTGTACCGGTAAATGGATGCCTGGCGCCCAATGAATCACGCGCAATAGGCTAGATGTAGCTCTTCCAACCTTGTTATATTTATCGTTAATCTGCAAGGGAATAGCGCACGCCGCACATCCAGAGTACTAGTACACAAGTTAGTGATCAAACTGAAACAAAGGTACTACTGGCAGGGTGGGGCGGTTGAATGATTTATGATATTAAAATAAGGAACTTGGAGTAATTACTTAGCGGTGCTTACCCCTCGGACCCGTTCTCGAAAATTGACGCTCGGCTGTAGTTGTCAACGAAATGAGACATGTTGCGTGTCCAGGCCAAAACATGTTACACATGTAACCCGTTCATCGCATCAAAAATTCATCATCCAAAACGTTTACCCGGGCAAGGCATAGTACATATTCGAAGGGCCATCAGCAGCTGCATGCAGAACGCTCTTACTGGCAAGGATTAGCTTGAAGCAACACATCATGGGTTCCGTTTTTACCGCGGGAGTCATCTTATGAGGTCATACCTGTTCCGTTTCTGCATTTGATGGAAAATGCACCTGCAATGATCCACACCGGTACACTAGCTTGGCTGCTTACGCAAGACTCGGAACTCATCGCGTCGGACAACGAGTAGGTCCCGGTTGTGCAACAGTGTGCAACCCGGTACCTACCACCTTCAAACTAGCACTCGGATATCTACTCTTCTGCCTCAGGGCCTTGGTAGAATGAATAAGGAACTCGGCTTTATCTTGAATTAGGCTATTCGGGCTCGGGCTGAACAACTATTAATATTATCACATAATAATCGAGTTCCGGCCTACGCCACGCCTATATCTTTTTCGTCGGTCTGCCTAGAGGTCTACGGCAGAGTCTCCGTTGTCGGTCGACTACACCAGGTTTCCCGATTCGACAATCTCAAACACGGAACACAATAACCTTAGACCCATCACAAGACCTTCATCTTTGTCAAAGTGCCAAAGTTCGGACAAGATCATCCATCATACCATGGCCACCGACCAGTACTAGTACTAGCCCTAAAGCATGAACGTGATCCCGGCTGGTATCTATTTAAAGGCCACCCAACATCTTCTTTAAGTCTGCAGATCTGATTGGCCATCGAAACCCAATGACATGACCTTCCCATGCGAATCAGATAGCGATAACTCTCAAGTCCAACACTAGAGTCCATAGATCAAACAAGACCCCACCAAATGAGCGGAGATACACAGCTCAGAGTCACTTTTTTCCCTCCTCTCTATCTCCAGAGAAGGATATGGGCCCTAGACGTCCTTCGCCGCGAGCAGGTCACCGAGGTCAGTCCTCACCACCCATATTCATAGCCAATGTCGACTCACGATCTCATCTCTCGCTCAGATCGTAGACATCGGGTGCGGCGAAGGTCAACTACTCGCAGTTCTCTGCCAGCCTGCATCAAGTCTTCCCCCTCCTGACCCATCATCTCCCACCGATTCAACTTCAAGCACACACGATCTCGATCTCCACCCTACACGCATCGCAGGCCTCGATATCTCACCCCACGCACTCGCATCCGCGATCGAAGACACCTCACCCACAACTGCAAACGCATCATACACGCGATGGGAACCACTCGACGTGAACATCTGGCATGGCAGACTCGAGATCTTTAACCCCACTTTCGTCAACGCAGAATGTATCGTCGCAACAGAGGTGTACGTCTATCCTATGCTCCATCACCCTTCAAATTTTCTGTCGTTCTGTCGTTCTAATACGCCCCCAGGATCGAACACCTCCCAGAAACCATCCTCGCAGATTTCGCACCCATGCTCATGGGCACCTACCACCCCCGCCTCCTCCTCCTAACAACCCCCTCCTACGGATTCAACGCGCGCTTCAGCCCCCCCGGACAAACCAACACCACCACCGGCTTCCCAGACCCCACAAAACGCACAGACAGGGTGTTCAGGCACCACGACCACAAATTCGAGTGGACGATTGAGGAGTTTAGGGCGTGGTGCGAGGGTGTTGCGGAGGAATGGGGATATGAGGTGGATGTGACGACTATTGGGCGTGCGCAGGAGAAGGATGAGTGGGGGAGGGATGAGGAATTGGGAGGTGCGAGTCAGGTTGCTGCTTTTAGGCGGATTGAAGGCGGGGATTGGGCGACGAAGCGGGAGGAGATGAGTAAGTGGGTGAAGGAGAAGTCGAGGGGCCAAGAGGAGCATCGGTTGATGCAGGTACACCATTACGATGCGCATGTTTGTGCGGGGAAACGAGCGTCGGTTGAGGAGATTGAGAAGGCTGTGGTGGATAAGTTTGAAGAGTGGGGAGAGGGTGAGCTGCGATTGGAGGAGATATGGTTCGTGGAGGAGATCGGAGCGATGTGTGGTGGGTGGTTTGAAGTTCTGATCGAGGCTATCGAGGCGAGTGCGAAATTCGATCTTCAAAGAAACGAGGGCCAGAGAAGGGGAGATTGGCCGGTGGTGCTAGTTGGAGGCGGGCCTAGGAAGAAGAAGACATTCGAATGGGCTCGGACGCAGACGACAGAAGATGTGTATGAAGACTCTGAGGTCCCGCAGGAAGGATACCGTCTTGATGACGATGTGGAATCCAACTGGGGGAGTGGTGTGTGCTCTTCAGACTCTGGCGTTGATCTTTCGTGGGACATTAGTAAAGAGGAAGCCTGGGAGAGGGACACCGCATGGACGTACGATTCTTCGGACAGCCCGGTTGGCTGGGGCAGTTGGCCCGGGAGCACTTTGTCTGCGGCTTGGAACCTTGGTAGGGATGAGTCTAGAGCACAAGATTTACTGTAATTCATCGGTAATAGACAAATCGGATTCGTGTGGATTGCTTGGGGTTGGAGAGTGTGAAGTTTTGAATACAAGTTGTAATGCATTTGAGGAACAAGTGACCATTCGTATGATGGCCATAGCTGCTATGCAGAGGCTCTGAAACTGAGTACTGAGGACCTTCAGTTTATTGAAGCAATTGTGAAAGGCTATAAGCTTCTGCATAGTGTTCCCAGGTGGTCATTCCTCTCTTCGCGAAAACGAAGATCTTCAGCAGTTTCCATGGGTGCATGGCATAGGCGCTGAGCGGCGAGCACTCTTGACCAAGAATTCTGAGTTCATTGTACATATATCTGGTACAACAAAACATCAGAATTCATGGCAAAAGCACGCTATCTACGGACCATGGTACCAGATCAATATCAGATTCCTGGATGCAGCGGGGATGGGCCACGTTGCTGCTGCAAAAGTGTGTAGGTATGACATAATGATAGGTATCCCACGAATTTGGCAAATCGATCGCGGGAGCTTCTTTCTTCTTTCGTATCGTCACAAACGTTCTTAGTAGCGAGAGTTGGCGGGGCTGGCGGAGGAACGAGGCCGAGCCGACCTGCGGGTCCCCATGTACAACATATGACCCTAGGCCTCAGGGCATTTAATCGATTGGATGCGGTGACGGTCGCAGTGCCTCTGTCTTCAGGTTTTTCTCGTCGTACGTACAGCGTAGTCTTTATGTGAAGCAAAATCCGAATACTGCAAAACCAGTAATTTATCCACTGAAGACTCGTTGGCTCAATATTAATATTAAGTTCTGAAGACTGATAATACATAAGCTTAGTCGCGACAAGGGATCATTAATCGGGGTCGGGGACTGGCCTGGACGGGACAGGCGCCGTGACGGACAGGCGCCATGACATACAGGCGCCCCTACGAATCCGATATAAACGTATATAGAACCCCCGCCATTTGCCGTCCATCAACTGGTCCACTTCCAAAGTAAAAGTGAAAAAAAAAAGATTCTTCATCATCACAACCTCGAGGCAAAGAATCAAGAATCAAGAACCAAGAATCAGCCACAGATCAGAAATCCAATCACCCATCATCGAACACCATCAACAAAAACGCCACAACAGTCAGTTAATGGGACAGCTTATACCTGATGAAAGAATGATGGCCGCCCATAGAACTCGACTGACCAACACGGTCGCGTATTCGAGAATTTTGATCTCTCCCTTTCGTGGTCATTTCCCCCCATCAATATCAAATATCAATTAATATTGACGGTCACATTTTGTGGACCGAAAATGGCAATGAGATGGAACACAGCGAACGTCCGCACTACCGACGTGCCATGAGCATCGCAAGTACGAAGCCATGATGACTATAGTCCGCGGAACTCATGGAAAAGAGGCGCGTTGCGCGCTTCGCGATGGACGGAAGTATTGCCCCATTTGAAAGAGACAGCTGTGTGAGAGTAGCGTGAGTTTTTGTGGAGACAGAAACAGGAGGGGGCTTACATTAATGATAGCGTGAAATGTAAATCCAAATTGCGCAGCTAGCCACACGATGATAATATAGTGGCAAAGGGTGGATGTGTGGCGAGCTTTATCGATGGCCCTAGCTCATAAGTAGCACTAAAATACCACCTCCCTGAACAGTCAGATTGACGTAGGCTTGGCCAGGCTGATGAACGTAGCAACCCTGAAATAGAAGGACAACGTGGTCCACGTCCTTGCTCCTCTGTGAAGATAGGTCGCGCCGTATTTGTGTGCAATTACATGCCCACTAACAACGTTTCGGCACTCGGTCAACTACATAGCATTGATTTTATCCCTGTTTGAAAAAAGAAGGCTTGCATTAAAATTAAAAAACGTTTCTTGGCCAAACAATTTGCTCACTCCGATCATCTCGAAAAAGTCCATCCAGGGGGGTGGACATAATCGTGACGAGAGGGATTGATTGGAGCCAAGATGGTGGCATATGAATGCCAACGTGACGTTTCTGTGCACCTGAGGCTATACTGCCATATGTCTTGTGCATTGTTTGATGTAAACCATGTGCCCCAGGGCTCGGCATGAAGGGGCGTCCTCTCGTCCTACACAAATGTGCCTTGAGAGTCCCACCGCGAAGGACAAAATTCGAAGATACGAAGCTCCTCGGCACAGCCAAGAGAAGAGAGAGAAAAAAAGCCTTCGTATCCAAGACACACCTGCCAGTGGAAGCATGGTAAGTCGAAATGTAATTATACGGAGATCCGTCCCGCATAACAAAAAGGCAACGCACCGCCCGAGTATCATTTTTGCTCCCACCGAGGACGAGATCAAACATACGCATATATGAGCGAACGCCGATATTTGATGAAAAAGCTAACTACATCTATAGCGTGATAAAATACTAAGCAAAGTCCGCGAACATGAAGTCTACCACGACGAATGATGGGCATGCCGAGGATGACGTTGCCAACGAGGCTGAATAAGGGGTACATGTGATAGCAAGATATGCACGTAGAATGACCAGATGGAGTGGAGTGGAGTGGAGTGGGTTGTGATGCGGAAAGTGTGAAAACAAGAGCACAGTACTGCTGGGATAGGGTGGTATCGTTAAAGTGGGACGAGTAAAGTATAGATGACGGCGATGATCTAAGCATGCCAATTTGCAACCATTAGCGATCTGTATCCGACAGACAGATTCATTGTCGTGGTTGAGCTTCGTGGACCGCATTGGCGGTAATCATCTCCTGTAAGTGGCGGTGTGGTCTCCACAGCAGGACAGCCTTGACTACCGCCGTGGCGCCAACGACGAGAGGGAAAGCCCTTGCGCAAGCTCGGTCTTCCATGCGATCCGTTTCAACGCCTCGGCATAATCCACCCACTCTCTTTTCCGCTCCCGGCTCTCTAACCAATCCTTGTCGAGAGTCGTGACTTCGAGTTCGTAAAAGTGATATGTTGTTGAGGGCGAGTTGATCGTCGTCACAAATCGAGTTATGTTGCCTCGAACGCCCGCTGGATTTTTGAAGCGGTAATAATTTTGGGAAAAAATAGCATGGGATGATCATCAGGAGATGAACAGACGGAAGAGGGACAAAGGTTGAGACCTTCTTCTAAGGCTTCCCGCGAGGCTGCCCTCTCTAATGTAACATCCGACAACTCCCAACCTCCTTTAGGCACTAGGGGGAGGATAGGAATGCAGCGAGTAAGCAGAATATTCTAACCGGGAAGAAAAAAGGGCGTAAATGCTAAAGACGCGTCATTGCGTCACGCGACATGTTACACCACACATTTTGCGAAAAATCAAAAAAGTTGATGAAAATGATGATGAACTTACAAACCCATAAATCTTGTCGTTTGCGACTTGTTATAACAAGGACCTTTCCGGAAGTGCTTGCCAATGGGATGGCACAGCATACGACACGAGGGACTTCGCGACCTTTGGTGCCCATGATGCAGATGGAGAAGAGAGAGGAGAAGAAGACGAGAGTAGAAATAACTTGGCGGTATGCTTTAAAGCACCGGATGGCGATATTCAAATGTTTGACTAATGCTTGACTGGTTTTGACTCCACGGTCGAACAGCTTTTGGCGGAGAATAACGTTGGAGGCAGAGAGGTGTGTGAATGTTGACTGTCAACGCAGTTCTAGTCCACGTCCACGTATATAAAGGAGAAGGTTTGGCCGGAATAACACTCCGGCGCGGTGTCACGAGACAGTCAACTATGAGAGTATTATCAGTGGCGAGCGTTAAAACACAGTAAGCATGACCGGACCTGGATTGTCCTAGGAGGTGCCCAGAAGTTTAGGGATGAGTGCAGAACAGATGCGAATTTAAACGGATGGATGGTTGGCCTGTGGAGAAATATGGATGAGAAGAGTCCAGTAGTACTGTTCAAAGAAAAAAAAAGGAGAAGACAGGTTCAAGTTTTTGAGTGGAAACTGGCCGAGACTGAATGAAATTACGAAGCTAGACTTTCCAAAAATGTACAAAAGCGGAAGTACCACCAATTCACGCACGTTCGCCGGCATCCACACGGCATGCATCACTATTGCCGTAGCTTACACCCCTGGATCCCCTTACTTGTCCACCTTCCTTCAGCAAAATGAACATCCAAATGAACCTTCCCATATTCTTGTGGACGCCCCATCGTGTATCAGAAGAATGGTATATATAAGCTATTCACGGCATAACTGTCTACACTCTAGCACCATCTCCACTTGATTGTCACGGGTCCTTGGAACAATCTGTGCGCGGTACCTTCGTGATATATGATATTTACGTGCGGATATGAGTTCTGTGCCCGGGGTTCAGCCTCCGAATCTCCATCTGCAATGGGACTAACGTACGAGTGACAAGTAAAGCTTTGAACGATTAATAAACGTGCGATCACATTCATTCGTTCCATCTAAGAACCAAATCATTCAAGAATCACACAGAATTTTCATCAGCGGACTTACGCTACGAAGAACATGCAAAGAACGCCAAAGGCCATCGCACCGAACTGCCGCATAGTCAGAAAATTATCCAAAAATTCAGATAAATGACCGCACCTCGCGCAGAGCTTGTGCGCCGCTTTTGCTCTCCGCTAGCAGACTGACGGTGGTGCGATAAATCATGAGAAACACAATCACAATATGTCACTCACGTAGGCAACACCGCGACGGCTCCAATGTACATAAATCCACCGGCCACAAATGGGATTACCTATAGTACCCACCGTCCCGTGAATTAAAAAAAAATTAGATTACAGAATGATGTGCAATCACCAAATCCGCTGGTTGTACAGTGGTACCCAAGATCCCGGAAGCGTCTTGCCGCACCCCTGCGGCTAGGTCCAATGACTCTGTAATTGTGCCGGACGCCGATAAATTATGGATGGCGATTCCCATGAATGTGCTTGTTTCGCTTGGTCAGCGATCGACAATGAAGCTATAAATTTCAAGATTATACTCACCCGACCTATCGAGAAGCATTAGAATTGACACATGACTCTAATCTGAGTATAAAAACTGATGTACTCACAAATGCACCAATGGCAGTCAAGAACTGCGATTGCATTGCTTGCCTTTTGGTGAACCCACTACGCACTAGAATAGAATAGTCCGCAATTTCATGGGGAATTTCGTGGGCGAAGCATGCAAGAGTAGTAGTAGCTCCAATGAGTGGCGAAGAATAGAACGATGCGGCCATGCTGATACCAGCAGGTGTCAGCCACTATCAAATCACAACGCGCGCGTGCGCAAGCCAACACTCACGCTAATCCATCTGTGCTAGATGAAAGCGAGGCATCAGAAAAAGGCACGCAAGAATCAAAAAAAGGAGTTCACATGTTGTGGACAAAGTCACCAAATAGGTTGAGATACGCTGAGAGCTTCGAAGGTGCCGTTGCAGCATGGGCGTGTTCGACGTGTTCTTGGTGATCTACTTCATTTTGTTTCCCCGATCCTCGTGATCGAAGACCATCAGGTGACAAGGAGGTTGACACTCCAGATGCTTGCGCAGAATCTGCAGATATGGCAGTAGATTCAGAATGAGTGTGAGAATGACCGTGTCCATCCTCGCCCCCAAGCACTCTTAATGTTTTCTCCATGACGAAAAAGGTAGCGAATCCAACAAAAATACCTAGCCTTGTGTGTATTATGAGTGCATGCAGGTACGTTTCGCATACAAACATACCCAATGAGGATGTTTCTCTTCTCTTCGACCATTACGAAGTGAGCGCCCGGATCTTGATGTTCTCCCATGAACGCATGGGGGACAAGGTGGAGAAAAACGTCAGAAAGAAGACCTCCAGTCTGTGGAGCTTGTGAGCAAGAGCCTGGCCTTTCACCCCACAGCGTTTAGCCAATAACGAATACTAACAGCAAAAGCGGTCATCGTATTGAGCGTGTCTGGATGGATCTCCGCGGGAATAAATGCAAGAATAAAATTCGGCACCCTAAAACGTTGTTTAAAGGTCAGCGGAGTTGGGGCCTGGATAGATGGAGGAACGAATAGACACACGCACGAGCTGATGTAAAATGTCCCAAGCACTGGTAAAACAAAAGTTGCATCAGGGGAGGACTCCACTAGACTGAGAACCCCTTGCCTGAGTTCCATCCTGGGCCAAATGGGAACAACCACGCAAATACTTGTCTCATTATTGGAGATTCCTCATCCTCCACAGCAATTTTGAGAGCACTGAGCTTCTCAACGGAAGGACATTCGTGTATTTCTGATTCCTGGACCACAAGACACGTTTGTTCACATATGAGAGGGTTACACGCAAGATGCTCACCCGAACAACTAGGGAATCCTGTACATTCTCTAGGGCGACAACAAGACCGCACACCGAGCATAATAAAAGAGCGAGTACCAACGCGCGAGATGCAAAACGAGCGGCCATGGCTAGTAACTAGCAATATATGTAGTGAGTTATGAAAGACAAATGAGTGGGCTTTCACGGCATCGGATAATTCCGAAGGCCGCTGCGACGTGTTCTTTCTTGGCCAACATCTTGAATCATACAGGCGGTGGACAGGCGGCATAGCTTAGCCTCCAATCTCGAAAAATCGAAACCATCCGAGTCTCGATGTACCCTAATGTCCAAGGCCATGCCCATAGTCTGCAAGGAGAGTATTCATTACTGGGAGGTGTACGAGAGACTTCAAAGCATATCACAGCCTTACCCCAGATTTTCCATGGCTTTAGCGTGTGAAAATTTCGAAACGTTTCGTTTGGTTCAACGCGCTGATGGGCTCATCGTCTTGATGTGCTCGACGTCTGCCCTACGTGCTTTGGGAGTACGTACAGGATTTTAACAAACTGCATGCAGATGTTGGACAATCCCGGCGTTAGCGGGTAAGTCATACTTCAAGTTGGCGGCCAAATCTTCTCAATTTTACCATCCAGCGTCCCTTTGCGCCCAGCGACTTGAAAACCAGATATCCTTAATACTATGTTGGAGAATCCATGGTAAAAATATTCGTTGCAGGGATTTTCCGCTTGAAATCATGCGTGAATGATCGGATCTACAACGGTCTCTAAGAGAGGTTATCTCGGACGATGGGCATCGCAAGTTGAAGTGTTATTGCTCTGGTGATTGATTTCGCATGAGCGTGCTGATGATTTTGCTGATGGAACATGGTACCTCGATACTTTAGTCTCTGAGTCAGTTTATGCGTCTCAAATTCCAGCTGGTAACCAAACACCCTCGCACCGCGTTTGCCGGTGTGTAACACAGACGACAGATAGCGGTTCAGCTGCAGTTTCCTTGACAAGTCAACTCCATCTTGCTTCCTTTGTTGCATGATAGATTCCACACAGACTCGTTGAGGCTGTGCCCAGCGTCCTGGAGACCAGAATGATCTGTCAGACCGATTTCTGAGGTACCAGGGACGGCACTAGTGGTTTTCGGACTTCAGATTCACAGACTGGCTTGATGCTGCGCGGCACAGCGTTGGATTGGCAACACAATTATAGGTAGGGTACGCGTTTCAAGTCACAGGCATTTGGTCGCGTCATGTCATGGAACTGCTTAAAAGGGGGTGTCTCGTTGGTAGCAGGCCCACATCCTTGATACTTATCCTCGACGCAACTTCCTTATCCACTATACTCACCTAGCTTCATGGAAGATTTCAAAGCCCTCGTCATTGGAGGTTCACGAAACATAGGCTATTACTCTGCTGTCCGGCTCCTTGGTTAAATAACCCCTTTCCTTGACACCTAACATGTTCTGACATCTTGTGCCAACAGATCTCGGCGTTACCGTTACATTCCTCCTGCGCTCACCACGAGTCTTCGATCAGGATGACGTGATTCAAAATTACATCAAGCAAGGTAAAGCCCGCCTCATCCAAGGTGATGCTCTCGTGAAGAGCGATGTCCGCCGGGCATGGTCCGAGGCTCAGCATCAGCAAGGAGACTATACCAGACCAGTCGACTTCCTCATTTTCACAGTCGGTGCGTATCGTCCATTGCATAATTCCAAGCTAGTCAATATTTTACTCATCCATAAACCTACCAGGCGGAACACCCCATTTCTCACTAACAAAAGGCTTCACCTTCACCCCACCAAACCTCGTTACCCAATCCCTCCTTAACGTCCTCGAGACTCTCCCATCTCCGCACCCAAAGATCGTAACGATCTCGTCTACAGGCCACACGCAAGCCTCCCACCAATCTCTCCCTCTCCCTATCAAACCACTCTATAGCTACCTCCTTTCCGTACCACTCAAAGACAAACGTGGCGCGGAGGAAGCTATAGCTCATAGCGCAGGGTGGACTTGGGAAGCAAGGGACAGCGCGGGCGAAGAGATTTCCGGTGCTGACTGGACGGACCGAATCCCCAATCCTGGGGAACTTAAGAGTGTTGTCGTTATCCGGCCCGCGATGCTAACTGATGGGAAGTGTCGTGCGGACATAAAAAGTAAAGGAAGCGAAGCATATCGAGTGAAAGAAGGGGATTGGGAGTGCGGTTGGACTGTTTCGAGGAGGGATGTCGCGCATTTTCTCGTGGAGGGTGTGGTGAGGCATTGGCAGGAGTGGGAGGGGAAGTGTGTGAGTGTTGCGTATTGATTATGCAGCAATATGTTTTGGGACTGTTTTGGGACTGTTTTCGTGGATTCTATCGTTTCCTACGTCTTTGTGTACTATGTGCGCAGTAGGTCCCCATTCATCTACGTTACATGGATGTATAATACCTAACTCCTCTGTCGATCAAGTCTTATCATTCCCGAAGCCTCATTTCAGTGCTACTTACCTTACTGCCGGTTCTGTTCTTACATAATCCGACGTCATTCTAACGCTGCATAATTAATGTGGCTGATGTGCTACAAATTCAGACGCGAGTAAGAAGGTATATACGTGTCAAAAAGTGATAAAATTTTAGGGCAAAGTATATTTGATTACAGAGTGGTAGGACACAAGGTGACCCACATGCAAGTTATGTTACTTTTGATTCACCTTTTGTGGGGCACGCTGATGTGCACAGATCATTTGAAAGATATCAATAGATAACTTGCATGGACCGAAGCAGTGCTCGTGACGACTGAGGCAGCGACCTCCGAGACAGGATAGTAGAAATACACTCACCAGCTGCACCGGACGACTTCATATCTGCGACTCGCGATGGGAATTATGATCGGATTCGAACGACGGTGCCATCTATCAGGTACAGCATGCCATCCTGTGTCTGTTGAGTATAGAGTTAATTGACGACATCAAACACAGTGGACGAAAGAAACAGAACCGACCTTCTTCATCCCTATGATGCACACTCCCATCCTTCCAAGTCACCCGCGTCCACCCAGGCGGGTCAGACTTTGAGGGTTGGAAGGAATTCACATCTTGCAGCGTTTCATACGAAACAACAGTATCAGATAGGGAGATGCGAGATTTGCCAAGGGATTTGCTGAAAAGATGCTCGATATCGACGATGTTAGCCGCGATGGTGATTGAGCACGCTGAAAGGGTAGAAGAATATTGTAAGTCGAGTAACATGTGCTAGCGGACGTGTGGAGCAATGAGTTTTAGCAGACAGATACATTTTGAACGTCTGACGATGGGAGTTAAGCAGAATACAGACAGCTGCCAGGAATGAGGTAGAAAAGGTATTTTCAACGAGTTTCAACGTCATTCAACGCACCGAAAACCTGGGAGAAGACTATCTACCACCGCGCGCCCGATGGAATGTGGTGGGCCAACACGCCTCGAATATGCTCTATAATCAAGCCTGGCAATTTGATAGCACTGAAATTCAACTGCCATGCCGACCTGGGTGACCTCCTCGGCGCAAAGCCGATGCTTTTCTGTAAAGGACGATAGCGTCATCCAAGTCTTCGTCATTACCACAGTGCTCGAAGCAAACAGAGAGAGTAATGACTAGACCGACCTGGGTGACCGACTGTGCGCAAAGTCGATGCTTCTCTAAGGAGCGCCGCAGCCTCATCCAAGTCTTGGTCATCGTCGAAGTGGGAGGAGATTTTCAAGCAGAACATGTTGAGGCCTGACTCGCATTTCAAGTTGAACTTTGCTCTGATTGTACATGCATTTAGCCTATTGTCTGTACTTACTTCAAGTACGAAGGCTTGCGTGGCAGAATCATGCTAGCGAATTCATTATGCGCAATGATTGTAGAATGACCGTCGGACAATGCCGCGGCCCCCTCGTTCCTTCGGCTTCACCAAATCCCACTGTGGCTGATTATGATTAGCGCCACTGGATCAAATCAAACGCCCATGCTTTGAAGCTTGCCGTCAAGGCTATTCGGCTCGTGCCGTATGATGAGAACATTGAGAAGTCTATAAACTCCCTTCGTCTGTTTGTACCCACACTTCGCTCACACTAATCGACCACTCGTCATGAGCAAAGACCGTAGGACAGATCCTCCCCCAGAAGCCTGCGAAGCAGCTGCTACCAGTGGTGAAAGCTCGGTATGTAGCCTCGTGAGCTCACTCGCTGTGGATCATGAAATCCATTGCTGCCTCTGACACGTTCTTCGTACAGAGCCAACCCCGTAGCGGACTCCGGCAGTCCATGGGGAAACTTACGAAAGGCATGAAAAACAAGCTTTTTGTGAGTCACTAGTTATGAGTGTCCTGATTCTGAATATGGCTGACATGGGTGCAGAAACGCTCCAAGCGCTCCCGCGACCAAATCCCTGCGGTCCCGAACGTTGGCCTTCAAGATGCTTCATCGAATCAGAATATCGAGGTAGGTGTTCAAACTTGTTATCCTTCAGTACTTCTCACAGGCACCAAGGACACACCGCATCCGCGTACCACCATATCTGAGAATCGCAGTAGCCGCGTGGACCAAGGGCTGTCCGAAGAACCTACTTTGAAGGTACTATTGTCGAATGATCTCTTTCTCTCTCTGAATTTTGGCGGTTGCACAGGTTCAAGCTGCCCCTTCTGGCCCGGAGGAAGGTACTGATCCTCGATTGGTCGATGCTGAACTTCAGGGTGCCCGTGAGGGTACGAAAGGCATGAAACCACTCGGGGGGCATGCCAGTCTCATGGCATCCACCGCCAACAATGCCCCAGCCGGTCTCGATGCCGCAGACAATTTACAGACCACTTATCTCCAACCCCTCAAAATTTTTGATACTGCCATTGAGCAGGTTGCGAATGTATGGACCATTTCTCTTGATCGCACCAGAACTGATCCTGTTGTTTAGGTACATCCATACGCAAAGATGGCGCTGGGTGTGCTGTCTGCTGCATCCAAAGTATGTTAGGTTCGCTCAGAGTTTTGTCTCCTGCTCAAAAGTTATGATTTCATGTAGATTATTCTCGCTCAAGCGGGGCGCGACCAATCGGTACTTGGCCTTCTCGACAAATTGGAACAAGTTTACGGCTTCATGACCCAAGAGGACACTCTTCGCCAGATTTCGTCCATGCACACTATTGTCGGACGGATCGCTCAGCAGACTCAAGAATGTGCCCGTTTCATCAGGGATTACTCAGAAACCAAGAACTTTTGTGAGTAGTCGAATTATCACACTTTACATATTCTCAATGTTCAACCATCGTCACAGGGATCAGACTGAAGAAAAATGTTGTCTCCGAAACAGATGATACGATCAAGCGGTACAGTGACGTGTTAGACGGACTTATGCAACAATTCAGGGACCAAGTTGATCGGGACGTTGCCATCTTCGTCCAACGCGCGGGTAAGTTTCGGAGATGCTTCCGACGTTGCATCTACTTACACACCTCCAGGTGAAACACTGGATCTCAGCGGCATGGCTTATGCAGAGGGCGCAGGTCTAGATACCACGAAACAATGCCTACCAGGGACACGCACGGACATTCTGTCGCAGATCACGGATTGGATCAACAACAGTGAAGATGATGCCCAACGTGTGCTGTGGCTATCTGGCCCTGCAGGCAAGGGAAAATCAGCCATCGCCCACACGATTGCCAACTGGTTCAACGAGACGGGAGGGCTTGGTTCATTTTTCTGTTTCGACAAGCATAGAGAAGCAGACCGTCGGCATGAAAAGATTTTTTCCACAATCGCACAGGACCTTGCTGACTGCGATCCGGGGATGAAACGAGCATTGGCAGGTGCCGTCAAGGATGCAAAGTCCCTCAAGACCACGCCAGACATCATCCAGCAGTGGCGCAAGCTTCTCATGGACCCACTGAAGAAGTTCTCTGCGTCAAGTGTAGGGCCTGTTTTAATCGTGATTGAAGCGCTGGATGAGAGTGGTGGAGTGGAGACACGGCGTAACCTTCTCCGCATACTTGCCGGTAGACTTCAGGACAAAGGACTTCCCCAAATCACCGAACTTCCATCCAACTTTCGGATTCTCGTCACCTCTCGCCCGCTTCACGACATCGCACAGGAGTTTGAGGGTGCTGATCATATTCTACGGCTGTCAATGGACGATATTCGACCAGAAGTCGTGGAGGGAGACATTCACGCCTTCGTATCTGAGGAGTTGAAAGATTTATCAGATTTTCGAGACAAACATCTTGCAGCCCTTGCTCGGAAAGCCGATGGACTCTTCGAGTGGGCGCGTCTTGCCTGCAGATACATCAAGGATACCCCTGCTGGCGTACACAAAATGCCTCGCTTCAATGCTGTCATGAACCGCAGTGCAGGGAAGCAGAAAAACCTGTTGCACGATATATATCAGATCATTTTGAAAGGCATTATGAACAGGGATCGATATGACGGTGACGAGTACGAAGATGCACTGGCAGGGTTTCGTTCCGTGATGGGACAGATCCTTGGCACAGCTGAACCACTCCCTTTCGACTCCCTTAATGCCATGCGAAGCCACTTTCCAGACCGAAGCAAACATGACAGCATGGATATTATAAGACATATGGGATCGCTGCTTAGCGGCACGACCAACTCACGTTCCGCCATTCGACCCCTTCATGCATCCTTCCGCGACTTCCTGACAGACAAATCATCCAGCGGCGACTTTTTCGTCGAGGTGTCTGATGTACAACATGACCTTGCTTTTGCATCACTTCGAGTGATGGAACATGGCCTTCGCTTCAATATATGCGGTTTGAAGTCGTCATACCTCCCTAATTCCGAAGACACCGAGCTGCCCCAACGAGTCAAAAAATACATTTCCCCCCAACTGTCCTATTCCTGCCGATTTTGGGCTACCCACGTTCAAACATCAGACTTCCACAATGAGCTCGCCAAGGAAATAAGATCATTCTTCCACAACGATCGCCTCCTCTTCTGGATCGAGGTACTTGGTATTCTCAATGCACTCAGCGGCGCAGTTACCGTGCTTCCACTCCTTGGCAAGTGGCTGAAGGTGAGCACGCGTCTACTAGGCAGTGTCGATGAAAAGCTCACAAACAACTACAGGGCTATTCTGAATACAAAGATGTGCGGTCCAACGCAATGGATGTGCAAAGATTCATTCAAGTCTTCGGCGGCATGATTTTGCACAGCACACCACATCTATATTTATCAGCGCTGCCATTCTCTCCCATCAACTCCACCATAGCTTCCAATTTTACTGCGAGGTTTCCCAATAACCTTCATGTGGCATCCGGACGTGATCTGAACTGGACAGTTGTTCAGACCGTGATCAGCGGGCACACTTCTGAGGTTTGGTCAGTCTCGTTCTCATCGGATGGCACTCGCATCGCGTCTGGTTCGGCGGATAAGACTGTCCGGCTGTGGGATGCGGCAACAGGACAGCCATTAGGTCAGCCCTTGCAGGGGCACACTGACTCGGTTTACTCAGTCTCGTTCTCACCGGATGGCACTTGCATCGCGTCTGGTTCGGAGGATAAGACTGTCCGGCTGTGGGATGCAGCAACGGGACAGCCATTGGGTCAGCCCTTGCAGGCGCACACTGACTTGGTTTACTCAGTCTCGTTCTCACCGGATGGTACTCGCATCGCATCTGGTTCGCGGGATAACACTGTCCGGCTGTGGGATGCAGCAACGGGTCTGCCATTGGGTCAGCCCTTGCAGGGGCACACTGACGCGGTTTACTCAGTCTCGTTCTCACCGGATGGTACTCGCATCGCGTCTGGTTCTTTGGATAACACTGTCCGGCTGTGGGATGCAGCAACGGGTCAGCCATTGGGTCAACCCTTGCAGGGGCACACTGACCCGGTTTCGTCAGTCTCGTTCTCACCGGATGGTACTCGCATCGCGTCTGGTTCGGAGGATAAGACTGTCCGGCTGTGGGATGCAGCAACGGGACAGCCATTGGGTCAGCCCTTGCAGGGGCACGCTCAAGCAGTTTTGTCAGTCTCGTTCTCACCGGATGGTACTCGCATCGCGTCTGGTTCTTGGGATCACACTGTCCGGCTGTGGGATGCAGCAATGGGTCAGCCATTGGGTCAGCCCTTGCAGGGGCACGCTCAAGCGGTTTTGTCAGTCTCGTTCTCACCGGATGGTACTCGCATCGCGTCTGGTTCTTGGGATGACACTGTCCGGCTGTGGGATGCAGCAACGGGACAGCCATTGGGTCAGCCCTTGCAGGCGCACACTGACTTGGTTTACTCAGTCTCGTTCTCACCGGATGGTACTCGCATCGCATCTGGTTCGCGGGATAACACTGTCCGGCTGTGGGATGCAGCAACGGGTCTGCCATTGGGTCAGCCCTTGCAGGGGCACACTGACGCGGTTTACTCAGTCTCGTTCTCACCGGATGGTACTCGCATCGCGTCTGGTTCTTTGGATAACACTGTCCGGCTGTGGGATGCAGCAACGGGTCAGCCATTGGGTCAACCCTTGCAGGGGCACACTGACCCGGTTTCGTCAGTCTCGTTCTCACCGGATGGTACTCGCATCGCGTCTGGTTCTTGGGATGACACTGTCCGGCTGTGGGATGCAGCAACAGGACAGCCATTGGGTCAGCCCTTGCAGGGGCACACTGACGCGGTTTACTCAGTCTCGTTCTCACCGGATGGTACTCGCATCGCGTCTGGTTCGGAGGATAAGACTGTCCGGCTGTGGGATGCAGCAACGGGACAGCCATTGGGTCAGCCCTTGCAGGCGCACACTGACTTGGTTTACTCAGTCTCGTTCTCACCGGATGGTACTCGCATCGCGTCTGGTTCTTTGGATAACACTGTCCGGCTGTGGGATGCAGCAACGGGACAGCCATTGGGTCAGCCCTTACAGGGGCACACTGACTCGGTTCGGTCAGTCTCGTTCTCACCGGATGGCACTCGCATCGCGTCTGGTTCGCAGGATAAGACTGTCCGGCTGTGGGATGCAGCAACAGGTCAGCCATTGAGTCAGCCCTTGCAGGGGCACGCTCAAGCGGTTTTGTCAGTCTCGTTCTCACCAGATGGTACTCGCATCGTGTCTTGTTCGGTGGATAACACTGTCCGGCTGTGGGATGCAGTGCAGCCATTCCATGCATTCACCGAACCACCTTCCTCCGCACTCTCTCTGGACACAACACGTCGCACGCGGGAGAGTCCGAGTCCTATCATATCCGACACTTGGAACAATCGCTTCATTAAAATTTGCTTCTCATCCACCTCGGGTCACGCGCTGCACAACCCTGCTGACCTACTTGCGGGCACCCCTCATCATCATTCCAATTCAACCCCTTTCTTGTTGGGAGCTGATGGATGGGTGGTGGGACCCAATCACTGGCTCTTTTTCTGGGTACCTCCAGCTTCCCGATACGCATTTTATTCACATGACACTGCAATGGTGATCCCAAGAGGATACGCTGAACTTGATTTGAGCAAAATGGAACATGGAACACGCTGGTCGAATTGCCGAGATGCGTGAGTTTTAGTCTTTCCTGTGTGTCCCTTGCAGTTTCTAAATTCGACACATCTAGCCCTACTACTCCACGATGATGTTATCGCGGTAGTTAATTCATGGAGACGTCAGATAGAAAGACGATCAAGTGTGAATTTATACTTCCTGTCGATCTTCATCGCTGCTAGATGTTATTACTATGTCATGATTCGTGGCCAAGCCAACTACTTACTGTTCCAGCTCTTCGTTGTCGTTTGAATTCCCATATCATTGGACCCGTCGATCTCGAGATAATTTTACGGTCGTAGTCTTTCATGTGATGTATCATATCTAACGTGTTATATACATCAGTTAAAATCGTGTAAGAGAATGTATGTCCTTGAGGCAGGTGTCTGAACAATGAAAACCATGATGTTTGCCTGAGTCCGGGCTTTGGCGACAAGACAACTCGTCCGACACTTAGGAACTAGGCTGACCCTTGGCGTAATTTTAAGCGATGCGGCCTGTGTTACTGTCACAGTATGTAATACTTGGCTGATATGCTATATGATGACAGTGTAAGGTTTAGGTGAGCAGGCGTTGAATATGGTATGTGTGTATGTGGTGGGCTTGCAAGTATCAATATGTAAGTGCCTCTAGCAAGGTTATCAGTCCAGTCAATCCGAAACCGCAACGTCCGACTCCAAGATGGATCACTCGCCGTCCATCTCTACTCCAGCTCGAACGAACGACACGAGCTGCAGACACCTACATCTCAACATCCTCATCCTGATGTCTTCCTCATTAGCGCCATCCTGATCAGATTCTACCACAGAAGGCCACCCCGCCCTCCCCGGCGTCCCCTCCATGGTACCCCGATACATCGCATTAAATGCCTCCTGCTTCGCCACGCGATGAGACTTATTTGCGCTTGAATATCTCTGCGCTTGGCCGTCAGCATAAAACCATATAAAAGGAGGGAAGAGGAAACAGACCTAGGAATCTTTCGCCCACCCAGAGACGGAGTGGGGCGTTGCCTATAGAGTCAGATTTTCTTTCACCACCTTCTGTGCCAACTTTCTCTCTCCTTTACCTTTCCCATCATCCATATCCTTCTGCTTCGCACCCATCCCAGCGCCGAGCGTCTCGCACACAGTCAACGTCTCCATAGCATGCGCAGGAGCTATATGCAAATACTGCGCGCCCACTTGTGCGAAGAGAAATGCGCGGAGATGGTTCTTGCCCGCTAACGTCGATAAAGACAGAGCAAACTTCAGGTGATCTGTGTAGGAAATTCAATGTGTTAGTACGAGCAATTATACTTTTTTTTTGCAACGGAGTGAAATAAAGAAGAAAAAGAAACGCACTTGGCACCAACAATCTCCCCCCTCGCACCAGCGACAGCCGCCTGCACAACCTTCCCAATCGCTTCAAGCGTCCCTCCCATCCCATGACACCTCTGAATCGCAGATCTAGCCAACCCGTGCGTCTCGCTATCCAACCAGTCGCATTTATCACCACTTGTTTCTTCATTCGCGTTAGTGTTCAAGTGTTCGTCGTCACCCTGAACCCGAGCACGAAGTCCGATGCGTAATAACGCTTCCCCAGTGCATGCAACAGCACCTACATATACAGACCCTGCATTAGTTTCGTTATCTACGGATTTGGCGACACGGCAGCATACGCCTGCGCGTTCAGTGTCTCCGAGTGCGTGTGCGAGATGTGCGGCGTAAAGGGTGATGCGGGCGCTATATGGGTTAAAGAGGTTGTATGCGTGGGTTAGGGAGAGTAATGTGGTTAGGTGTGTTTCTATGGCGTCGAATTCGGACCGTTGGATTGAGATCTGTGTTAGGATGGGAGATGAGATACGAGGGAGTTGGAATGGGGATGGAATTGGGGGGAGACATACCGCGACGAGCTCGCATAAAAGGTCGGCTGTGATTCTCAGTGCACGCTGTATCATTTCGTCTGCGAGGGAAGCCCAGGGGGGAACTGAAGACAAATGAATGTTAGCATTGACACAGACGACGAACGGCACGGCAAAAAAAGGGAGGTGAAAACTTACGTTCAGTGTCCTCTCTTGCAGCATTGAGAATACTGAGTCTTGCTTGGGCCCAGAGTCTTCTCTTCGAGATTCTGCCCACTGGGTCCCGTTTCGCGGGTAGCACTGACTAGGAAATGTAAGTGAGAGAAGTACGAGTGGGTGGGTGGTGTGAACCGCTAGGGGAGGGTGCGGTGGGAGGTATCTGTAGGAATTGAATCATTAGCACGGGGTTGGGACCAAAAGTGAGGGAACGGGTACCTGAACAATTCCATCCTTGAATCCCTCAAGTGCTCCGCTATCAACAATTATATGCAGCACGATGAGCCTGTGCTCGGCCGCACGAATGTTTCCAGAGAACGTAAAAAATACAGTACCGGAGAGGAGAGTATGAATGTCAAGTGAAGCATGAGAGGGATCTGTTTGTGTGCTTTCCCCCTCTTGTTTGGGTCCCATAATTGAATTGCTGGTGATGCGTACTTGGGAATATTCGCGGGAGAGGGCATTGACGTCGTGAGCTGTTATGGAGTTCCAACGAGGAAGTGGGTCATTATCTGGTTTTGCGTCGGCGATTGTATTGACGTGGCCGTTCTCATGATTATGTTTGCCGTCCTTGTCGAAAATTAAGTAAAGCACGGCCTCTGCGATATCAAGAGCAACCCCGACTTGCGTCCATGCACTCGCACGAAGGAGGACGCGCAACCTGTTGACGTGAGCGAGGGCAACGATTCGTGGGTGGTGGTTTTTGCGTGCGAGGTATGGCGGCAAGGGTTGCTTGGAGGATGGGGGCACCTGGTGGTGCAGGGCTGAGATTAGCGGTAGCATTAGAATAAGGGTGTGGTGTAGTGATCTGGATGATTAATGCCAGGTGTGCAGCATACACGGTGCCTGGAGGATCAGTGGGTACAAAAGACGCAATAAGGCGTCTGAGGATAGCGCGCGCAAATTTTGGCGATGTGGAAGAGGAAGGGAATGTAAACGCAAAGAGAGCATGGAGGAGCGTGAGGTGCCAGTGGCGAAGCGGACAAAGTGAAGGGTGCTGAATACCAATGAGGGTCAATTGTTCATGTCAAAAATAAGTGGAGACGAACTTTTTGTGCAATAAGCAGGCCTTTGCTGAGTGCTTTCTCGACCTTGTGTGCAACATTCGTCAGCATGCACAAGTGGGAAAAAAAGAATACGACACACCTCAGCGTAAATACCTACAGCCCAATCGCATCCTTCCTCCTGAGAGCAACTCTCCATGACTCTCATGCCGACTTCGGCCAACTCGTTCAAGCACGATATTCTAGATTAGGTGAGCGCAGGCAGAGTTAAGCATTATCTTTGTGCGTGCAGGGAGGGAGAGAAAGAAAATCCAAAGTCTGCATGAGTTGGGGGTGTGCCAGAAGCCCTGGCAGCGCGAGGAGTACGACTCGGGTTACTGGAGGGAGCGGGCGGAGTGCCAGCTTCTGAGAGGGAGAGTCTTAGGATGGGGTGAGCGAAGAAGATCTCGGCGTCGGCGAGGGCGAGATGAAAAGTGTACACTGATGTTTTGCTGGGCATAGATTTGAGCCGTATATCCTTCAAGTTGAGGGGTGACGCGCGCGTCAGTCGTTTAATGAAATGTGACATGTCGCGCGTACATTGCAGCTGGTGTGCTCGACGTCTGCCCTACGTATTTTGGGAATACGTTCGTGATTCTAACGAATAGTCGCTCATGGTCAAGAAAACAGCTGATTGGCACGAGAAAACGTAGACGCGCTTATGCCGTTGTTCTGAAGTATTGTTCACCCGAACAACTAGGGAATCCTGTACATTCTCTACGACGACAACAAGACTGCACACTGAGCATAATAAAAGAGCGAGTTCCAACGTGTCAGATGCAAAACGAGCGGCCATGGCTAGTAACTAGCAATATAGTGAGTTATGAAAGACAAATGAGTGGGGCTTTCACGGCATCGGATAACTCCGAAGGCCGCTGCGACGTGTTCTTCCAAGCCAAGATCTTGAATCATACAGGACAGGCGGCATAGCTTAGCCTCCGATCACGAAAAATCGAATCCATCCGAGTCTCGATGTACCCCAATGTCCAAGAGCAAGCCGCTCTGCAGGCTGCTGAAAACCTCATGAACGAAATCATGGCGCGTTATGATCCATCTCACGATGCTTTTCATGGTCAGTGACCACGCGTAATATTTGCATGTAACCCGTGTTCAACCGTCCAGATCATGCATAATCATACTCTGTGTAAACAGTACAACGTGTGCGCAAAACGGCCCTGTCAATAGCCCGCTCTCTTTCCGCACAACAACCCGATTTACTGGTCGTCGAATTAGCAGCTCTACTTCATGACGTTCTGGACAAGAAATACGTGTCAGAAGCAGAAGCAGCCGACCCATATGGATATTTCCTTCCTTTCTTCCGATCTTTGTCTTCGGAGCACGGGCTAGACCTGATAAACGACGGACGGGCGCGTCAGATCGTAAAGGTCATAGAAAACGTCTCTTGGACAACCGAGAAGAAACTGAGGGAATCAGGAAAAACCGAGGAATGGCATCGTACATGTATTGAACTTCACTGTGTACAAGACGCGGATCGGCTTGATGCGATAGGAGCATTTGGTATGTTGGCAGAATAGTGGTCCAAACGCGTTGTTTTCTCAAGTCTCCATCAGGAATCATGCGGTGTGCTGCGTACAGCGCTGCTGTAAATCGGTATGTGTCTTCCAGCCGTGGGGTAACAGACATTGATGAGTGTGGTCCATTCAGCCCCCTCCACGCACCTCCAGGTCGTCTCGACACTGCGGTACAACACTTCTACGACAAGCTTCTACACATCCAGGAATGGCTCAAGACGGTGCCAGGAAAACAGATGGGCGCAAAGCGACACCAATTTGTAGGTGACATGAATGCATGACACGTTTTGAATCTCACATTTTCAACTTGCAAAGATGGTCGATTTCTTGGATTCTGTGGAAACCGAATACAACGCAGAAGCACCCGAAGTACTGCGTGACTAAACATGTTGCACCCTTGGCACGTTCGCCGCACTCGAGAGACCTCGAAGAACAATGGCATATATATAATAAATCAAATGTAAATACCTCATCCATATACCGGGACATTAAACTGTCACATTATTACAAGTCTGTCTATCGACAATTATGTCATTGCAGAACAGACCTCGTAAAATGGAGGATATGATACCAGTAAATCTGATAAACGGATGCGGTTAATCCCCCGTTGTGACGTGAACGAGTAGCATCTGTCAAAGTTGACCCGGTCACTGATACTTGGTTTCGTCCACCGTATCAGTAGCGTTCGAAGGTTCGGGGGATGCAACGGCTTTGACAGATGGAAGAGCCGTTGCCCTCCATCCTCCTCTGAATGCGGCAATACCATTAATGAGGCTGAACATAGTGACCCAAATCTACAAATGTGTCAGCAACAGAAAGCAGGTCATGACTTAATATTCACGCACATCGTTTGTGAAGATACCACTCTCCAAAGACCTGACAGACCATCAGCAAGCATATATTACATATCAAAGAGGACGAACCAATGAAGGGCCAAGGGTAGGTTAGCAGCGTTAGCCACCAATTCATTCAAGAGAGAGTCCCATCGCTGTCGAAGGTCCTGCTTATCCTCAGCGGAAAATCCTTTCCCCTTCCTCAAGCTCCTCTGCCTCGCCAACAAAAGTTTTCTATCCTCCCTTAAGTGGGCGAATTGAAGCACGATGTAGAGTAGCCAGAATCGGCAAGACCAGAGGATTAATTTATTCTCGTTCAACGAGATGCGTTTCGAGCTGCGACCAAGTATAGCAGAAAGCGAAGGGATCGAGGCGGGAATCAGATTATGGGCTCGTAGGTAATAAAGATGCTCGAGGGGGTAAAATCCAAGCATGGACCATCCCTGAAGTCGTTCGATAGTGTGTAACGTACGAGTTGGTGGGGGGTTGCGCTCCATGGAGATCATCCATTGAAAGATTGGTAGAAGACCTGGAATCGCGTTGAGGGCGTTACATTAAACAGAAGGTATTCAGGATACTCACCCCAAAATCTACCCAACATTTTAGCATCGCTAACAATACTGGCAAAACTCGCCAGAGAAGGGGCAGCGTGGCTGCTTGCATCTTTCCTTATACCGGCACGGTGCTGAAGCCGTGCGCGCCAGTGCAGGAACGGCACTATCAGTTTAATTGTATATTGTATGAGCTGTTCAATACATGGTCAGCAACATTTCAATGGTGTCACGGTCAAGTACGTACCGTAAAGAACTTGCTAGAACACGCGATGAGAAGTGAGGAAGAGATGGATGTTAGACAACTGAGCTCAAAGAAGTGTTAAAACATACTCGCTACCACTCCAGGTGCTGAGGTACCGCACAAGATGGTTTAATGTCTCAGAAGACGGGACATTTGAGAAAGAACCAAGAGTGATATCGTTGAGTCGGGCAAGGGTATACGGTTTGGAAGCTCGCGACATCTTGTCTGGTTGATGGATTTGTCTATCTATCTCAATAAACTTCAGGAGTAGCGGTGAGAGAGCACGTCTCGGTAACACTCGGTAGTCCGTGTAGCTAAGGATATTACAGAGACTTCTGCGCACGTGAGCATGATCTCGCACACCCCGTGGCAAAAGATTATATAATCAATTTATTCCTTGTATATAATCTGGTTCTTGGCCTAACTGATCTCTTTGAACAATTTTTGAGGACTCAAAAGTTCGGGCCTGATATCAGCTCTTCCGCCTTCTCGTCCGCGTTCCCGTCCTCTAGACGAACGAACAGCACTCGCTGTGCTTGGTCTTCCCCTTGATGCAACTGTAGCCTTGTTCGACTGCTGTCATTTTGTCCTGGAGGCATCGCCTCGGTTGAGGCTCATGATTGGCAGGGAACAGCAGGAGAGGCCTGCGGTCGCTCAAGGGGAGACCCACAATTATATGTATTTGTACTACGTTCTGTTGCCAAGAATCCAAACCCTGTTGATTATCATGCTACAACCGGAGTGATTTTTTATTATTATGCATTATTCACATTCACTAAGAAACACTGGTGCGCTCAGCGCTGGACAACGTCTATGACCCCCGGTAACAATCTACAGATCGTAGGCAGTGATGTGGTCTGGCTAGGGGAGACTAGATAGACGTTCGTAAAAAAAAAACCTGAATACTGGCTGTACTAGCTTGCAGCCTGTGCTCGGTCCACTGTTTCTTATTTTCTCTATGATGACGATCTTTCAGCTGTAGGCCTAACGTTGAGTGATTCTCAATCTGCCTCTTGCGTCCTACTTCAAAGCTTCACAGTTTACACACTGGCAGCGATCGCAAATCATTTTGATTATGGGGTCGCATCATCAACACGTTTGCCATAGTCTTCCTTCAACTTGCACAATCACTTCGGCAACTACAAGACTCGGAGATGGCGCAGTCTCAGTCCAGGCTCCCCACTCCTCCGTACCACCAAGCCCAACCTACAAGCCCAACGCTCTCGACACCACTCTTGCACATACCCATATGAGTTTTTTCGTTTCTATTCACAGCTGAAGCTGTACAACAAATTGTTTAATCCCTACCGCCCATCCGATGTAACAGCATTCAAGCAAGATGCATCACTTGCACCATGGCTTTAGCGTAGTGCGTGTTTTTTTATTAGATTGGCACTGATACCCTTACCATGGCCCAATGTTCTGAAATCATAGTGCAATGACCCAGGCAGAAAATGGCGAGCAGGTGCGCAATTGTGCATGAGGCGACCAATCCCTGGAACATGGATGTGGGCGAGAAGAGGAGTATGCGTTGGCAGGTGTATAGCCCAGATGAGTTATTCACTTCCCTGATGGGGTACTACCAACAGAATTATGATACCGCCTTCGGCCTTTGTTCAGAGCGCTGAGGTATGATAAAAGCTGCTGAGGCTATCACCATCAAGAGTTCTACGAAATTAGCCTATGCAGTTTGAAAATAAGTTAGCTGTCCCATGCAGTCAGAAAATCTCCATGTCTCTGTCACACGGTACCGCATCAACGCCACAAGGCAAAGCAAAGATTCTGCGCTTTCATATAAAAATACTTACTTTGCTCAATCAAGGCAACGGATATATATAATCCCTCAATCTCCTTTTAGTCAAGCACTGGATGGTGGTATATCTAGCACAAATGTCATCATCATATATCCACCAAGTTTGCCTCTCCCTCACATTCATCCTCTAACTGTATTATGACTCTAGTCTCAGATGACCCTAGTTGGTGGCCGTACATCAGTTCATACCATGTTGCCAGCTATCTTGTAGGTTCGTGCAGAACTGTCGGATGCTGACGCTGGTGTCTCGATCTAACCTTCACTGCGGTTTCGCAGTTGCCGCCTCCGTCGGGGTGATGTATGATTGGGGTAAGCATGACATGATTAAAGAACCACTGGTACTCTGACAGTATCTTCAGTACTGACGTTCGGACAAGAGGTATGTCGGCACTATGACCGGAGCAGCCGTCTCGCTAAGAGTGGTTTTTCTATAGGTCGAACTGGTTTGGGTGAGCAGAGTTTCACGCCAGAGGAATGTATGTTGATTGGCGACAGAGGCAACATTGGTCTCTTATGACCGTCCTTTATCTGAGTGTATGTATCTTGCCTGCTGTGGAGTTTTGCTGACTTGAAAATATCCTAGGTGCGCTATCTTGGAATATTGTATGCTGTGTATGTTTTAAAGGCTCAGCACTGCTCTCGTGCTAAATGAACCATCTCTCACGATCAGCATAATCGTACTGTGTATGTTTCCCCACACTCACCGTGTCTGTTTCTTCTAACCAGCGGCATACAGTCGGTGTACCGACAATCTCGGTGACAGATGCGGTGAGTCTTTTGCACTGATTCCCCTCCAATTGACCGCGGCGCTCTGCCTTTTAGGGGTGAGTGTCATTGTCGACCACCGTCTTGGTTCATTACAATGACTGCCACAGATGTGAGTTTGTTTGATCCACCCGATGCTGATCACTAACTGGATTCGTTAGGCTGGATTCTGTACATCATATGGAATTGGATGCGTGTTGTGGTATATTCAATACTGTGTGGTGAGCTGCAGGACCTGTGTTATTGACTCGACTGAAACATCTTACAAGTCATCACAATCACTCGATTACATGCAATGTATCAGCGATCCAGAAAGATGCTGATATTTCTCGTCGTCATCGTCCTAGCTATGAACATTTACTACGGAGTAGTTGCTGTAATGTTTGTTAGGGATACTTCAGCGGGTACGCTTAATTGTGAATGAATAAAACATGTGCATGGGGCTAATTGATGAATACCAGAGGAACTCGTTCTCTCTGGCACTTACCATTGCTTGATGAGCTATGTGGACAATGTCCTCATTCTGGATTCCGTTACTTGGATACTCGGCACTGTCTGGGAGGTCATCGCTTTGTGTCTCTCAGTCTGGATTGCTAGAAAACACTTCCGTGAACTGCGACAACATTCGGCAGGAGGGATTATCGCGGACTGTTTCACGGCGTTGATAAAATCCCACGTGCTTTACTTTGGGAGGTGAGTTCATATTATGAATATTGTTCCCGTTTTTGCTAAATTTTGAATGTGCTAGTTATGTTGTTTTGTCTTGCTTCGACCTCGTTCTTGATTTGTCTCCAACGATCTTAGCAGTATGTCAATCTTTCACCGACCTCTGCATGCGACCACGGTTCATCACTTTTATAGGACCACTCTCTCCCGGAAACTCAGATTTTTATTGGTCTTCTTCAGATTTTGCAAGCTGAACAGTTTTTTGTGTTGGGACCCCGCCTGATCCTGAGCATTCGAGAATATCATGCTCAGCTCGTGGCCAACTCCGACGCAGCAACCTGCATGACCTCAATCGCTTTCCAGGAGCGCATGCATATATCGACTGGCAGTGGTGTGTAGCACTGGAGATGCTTGATGAAGTTAACGGCTCTGTGCTCTGCAGAGAGCAGAAGATTTTTTTTCATCTATTCCTACTTTCATCTTGGTATAGGTCTAAGATATCTGATGTTCTGAAGGAGACATGGGTCTGGGCAATCTTTTCGTCGTAGTATTATTACTAATTACAAGGGAGTTGCTATTGCATCACCGTTGAAAGGCTCTGTATTGCGAGTTTTAGTAAGTACGTTGTATGAGAGGGAACATGGTGATAAGCCATATTAATTGGATTAACGAGGCAATATTTTGGTCTCAAAGAGAACATTGATGCACACGCGTGTGAGCCAGTTGGCGTGAATCGGGGGTGTAGTCGCGGGAAACGCTGGCGAGGAGAGTCAAGTCAGATCAAATATATCGGCAAACAGGATAATGAAATCATGGTTGAAACTTCACTGATTTCGGCCTCAGTTTCCCTGAGAAGTCAGGCGTCTATTCACCATCTGGCGCTAAGGATATTGTGTGAGTTTAAGGCTAAGTTCCATGGGGAATAATTGCCTCTGGGGGGGTATGCTTTGCAACTCTGGCGTTGTTTGGTGTTGAAACCAAGAAGTTCACATTGATGTGGCAGAACATGAAATAACCGACTCCTGCACAACGACCCGGGTTGAGAAGCAATAGGACGTAGGATGTGGCACATCAGCTCTGTAGGGAGGAATATTCAACTACAAACATGGTTACTAACTTACGATGATTCTCACATAGAGGGGCTCCCAAATTTTCTTCTGAAATTTGACGGCTGTGATTAACTAAGTGATCATGACTCTATGTCATATGGTTTTGGGATCGACTTTGAAGGCGGTTCGTGCAGTGTGCACACGTGAACGTTCGCGATGACTGATTTGCTATTTCAGACGTTCCTTTAATCAACTGAGCATTTTTATGTATTACTTACTGTTCGTACACGACACTGACTGACATCTAGTGTAGGTCGTATCTCAGTGAATAGTTCGCTGCAAAAGCAAGCTGAGCCAGTGGCTCTGTCACCTCTGTGACAGTCTAGTGACATCACATGATGTGACGTCCGAGTTCGAGTTCGCATTTAAAATTGTGATAGGACATCACACTGTGCAGCACCGCCTCAGATTCATCACCGCATCACCAACCAACCAGTCATTCTAGTACGCCTGCCGAGCATCTCCGCCCGAGACCAATCACTAACTCGAGAATTCGAATGGGATGATGCAGGCGACGCAGAACATTGAGGGTGTGTATTGGCAGCCCCGAGAGAGGTAAGTTAACTGTCAATCTACGGTGGCATCTACTTCATTTCTGACTGTTCTGATGGTGTGGCAACAGTTGACGCCCCAGTCGATGGGCTCATCAATAATATCCTCCTGTGGTCGTAGGGGCGTCGGGGTCTTCTTCCCAGTTCCCTCTTATTTCTTATCTAGGGATGGTGGTTGCATATTCACCGCATATTAATCATGTTGTATTGGGTTGCGAAAATTGATCATCACCATCCCATCAACGCACGATGTAAATTGACTGTTATGGAAGACAGGACTGCCGCGCTCACTTAGTCATGTCACAATCACATATAAGGCAATAGGACTCCGTGCACTTCGATCTCGAATAAATAAGTTACTTGAGAATTGCCGCCTGCATCGACAGAAACATTGCTTGACCCAAACATTAGTCAAACTCAAGGAGTTACAAAGTAGACGCTAGTTGTATAGAAATTAAAAACATACGAATCAAAACATAACATGTTGCCGGGCGCGCGGCGACGCCATATAAGGAGA